CTTATTGGCGTAGAGTGGGAGAGAGGTGTTTGTCTTGATAATGCTCTCTCTCTTTTTCTCCCTCTCTCTCAAGGTTTCCTCAGGTAATATGGAATTCTCTCAACCTCATTTCCGGAATCGAAATTTCCTCTCTCTCTCTCTCTCTCTCTCTCTCTCTCTCTCTCTCTCTCTCTCTCTCTCTCTCTCTCTCTCTCTCGTGCCCAGTATTCATCCCACACAGTCTCCAAGGAGGAGACAGTGGGTGTACCGTCTCTAAGGCTACGACACGACACCTGCCTGCCTTCTCCTACCACCTGTTGCCGGGAGATGGTGGTGACAGGAGTGTGGCTGTGAGAGGGATGTGGCCTGTTAGGGGTGGTGACGGGGTTGTGGCTGTGAGAGGGATGTGGTTGTTTGGGGTGGTGACGGGGGGTGTGGCAATAAAACAGGTTACAATAGTGGTAGCCAGACCTAACACCCACCCACCAGCAGATTATCAATACATAAAGGTTTAAGCTGGAAGATATAGCCTAGTATGAGCGGGGTGTCGGTGTTAGCCTTACCTAACCTAACCTAACCCACCCCCCATCACGCACTGGTTTGATTGACAGTACGAGTTTGTGAAGAGCAACAGCAGGTACCGTACATATGACTGCCATTTAGGGGCAGTGTGGATATAGCTTTTGTAAATAGTGAAATAGTGGGTTAAATATTAAATACGGGAATAATGGGTGTTTAATAATTCTGAAATAATGGGTTAAACATGTGGGATGGGGGTTAAGGGAGAGAGGGGGAAAATATGAGAGGGAGGGGAAGGGAGGACCAGATGCCGGAATCTTTAGTAGAGAGAGGGAAGGGGGGAGAGAGAGAGAGAGAGAGAGAGAGGGTAGCCAGGGAAGGAGAGAAGGAACTAAAAGAGAGGGCGATAAACAGAGAGTCACCAATGGAAGTATCGAGAGAAAGGAAGGAAGAGGGAGTAAGGGAAGGAAGGGAGCCAAGAAAGGAGCCACTGAAGGAAGTAGGGAGAGAGAAAGAGAGAGCCACCAAAGTTAAGCAGGAAGAGGGAAGGGAGGAAGGAAGGAGGGAAGGAAGGAAGGAACAAAACACAGGTGTCACGTCTCTCAACAATAGGGATAAAACTGCCTCTTATTTTTGTCCTAGATAACCCGCCAAAGGTCAGTGCAAGGAAAAGGTAAAACGAAGAAAATAGTCATGTTTTCCGCCTTTGTATATTAAGAGGCAGGTAGGAGGCAGGTAAGATTGGCACATTGACACAGGTATCGCCTGGTCACACCTCTGAAGGTTGTCTAAGGTCACCTGTTATGCTATACAAACCCGGTGACCTTTGACCCTGTGGTAGACTTAATGAAGATAGTAATCCATTGAGTACGATGTCTTAACCCCTTGCGTACGATGTCTTAACCTCTCGAGTACGATGTCTTAACCTCTCGAGTACGATGTCTTAACCCCTTGCGTACGATGTCTTAACCCCTCGAGTACGATGTCTTAACCCCTCGAGTACGATGTCTTAACCCCTTGCGTACGATGTCTTAACCCCTCGAGTACGATGTCTTAACCCCTCGAGTACGATGTCTTAACCCCTTGCATACGATGTCTTAACCCCTCGAGTACGATGTCTTAACCCCTTGCATATGGTGTCTTTACCCCTTGAGTATGGTGTCTTAACCCCTTGAGTACGACGTTTTAACCCCTTTAGTATGGTGTCTTAACCCCTTGAGTACGATATCTTAACCCTTTGAGTACGATGTTGTAACCCCATGAGTTCGATGTCTTAACCCCGAGTGTATGGTGTCTTAACCCCTTGAGTACAATGTCTTAACCCCTGTTGGGTACTGTAAACGCTTCTGCGCTTCACCTTACACAAGGATGTAGGGGAGTGCCCAATAAATGGAAAAAAAAATTGTACACATGTCTTAAATCCAGGTTATGTAAGATACCCTCACTAAGACTCATTATGGCACCGGGCTTTTGTCCTCCTCCTCTTCTTCTTCTTCGTCTTATTATTATTATTATTATTATTATTATTATTATTATTATTATTAACCATTTTGTCTTTCTTCTCCGTATAACCCCTCCTGTTTTCCTTATCCCCTTTCCCCTTCCTTCTCCTCCTTATTCCCCCTCCTCTCTATTCCTCCTCCTCCTCCTCCTCTTCTTCCTGCTCCTCCTCCTTCCTCCCTTTCTTCTTCTTCTTCTTCTTGAAGACGTCTCCAAAGATGACATAATGACTACCTACGGAAACTATAATAAGCAATAACATGACTAATCAACCAATTATACACGATAAGATAAATGCATTAAATAGTGAACCAATCAGAGCAAACTTGGAGCGAGAGACTTGGTAAAGGATGACCAATCAGCGGTGAGACTTTGTCGACTCAATGAGGCTCCACTGAACACAAGTTTTTTTTTTTTTATGTTTAATATTGAGAACCAGAGGACGAGTTATTCATATTCTCTGTCTGTCTGTCTGTCTGTTTCTCTGTCTCTATGTCTGTCCCGCTCACCTCTACCCACAACTCCTGAGGTAAACGGTAGGAGGAAGAGGAAGAGGAAGAGAAGAGGAAGAGAAGAGGAAGCAATACCCACATATCTCTTACCGACAGTGTTTGGTGTTGGTGTTCCTCTATGTTTCCTTTTTTCTTCCTTCCACCTCCTCCTCTCCTCCTTCCTCCTCCTCCTTTCTCAATTAACTCGCCCTTCCTCATCCTCCCCTTCCTCCTTTTCCTCCTCCTCTTCCTCCCTTTGTTTCTTCCTCCACTTCTCCTCCTTACTCCTAATCTTCCATCTTCCTCCGTTTCCTCCTCTTTTTCCACTCTCCTCCTCTTCCTTATCCTCCACTCTTCCTCCTTCTTCCTCCTCCTGAGACACACCTTAGATGACACCTGAGAGATATCATCAGTATTGATATCGCCCACGCAGGTAGGTATGTGTGTTCTGACCTGCACGTGCACATGGAGGCGTACATGGTAAGCGGTGTGCGTGTGTGTGTGTGTGTTTAGTAGCAAGTATAAAGAGAATAGTGAAAGTTTACACACACACACACACACACACACACACACACACACACTTAACTACCTGTAATCTCTTCTGTTTTTATCGGAAATTTAAAATCAAACAATTCCCTCACCTTTTATAACAACTCGTTGATATAGATAACTTCTAGTGTGTATTTCTATAACGTCTATTTGATTTTAGTTCTTTCCGGATATTTTGACTTGTGTACTGTTTATAACCTAACCTAACCTAACCTACTCTAACCACGACACTTCCTATACACTATTCATCCTTCTCACTCGATTCCCCCGGGGTAAAGAAAGAAAGAAAGACATTAATTAAGGATATCGGTAAAAAGAACAACACCGCAACACAGGTGAACAAAGAAACAAGCGATAAATATAAACATACAAGGAAAAGTAAGAGAACATATGGGAAAAGTTTGTCTCTTGGTCAGGAGACAGAGGAAGAGGAGAGAGAAAGGTAAGGATAGAAGACACGCGGATTAGGAAGATCAGAGAGAGAGAGAGAGAGAGAATGGGGGTGATAGGGAGGGAGGGGGGGATAGGGAGGGAGAGAGAAATTAGGGAATATTATATCCCTAATATAAGGAGTGTAATAGAAGCTAAAATGAATCAGCAGATCATACACACACAGATCAAATCCCAAGCTCTTACCCAATCCCAAACGATGGACGATACAATATAGTGAAGGTTCGGTGTGGTGAGGGTGGTCGTTCGGGTGTTCGGGTTGGTCGTTCGGATATTCAAATGTGTTCGGGATGGCTGTCGGGTATAGAGTGGCAGCAAGGCAGCAGTACTGTAGAAGGTTCAGTCATTTAGGTTACTCTACTAATTGCACAGGTAAGCAGGTGAGAGGGGAGGTGTGTGTGTGTGTGTGTGAAATTGCCTAGCTTATACTACAGACGGGCAAGGGGAGACCTAATTGAGGTGTAAAACACCTGCCCCACAAGAGGTCACAGCTCAAGGATGAAGAAGCCGCAAGTCATGAAAACTGCGAGGGCAAACTTTTTCGGAGTGAGAGTGTGAACTCTTCGAACAACTTGCCAGACAGTGCTGAAACGGCACCGAGTGTGAGCTTTTTGAAGGCCAGACTTGACTAGCACTGGAGCAGGTTCAGAAATAATCAGGAGCCAATACTTGCCAACAGTGCGTAACAGAAACGTGACCGATCGCCCAAGCGACCAACGACCCAATAAGTGGTGAAGAGTATAAAAGTAAAAACAGTAAAAGTATAAGATATAAAAGGGCGATGTCAATGCCAACTCTGTTATCACTTGTAAATACCGTGATGTTCTTTATATAACTATATTAAAGTAGTGGCCTATTAAAAAGAACACTACAATAAAGTGCAGTGGTTAACTATCTGCGATATTTTTGTTCATATTAAATGGTGTAAAGCTGGTGTAAAGCTGTACTGTACCTATCACCATCCCTTACTGAAGAACCGAAGGCAGTATATTCCCTTAAGTAGGCAAATAATTACCTTTTGCTGCAAAACAACCAATTTGTTGCTTTTAAAATGTATTCCTAGATATTTAAAGTTGGATGTCAATGACGTATTGACTATACATGAATTTTTTTATTGAATTATCTGGTGTTATAGCACAATATTATGTAAGGCACAACGGGCTGTGTGTTGTAGGCGCCACACTGGGGTTCGGGAGTGAACCAACTCGTCCGCCCCATATAGCGCTCCATTGCCAGAGTCCTTGTCTAGAGTCAGTTCAAGAAAAATACCCAAATGCTCCTCACGCCTGACCACAGATGGCGAGCCATTCGGAGGCCTTAATAGAGACATGCTTAATTCATCCAATATATTTTTCTCGGGTCAGTTAACAGTTTGTGTTGGGGCGGATATAGTAATAAATAATATTGATATTGAATTTTGGTTGTTATAATGTTATTACCGCTCTTCAGCCGATCAATGGTGAAGAGGATAAAAGAAAAGAAAGAAAAGTTCGTGTCATTACACTATTGTCTGTACTCCATCTTGTTCCATCAGCGAGATATACTTGGATGGGTGACCGCCTGGCCCTAAGAACACCACAGCTGTCCTTGGTCAAATTGACTTAAATTGGTTGAATTATTATAAAGCTGTTTGTTAATAACGAAGTAGGGTGAATAAATTAAATCCGGATTTGTAGCTGTAGCTTTGAATCCGAGTTATGTCCATGAACCCCTCTGGCCAACCCTCAATCTGTAAACAAACCTCACGTGGTAAGTTGCTTATGTTATTATTTCATCACTTAATAGCTTACTAGCCGCTCGTGCTGTTAACCTTTCCTTCTTGTAACTTTCGAAAGCCTTTACAATGTAATAATAAGGGTGTAAGGTCACGCCTTAAGTCAGTTGTGAGACTGAACCAATAACTAGGGGGACACTTCTCAATACAGGAGTAAGATAATGTACATGCTGTCAGGGTAATTTACGGTAACACCTCTACCACCAGAAGGAGTTGTTCGATTTCATTCATTATGGTAAATTTGCATAAGTGCACACAACTCTGTTAGAAAGTATTTACGTGTGTTTAGATCGGTTATGACCTTCATTACCTTCGGAAATTGGCCGGTTTTTTATTTTTTTTTGGGGGGGGGGCGTTTTCCGTAAAAAATTATAGCTAAGCGAATACAAAATACAAAAAAAAATTGAAAAACAAACTGACCTGACTTAACCAAACCTAACCTAACCTAACCTAACTGACTCTCACCATATGATGGAATCAATTATTTCTTACCTTGGTATTCTTTTCTTTAAACAATCCCATTTCCTACCACTAATCTATTATCATATTTTAATAAGACGTCTAATTATAAGATCATTTTCATCTATTACATTACCGCCGGAAATGTATATTAACGGAGATAGCAAATCCAATATTTTCTCGATTTTCTTTCATTAACTTCTGCCATTTATCACCTGCCTCACCTCCAACACTGCATGTCTCCTGTGTCTCCTTCATAAATCATCATGCACATGTGTTCCCGTATACATCTCGCTGCTAATCAAAAGCCTTTTTTTTTTGCAACCAATTAAAATGATTTGGGGTTTAATTCGCAGTATTTTTGGACCAATCAACATCGATTTTCATTTTGTGTCTCTCATATTTCGAAATTCAAGTTTAGTTCCGACCATGGAATTCTGCGATGGCTGTCACTTAAAGTATATGGAGCTGATTGCGAGTTTTTGGGAAAAAAACGAAGAAACTATAGCATTTTTTTGATCGCATGGTGTTCTTCCAACCTCAGTAAAGCGTCCGAAGAGCAAGACTGAATGTAAATATTGCAAAGACCAACATATGTGGCGTTGAGTAAGAATCTCAGAATCCAACGACGAACAAGAACCAGGCCAGTAAGGTAAGAAATAGGTGATTCCATCATATGGTGAGAGTCAGTTAGGTCAGGTTAGGTTATGTTTTTCTAGTGTGTTTTGGTGTATTTTTATTCGCTTAGCGATTAATTTTTTTCGAAAAAGTCGAAAAAAATTCAATAAAAAAACCCGGCCAATTTCCGACGGAAATGAAGGTCATATTAGGTCGAAACACACACAAATACACTAGAAAAAATTATTTTTAACTTTCTAACAGATGGGGAAGTGGAAGTAAAAATTTACCCTTACCTTATTGAACGAATTACCACAATGTTGGTCTTGACGATATTTACATTCGTTCTTACTCTTAGGACACTTTACTGAGGTCGGGAGAACACCATGAGAATCGAAAAAAATGCTATAATTTCTTTGTTTTTTCCCCAAATCTCGCAATCGGCTCCATATAATTGAAGTGACTCCCATCGCAGACTTCCATGGTCGGAAATGAATTTGAATTTCAAAATATGAGACCCAAAATAAAAATCAAATTTGATTCGGCCAAAAATACCACGAATTAAACCACAAATCATTTTAATTGGTTGCCCCCCCAAAAACGCTTTTGATTGGCCGCGTGACGTGTATGGGAATGCATGCGCGTGATGATTTATGAAGGAGACACGCAGTGTGGGAGGTGAGGTAGGCGATAATGGCGGTAGATTAATGGAAGAAAATAGAGAAAGATTTGGATACGCTATCTCCGTTATTATACATTTTAGACGGTAATGTAATAGAAGAAAATTATCTAATAATTAGACGTCTTATTAGAATATGATAATAGGTTAGGGGTAGGAATGTTGTGTGCGAAAATGCAATAATACCTTCATTATTTCCACAGATGCTCTGGTAAAGGTGTAGAAGAGGGTGACCACCAGAAGTTGTTTGTTGATTTTATTGATTTTTGCTGTACAGCTCCTCCTTGACTTACGACCTACTCGACTTACTACCACCCGCACTTACGACCTGCCTAAGTTGTACCAAAATTCTGTCAAATTACGTATTTTCGAGTCCCAACGTCAGTGATTGCGCTGTGTACCGTATATCACTGCCTATAAGACTACAGGGTATATAAGACAACCCCCAAAATTTCCATTTAAAAAGTAGGTTTTTGAGCTCTATTCGCTGTATAAGACCAGTACCCCAAATGTGACACTTACCATTGGGAGCTTACTGACCCAGTAGTCCTTTACCAACCATCCCACTGACCAGTGCTGTTTACATATCCTTGGTAATTTAAAATAAGGCCAATTCACTTCAAGTAATGGCATCAAATGTTACCGGATGGTGTAATGTAAACACTAGTGACGTCACTTAAGCGTCTGTTATTTAACTGGAACTAATGTTGGTGTCGAGTAAAATTTTTCCATTTACTTGAAATGGATTTACCGATTTATTTGTTTATAGTATACTGTTATATATTAAACACACTGCAAGTATTTTCTTTAATTTATAAACTTGCTTCTCGACAAAGGAAGGCTATACCCGGTAGGTGAAATTTACCTGCTACATTTATGGTTGCATCATCATTAAGGATCAAACTCCGAATCAGATGACGTGACTTCGGCTTCTTCATTCTCAGCCTAAATTTAGCATGAAGAAAACTACCACTGTCGGTAGTTTCAAGAATTATCGCAGTCATTTACTGAATATTCTTTGTAAAAAAATAAATTTTAAATGAATTATTTATAGGAGATAAGTATTATGATCAGTAAATATACCGGTTCTAGGGCTTAAATTCCTTACTATTTTAGTAAAAATCAAGAAGTTTATACTATTCAATAATTTTACAAGTTTAATATTCAATTTTTTAGTCATTTTAACAATTATTGAACATAATTGAAGGTAAAGTGACTAGTTTAATGCGCGGCATCCAGCCTCTTAACACAGCAAACAGGAGTTAGTCTCTCTCTGTTTTCACTGGAGGTAACATCTTGCTTGAGACTCTCTTCAACTAAACGCTTTTTTTCTGTGTTTCCAAGCAAATTATTGGTCATTTTGAAATATATGTTACATATTGACAATATATAATGCAGTGCAGTGTTGATTTAAAGAAAATAATCTTGAATTACACCAGAGAGCTAAAATTTTATAGATGAAATGGCACCATGGGGTGACTTCTCTTCCACCCCAATGCCTTCTCTTCTTCCTTCTCCTCCACCCCATTCTAAATCCCATCATCATCATCATCCAGGAGCCTTCTACATACAGTACACACCTCAAAGTAAGTGAACTTTTCTACCATTTTTGTTGAATTTAGGAAATTTTCGGTGAGCTGGAACCAATTACCCAAAAACCCATTGAAACAATGGTTTCGGTTAACGAACTTTTCGGTTAACGAACGACCTTCTGGAACGGATTGAGTTCGTTAACGGAGGGGTCACTGTAATCCCATTCGGCAACAATATACTGTACTGTATTACAGTACCTGTAATGTAAACACAAGACACTAGTAAAACATTCACAACAAATGTATTTATAACATATACTGTATGTAGGAATAAAACCTAAATTACGGGTCATTTTGTAATTTTGTCTTCTGTTCAGGACAGTGTAACCAGATATTTTGTCTCAAACACGAACCGTTGGTGTATACTTATTCTTGTGGCCGACTGTACATGTCTTTTAATTTCTTTTAATTTTTACTCTAAAGAATATAAATTTTGGCTTTCAGATCTACAATGACGAAGAGTGCCAGGGCAAAAAAAAACAAAAAGGCAGATTTTGCAAAGGTGAAGCTGAAGGTGGGAAAAAAAATAAAAAAAGCTCAGAATGAAACTCGCACGGATTTCAAAGCACGGAAGATTATTTTGAAGGAGCAACTGGAAAAAAAGTCTGACCAAACTCTTCTCACCAAAAAGAAGCACAATATTAAGGTATGAAAAATCTGTTATAAGACAGTAAGGAAGTATGTTTGTAACAAAGGCATCTTGTGTATGATGAATCAGATTATCTTGTCTGATCTGTCTTAAAACACTATAGCAGGGACGGTACCTTCAGGGTTGAATTGATGTAAATCAGCAGAAAAATAAAGTAGAACATTATTTTTTATTTGATTTTCTCTTATCATTTTGATAATTTAAATAAGTTTGTGTTGCAGTTTTCTTTCCTATAATGAAGAAACAGTTGTTCAAATTAGCACCATCTTAATTTATCAATTACAGGTATTTGACCCATTGTGTCAATTAAATGGATTTTTTTTTACATCTCATGAATTATTAAAAACTTGTATTTTAAGAAGACACCCATAAAAAATTATGGTTTTTGGGTATCCAGTACTGTAGTTTGTAGACAAACAGCTCTGGTAATTGGTAATTGGTAGACTTAAAGAAAGTGGAAAATGGCCATGTGCTTTCTGTAAGAAAGGTGTTGGCAGCAACCTGGTGATATGCAGTAAGTATAGAAGGTGAGTACATAAGAGTTTGGATGACACACAGCAGGATGTTGCAGACTTTATATGTTCTGTGTGCACAGAAAACCATTTGGCCTTAGCAAGGGAGTTGCTGCCTTTGTTAACAGCAAGAGTACCTTCCTCTGCATGAAAGGGAAGATGTGATGTTGCATAGCAGTGAAACATGAGCAGCTAAAGATGATTACATAGGCAGACTTGAATGAGCTGAAATGAGAAGGGTGGGGTGGATGTGTAATGTGACACTGAAAAATAAAATTTGTGTAGAGGTTGGGTGAGATGATTTGGACATGTGGAGAGAATGGATGAGACCAATTGGGTCAAGAGATGTGTCTCATTATGGAGGGGGGGAGAGCTAGGGGCAGGCCAAGAATGACACAGGGAGAGGTTATAGGAAGTGACATTAGAGTTAAGAACTTAATAAGAGGTGACTGCAAGAGACCATGGATAACTGCCACCAAGTAATTTTGGCTAACCCATGTAAGATTGGAAAACGGCCTTAAAACATTGATGATTGTATCAACTGCTTCACCTCAACTCATGGACCATATCTGTAACTCACCCTAATATTATCTGATTTTATAGCTAGATTCTTGCCTTCTCAAAATATGCTGATAATTTCCCTGTTTCTTACCTTAACTTAACTTGTTTTATCCACTTGCTGATTACCTGCATCATCTTTCACAAGTTTCATAGCTTGACCTTTACCTTTCACTATGGTATCTGTTATTGAATGGGCCTAACCAAACTCACGACCTTCTTAATACTGTATCAACATCTTTTTTACTTCCAGGCAATTGCTTATTCCATAATGTTGTAACCTCCATTTGAAAATGGGGCAGTGCACCATCTTGCTGAAGTAAAACTTAAGCTTTGTCCTTGTCATCTAACAGCTGGGCATTAATTATGTACCTGATTGTTGAACCAGGCTTAGGGGACCCATTCCTTTGATAGCCCCTTTAATTTCTTCATCTGGGGTTAGGTAAAAAATTTATTTTTTGTTCCACCAATGATAGCTGTTTTGGAAAATTTGAAGGAAAGGATGATCTAGGTCTTCAGCAGACAACTCTTCAGTGTGGGACTCCAGCAGGTCAAGGATATCCTCTTCTCCTATGTCCTTGGAACCCATCGCCCTCCACAGTTCGTGCATGCTTAACAATCTCAGCCACTTCTGGGGGGTTGTCAAAGCCGGTGACGGAATGAACGCGGTCTTTCCACTTCTTTGCCGTGTCTTTCACCTCGTCCCAGGAACTCTTACTGTTGTTGACAGCGTGGAGGATGTTGTCGCCATGCCAGAACTCTTGAATAGATGACTTGTTGGGTCTGTCAGTAGCATCTAATAACTGAGTGAATATACGCTCGAGGTCGTACATTTTAAAAGCAGCTATGATCCCCTGATCCATAGGCTGGATCAAAGCAGTCGTGTTCGGTGGGAAGAACATCACTTTCACATTCGGGTGCATGTCGTTAAGGCTGGCAGGGTGACGAGGGGTGTTATCCAGAAGCAACAGAGCCTTGAAAGCCAGGTTGGAGCATTGGCAGTACCTTTCAACCTCCATGCAAAAACACTTCATGAACCAATCCTCAAATATTGACAAAGTCATCCACACCTTGTTAGCCTTCCAGTGCACTAGCATGGTTGAAGTGCTGGGTCCCTTGAAGTTGTGTTGATTCTGGGAGTGGTACATCATCATGGGCTTCAGCTTGAAGTCACCTTTGGTATTGCCACACAGCAGAAGGGTTAAAAAATCCTTAGCTACTTTAAAACCTGGAGCAATTTCTCTTCCTTGGAGATAAAAGTTCAGCTGGACATCTGCTTCCAAAACAAACTTGTTTCATCCATGTAGCATGTACGGTAACCTCCAGCTGTTACTGCTGCCATCAACACGGCCGGGAAAGCAGATGCAGCAGCATCTACACATGCAGCTTCACTCTTCAGCTTGAGTTAGTGGAGGTACTGGTATTTCTTGCAGTTCCTGAATCACCCCTTGCTGGCTATAAAGGGCTTGTTGTCTGAGGGGCCTGCCTCCAGTTGCTCCAGTCTTTTTTTGCAGACAGTGAAGTAGACTACTGCACAGCGGCTTTAATCTTCTCAGCATTCTTCTTGATGGTATGGATGGTTGACTAGTTCACAGAAAAATCACATCTGACAGAAGTAGAGACTGGCCTCTCTCTTGTCATTGAACAATATCTAACTTACTCTCGAGGATAAACATGGTCCTATTCTTATTTGCTGGAGTGTCCCTAGGCAGAGTGGCACTTAGAAAACGTGTAGGTGGAGCCAGGGTGACAAAAGCAGGTGAAAAAACAGAAGTTAATCCAAGCTAAGTTTTTGGTTGTAGCCTGACCAAGCACTAGCTAAACTCTGGGCCCACTCTACCCATGGACTGTAATGGACTTGACAGTTGGCCTGTGCAAAACTTTTTCACCCGTGTTCAAGCAGATAATAAATAACCTATTCTAGCAAATCCGCATTGAACAAACCAAAGTTAAGGGAGGGGGAAGTGTATAGTGTATGCATTAGTATACTGTGAACCCTCACTTTACGTGGTCAATTGAACCCACGGCGGCCCGCATAAAGTGAGAAACGCGTAAAGTGAACAACATAACATATGGGATTAATTTAATAGAGACCGGGCCGACCCCCAAACTCCACTTTTTCAGACACAATATGTACGTTGTAGTAAAAATAACTTCTTAATTTTATGATGGTCTGCACACACAATTAATAATTAAGAGAAATATCAATAATATTAGGTTTTTTAACACTTACATTAATAGAAAAGATGGCTGGGCACACGGGGATGGGGGGTTGGTTCCGAGGCAGAGGGCAGATTATTGGCCCTCACCTGTATCACTTGTATCAATTGTATCACTATCCACCACAGAGGCTTGCAGGGCCTCTTTGTCAAACCCCTCAAAGTCCATATCCTCACTATCATTATCACTATAACTGACTTGGGCCGGCTGTGGTGGGTGGCGGGTGAAGAACTCAGTAATGTTTTGATGACTGGGCGACCTTGTGCGCACCCTGCTCGCACCGCTCTCTGCGTAAAAGGGTACACACACCGCGGAAAGTGAGCATTCCGGTTTCGGCAGGGTACCGCGTAAACGTGGAAACGCGTAAAGTGAAACCGCGTAAAGCGGGGGTTTACTGTACTGTATTTTGTTTATTTACATTATATTGTACACCCGGTAAAAAACTGCCGTTACAGTTCTGTGCGAAACAAACTGAAAATTGACACTACAGAGTGTTTCAAAAAAAACCCTAAGGTATTCCTTGCATTGGTAGCCCTGGGTTCAGCCACACGTGCTCGAAACAAATGATCGGCACTCTGAAACAAGTCAGAGTTAGGGCTGCCACACTAACACAATTTGAAACTTGATGGGAACTCTATGCTTCATTTCTCCATGTCGAATACACATTGTGGGTGGTGTTGTAGCAGCCTAATATTGTGATTTATGTAATTAGTGCTACCAACATTTCCTGATATCTTACATAAAGAATGTGTAGTATGTTATATGAACTGTGGAGCTATTCAGATGTTTCAGAACAGCATGGTATATTTTCCAATATAAATAAAGAATGACATAATGTGGCATTAGCCCAAAGTGAAGTAGCAATACAAATACAGATTCAAAATTCAGTTGCAAAATAATCTTATACCTTTACTGTATCAACTACCGGGTAATTCTGCCAAACATATAATGCATTCCTATATGGCAACTCATCCACTTCCATGGTTACTGTAGTCTACGGTGTGTGGAATATTTAATATAAAATACAGTTTAACTTATCTAGTTATACTGACATTCTCCAGTCATATTGTAACAAAGTAATTCAATATTGTCAATGAAATAGCTAATTTCGGCCTACCAAATTAAGTACGAAATGTCTCGCATTCAGGCCTACCAACCCTCGCGAGAGAACGGGAGTGTTCAGTTGGAAAATCATACGACCCCACCTGTAAGGTATTTTTTTACTGAGTGTACATGTACATTGTTGTTTGCGTAAATAAATACAGCTCTGTATCTGTCTGTGCAAGTTGTGTAGTTTGTACTCTTGGAAAACTTTCCCCAGCACTTGGATACATTCCAAGAATGTGCAATTTTTTCCAGGGATAAGATTTTCATCTCAATTCCAGGAAATCTCTCATTCTGGAAGAGTTCTGCACCAATTATTCTAGTTAATGGGGATATTACTGTATTGAGTTTGTGATTGTGTGGAAATATGCATTACCTGTATACTGTAGTACTGAATAATGGATGGGGTCACAAGTTGTAACACAATAAGAAACCATAGGAAAGAAGCTTTTGCTAGTGATTACTAACTTTAAATACAGTACAGGTAGTAAGTTTTGTTTGTTGTCTCAATAAGCTAACATTTCTATCATGTGTACGTAATTTGTTTAGTAGAAGGATTTTGTTTTGATATTTTGCAGGAATTGTTGTCAAGGCTGAGTCACAGTAGTTCATATGTGCGTCAAGATGGTGTAACTGGTTTGCTAGAAATAGTGAAGAAAAATCAGAAGGCTGATTTGGAGCCTTTCTTGCCCACTATGATCCAGGGAGTGGCACCGAGCATCTTTGACACTGACACTCTCATCAGAACCTCTGCCATAAAATTCATGGATGCTCTTATTTTGAAAGTAAGTAATGATTTTGTGAAGATGTTTATTATTTAATTATGTTTATTACCTTGATGCCTTTCACTGGGCAGCTGTCATTATTGTGTATGTTGAGAATGAAAGAATGATCCATCATGTCTTATCCTCCTAAAGCAGCTGGGGCTGATCTTAACTCTTAGGAATTTCTTTTGCATTTCACATAAGGAATTAACATACCCATATGGATACTTCATGCTGTTCACTTTTTGTGTCGTGTATTGCAAAAATTGGGTATTTATTTGTGGAAATTTTCAGTCTACAGTAATATAGGTAGAGGCAGAGGTTTCCTTTACATTAAATCAAAACGCCACTTATGTGTGTATGATCCTGAGACTGTTAATACCGGCATCTTTCTGCTCACTAGAACACTTATTTCCAGTAAGTTTTAGTGACACTACAGTACAACATCCCAAACACTGAACTACCGTACTTCCTCTTCCTCTTAGTTTTTTTCTAGTCTTTCTTCCCCATCCTCTTAAATCTTTCTTCCTCTTCCTCTTAAGTTTTCTTCTTTTTTCCTCTTACTCTTATGTAAGAGGAAGAGAGATTTAAAGGAATAGGGAGAAAGTGTTGTTTGGAGCTTAGTACAGTATCTAGCATATGGAGCAGTGCTTTCCAAACAGGGATAAGACCCAGTCTTTTTATCTTAGTTTCTTTCCTTGTGGAGTTATAATAGTGGTTTAGTTTGTATTGTTAGACATTTCCAGAGAAACATGACTTGTAATAAAACATTTTATAATGCAGAATATTTCCCCATAAGAATTAATATACTGTAATTAGGTGTATATGCATTCCAACATGTACTGTACAGTAGTGCATGTCAAACTTATTTTATTCGCTGTTTATGTTTCTCATACTATTTAACCTCATACTTTCAGGTTGGTAACAGCATTGAGCCATACTTCAACATTGTGGCAACTCACTTGTCTTGTGCTATGGTACACCTCAATATTAACGTACAAGGAGATTCTCTCAAACTGATGAGAGTACTCACTAGGCACACTCCTCAACTCATCGCCCGCCATGCTGATACACTGCTGAAGAACTTTGTTAGCCTTATTTCCCGGAAGGTATGTTAATTATTTTTTAGCTTGTTTGCTCCTTCATTCTGTGAGTCATTCCATATTAATTAATCAAATGATGTACAATAACCTTCTCTAAATTTAACCAAATTTTCTCCCAATGGACAACTGTTGAACAATGTTGCACGGTGTCTGTGAGGAAGTAAAGCCGGGTGGCGAGCGATATGTTTATTGTGTAGAGACTGGAATACAACCGACACTCATAAATCATACTGGCTGGGTGTCTGCCCGTGACTGCTGGACAGTTGTCGAACTTCTTGTACGGCAGCAGAGATAGAACCTAATGATGTCAGGTATAATAAACATTATGGGATATCCCACAATTTTTTATTTTTTTTTTTATTTTTTTTCAGACTTTCATCTCTATGTACAGGTAGATCTCAAGTTACAGAAAGGGTTGCATTTCTAAAGAAATTTCCATAATATGAAAATCTATAACTCGAATAAGTTTTTTCACCAACACGGTTAAAAATTGCGATGAAAGAAATGACATGACACATAATTAATTCACTAAACTTGATTTGATTTAATTTTTTTTAAGGAAAACAATAGTTCAAACTAAGAATGATAATCATAATCATGCAGTGCAGCAATACAGTTCTAATAAGTTTAATCCAAAATAAAACGTCTTCTGCTAACAAGATACCTTGGGGGTGAGTACTGAGGGTGATGGTGAGGCAGGATGGTGGTGGATGTAGGGTTACTGGAATTTATTTTTCCCCAATTAACCCTTTGGCTGTGGTAGGTTACCCTAAGCTGAATAAAATCCTCTGGCAGTAGCCAGAATAAAATGGCAAGTGCGGGAATGGTATTTAAAGGATTAATATCCTTACGTGTGCACTAATCCCAGAATATTTATGAGAGATACATTCTAGGAGTGACTGCTAATCTAAAAATCCTCGAATATCATTACAGGAATACCTCGCTATTCGCAACCCAGCTTATCCGGAATTTATATTTTAACACCCTTATTTGATATTCACAACCCATACCCCACTTTTTTGCAAAGAAAAATTACTGTACTGTAAGGACCTGCTTGGTTTAGAAATTGATTAAGTTCACTGGGACCGTTCACATGTAGCTCACACAGGAGACAATCACCCATGCCTATGTATCTGTCCTTCTAAACCCTGACATGAAAAAACGTTCTGAGCACATTAGAATTCTTGTGTAGCACTGGATCCAGGAAGAAAACTCAGGCTACGATTGCAAGTTTATTTGTGTGGCGAGGAGAACCGTCCTCAAGAGCACGGCGAGAGTGAGTGACTGTTCCGAGGCCACCCACGAGCGTATATATACCGGTTGACTGAATGAAGCTGTCTCGGCTCAAGTCTCGAACCAAGTTCAGCCACTTCAGCCAACCGACTCAACAACTGTTACAACAACAAAACAACTAGTTTACAATTTCATGAGCATATACAAAAATGTATTTAGGCATTTGTTCAGTTACATTTACATTAAAAAAACATGATTGTGTAATACCTATGGATAACAGTTTAAATACAAGTAGAGAATACAATAAATGAAAATTGGTATCATATCTCAAGGCATATATCTGAATAGAGAACATTGTGTAGTTATTCTTGAGTCGCTACACTTCATATGGTAATAGTAAATGTTTGTTTAAATGTTTATAAGTACCTGTACTCATTTGCAAACATTGTAGTTGTAGTCATTTTGTTGCGTTATATGGAGTGTACCTGTATGTATATAAAAAAATATGTTGCTACAGGAGAACGTCGATTTAAAGCAATTCAATTTAAGATTATTGATTTAAAGCGACACCCACAATTAAGGACACTGTTTTAATTTAAAGCTAATCTTCCTATTTTGCGCCAGTCAATCTGGCACATCTTATTTTAAAATTCACTCCTAATGTTTCTCTGGGCAGGCTACACTGTCCTAAGGCCAAAGCTGTACTGTACATGTACTCAAAATAATGTACTAAATGATTACTAATTTTTTTTTCTAGTGCAAACTATAGCATGTTTATATTCAAACTAATCACTATCTTATAAGAATTCCAGCAATATAAATTATATTCTCCCCAGTCACTTCTGTGACATTTTATAACAAAAAACAAAAACTCAATCTAAAGGACATAAATAAACAAATAAATATTTCACTAGACCTTCGGCGCCAACTGTCAAACATGTCACTGTCACAGTCACCCACCCCCCCCCCCTCTTCCCAGCCAGGGTTTGGTGGCTATAGGCTTACAGTATTTATCTTATATAATATCACAGACTAAAGTTAGGAGAATATATAATTTGCATTGCTAGAATCCTTGCAAGACAGCGAATAATTTGAATATAAACGTCATATATTTTGCACAGGAGATAAAAATTTTAGCCCTTGTACGTGTACTGTAGTTTCCACAAATATATACAGCTCTGTATCTGTCCACTGTCTGACGGTAGTTAAGCCTATGTAGCAACGATGCACCGTGTCAGATGCATAGTTTAGACATGAAAATATTCACCAATGCCCAGAAAAATTCCTTAAGATGTGTGAATTTTTCTGGGGATAAGAGAATTCGTCTCTATACAGTATCCAGAAATATCTCAAACCCAGAAATGCTCTGCACCAATTGTTCTGGCTAAAGGGGATATTACTGTACAGTGCACAGTATTGTACTGTATTGAGAGTGGTTAACTAAACTAAAAATTAATTACATATGCCGTAGTGTTTTAATTATCATAACTCAAGGTATTTTGACTGTGGGAATGTTGATATCTTTAGTATCTCAAGACTTTGATCTGAACCTCATCAAAAAATCAAATCCAGCAAAAACAAAACATCTCAAAATGTACTGTATACACTGGTCTTCAGCTTGTGATGTACGTAGGCCAAATGGTGATATGGTGATACAAGATGGCCGGCCTTTGTCTTCTACCATCTACTGTAGCAGGTGTTGCTAACTGCCACTCTCCTCTCTCTCCATGAAGGAGGGATTATATGCACTGTATATAATACATACACATGAGCCTACAGTAGGCATACATGGTCCACTGTGCTATGTTCAGTACTGTACAGTCACAGTCAAAAGTAATCATCCACTCCACTTCTTAACCCTTTTGCTTGGTCGGGTCATTTCTGCATGGTAAGTCATGTGGGGTGGAGAGGGGGAATGGTCAACTTGGAGGAGGGCTGTCTGTTGGTGGGGGGAGAGGTGTGGAAAGGTGATATGCAATGCAAGTTCATTAGAGTGGGAGGGGATTGAAGAAAGCAGGGAAATTAATGAAAGAAGGAAGAGACGAAAGGATGTAAGTTTTTTCACTATACAGTATTACCCCGCTTTACACGTTTTTTTTTTACGCGTTTCCACGTTTACGCGGTACCCTGCCAGACCCGGAATGCTCACTTTACGCGGTGCATGTACTCTTTTAAGCCGAGAGCGGCGCGGGCAGGGTGCGCACAAGGTCTCCCAGTCATCAAAACATTACCGAGTTCTTCACCCGCCACCCACCACAGCCGGCCCAAGTCAGTGATAGTGATAGTGAGGATATGGACTTATATGGACTTTGAGGGGTTTGACAAAGAGGCCCTGCAAGCCTCTGTGGTGGATAGTGATACAATTGATACAGGTGAGGGCCAATAATCAGCCCTCTGCCTCGGAACCAATCCCCCATCCCCGTGTGCCCAGCCATCTTTTCTACTAATGTAAGTGTTAAAAAACCTAATATTATTGATATTTCATTTAATTATTAATTGTGTGTGCATACCATCATAAAATTAAGAAGTTATTTTTACTGCAACGTAGGTATTGTGTCTGAAAAAGTGGAGTTTGGGGGTCGGCCCGGTCTCTATTTTAATTAATCCCATATGTTATGTTGTTCACTTTACGCGTTTCTCACTTTACTCGGGCCGCCGTGGGTTCAATTGACCGCGTAAAGTGAGGGTTCACTGTATTGTCTTAGGTTAACATGCTTGAAAGAGTAATAGATGAAGACTCGTATTTCTTGATTATTTTAATGTGTCATCCATTTTTTTATGTACAGTATAATTTTTTCATGTTATTGTTAATGCTTTAACCCTTTGGATGCGACATGCGGGTAAACCCGCCCAAAATATTATATTAATTAAATGCGACAAGCGGGGATATCCCACGGCCTTGAAAAAACTTCCCCAAATGAGACGACATGCGGACATATTATGTATTGAGGTATAGGAGTATTTCCTGAATGCAATATAGCTTATTTTTGTACTATTTTGTTTGATATTATCTGAATATGTAATACATATCTAAATTTGCTGTTTAGTAACCAAATTGATTAAATTTATTTGCCATATACCAGACATTGATTTATACCAATTTCCTGCATTTTTGGGTATAAATGTCATTTTTTCTCTAAAATTTGCACACATATGTGAATTTTTGTTCCAGATTTGGAAAATATACTAAAAGTTCTCTAGGAAAAACATATAGAAAATGTGATTATATGAAATTCATTTTTGGCAGGATAATTGACACTTTTCAGGAACCGGCGCGAAATTTAATTACGCACCTAAAGGGTTAAACAAAGATATTTATATATAGTACTATATAATAACGTTGATAAGAGGAGAAATATTGAATAAGAGGGTGGAAATCACATTTATTTTTAATATTTACCATTACAGGTCATACTGAATCTCGATAGCCCATCCAATGTCTTCCTCGCCTGTCAGTCGTGGTCTCCCCGGCCTAAAATTATATCCCGTAATTTATATGAATTAAGAGTTCAAATATATTTTGTTTATATTGCACAACCAAAATTAGTAATTTTAATATATCAAATGAGAGCAAACAATCAAAGCTACTCATGGCAGTCACTTTTCTAAGTTTCCTGACTCTCCCAGCAGGTTAACCAACGTCCTTGCAATTTCTAACCCGTTGTACCCAGCCACGCACAAACTGATAATATGCCCTTGCCTTGCCTGTCGATGTTCTTTCGCGTCTATCCTGGGCTTGGTGTGGAGTAGTGGTCAAACACTATTGCCATGTCTTTAAAAAAATTCACCACTTCTTTGGTGCACTCCTCAACACTCAAGGAAGCAGTTGTTTTGAAATGATGGAATTAGTGTTGAAATGAGATAAGGTGGTGGTGTAAAGGAATTTTGTGGTGTGTGTTAAGGGCTGCAGTCCTATACCCAATATTTCCCACTGAAATACTGTACATATAATGATATAATGCTATTTGATGTTGTGTGACAATTCTCGGTCAACTTTATTTATTTATGATTGTTTATTCTGTGTTGAAAGTTATTTATTTATTTATTTGTATTCACTTTTTTTTTGAAAGTTGAAATATTTTAGTTGAAGGGAACCTTGACTCAGTTGTAATAAGTCATTCTGAGGCAGGAATCAGTTCAAGTTCATGTTACCAGTAATAAAGTGTCACCAAATGTTGTATTTTGATCAATATCGCTACCATTACAGGCCTCCAGTGCACAGATGATTACAAGAAGTAAACCAAATAAAGTGGACTTCAGTCGTCTTCTGCACGTCAATCCCAACAACAACTTGACTGCTCACAAGTGGCGGTTACAGTTACTGCAGGAACTGTCCAGCTTCCTGGAAGCCATCCTTGGGGAACAAAGGCGTGTACAGGCACAAGTACCCTACACTCTTTGGCAGGTGGGTGACTCAAACCTCCTTGACAACCATTTTTTCATATGATAGTGACATTTTGCTTCTATACCCATTTAATTATGCAAAAAATGATTATGGTAATGTAGTTGTTGATATTGAGGAAATTAAGGATGCTTGAAGAAAATACAGTACAATGATCATCTGATGAATGAGGAGTTCAGCAGGGACAGGAACAACCTAGAAACAGCAGAGTCAGTATAGGGATTGATTGAAAGAGAATGAGTAATGAAAGCAAAAGACAAAATAAAGACTGAAAGGCTGTTGGTCACTATGGAATAGTTTTAGAAATGCTGAAAGTAAATTACTGTGGTGGCATGATGATGGTTACTGAATTGACTAAAACAACTATGAAGGAATTACAGTTCCAGCTGACTGAATGAAGAGCATGATTATGAATATTTAAAAGGGTGAAGCCAATGCAATTGAATGTGGAAACTACTGTACAGGGGCCTGAAGCTGTTAGATCTAGTTTATGAAAATTATGGAAAGAATGTTGTAGAAATTGATAAGGGAGTGATTGAACATTAATGAAATGCTGTAATATTAGTTTATTGTTCAATCTATTTATTATTTATTTATTTACTTCTCTTTCTTTATTTCCTCCTTATTTTTTCTGCTTATTCTGTTTCTCATTTGTAGGGTGAGAGAGGGGAATAATGAATAATAACTGGATGAATAAAGGAATCGGGATAATTGGTGTACTACTCACTTAATTCATTACAACACACAGATCGTAGGAATAAGGGAGATGTATTTGAAGGAGGATTAACAGTCAGTATTCATTTAAAAAAACATATACAGCATGCCCTGACAATTCACAGATTTTAAATTCATGGACCTCAATTATTCGCGGATGACACTTGGATGTACTGTACCCTAGAATGTCTAAGGGTAGTTTTAAAGTTGCTGGCATTTTTGCAGTTTGGACAGGGAGCCATTCATTCTAGAGACAGTAATTTCTTTTACCTGTATTGTAAATGCATGTGTGTGTGTAGACACACACACACACACACACACACACACAAAACACATGCAAATAAATAATAATGGGAAAATCCTCTCACAAATAATCAGAAACAAGACAACAATATTTAAAAAAAATGTCAGAGTCTACCCTCAAGTCAACTCAGGGCTTTGTTTAAAGTCTTATTTCTGATTACAGGGTATTTGTGAGAGGATTTTCCCATTATTATTTACTTGTATGTATTTTGTGTATGTGTGTGTGTCTACACACACACATACGGTATATATATACAGGGTGTTCCTTAAATACCTTTCATAAATCAGAGGGTGTATTTCTGAAGCATAACTAAAGATAAATAACCAAATTGTCAATTCTCAATATTTTTGGAGTTACAGCACATGACAGGTTTGGTAGGAATGTGATGAAACCTACAGTTACCTGACATAAATCCCCTTAAATTTCTACCTGTGGGGTCACATAGAAAGCAAGGTGTATGTTACTGTAGGGTTTGTATGTATGCCTGTATGTTATTGGACCTCCTACAGTTACAGAGGTCCCAAACCGCAAGGAATTGCGGTGCCGTGTACAGGACAGTGTGACAAACATTCGCAACACCCCTGGGGTCTTTGAACGTGTGCGACAGTCACTTGTGCAACGGGCTGAAGCCTGCATTGAACAAGAGGGGCGGAATTTTGAAAATTTGCTCTAAATGTTAATACCAGTACAAATCATATGTCATTATTATTGTTAATTGTCACTAGTAACAGTGGATGTTTCATGTACACCCCAAATAGGTTTCATCACATTCCTCCCAAACCTGTCATGTGCTGTAACTCTGAAAATATTGAGAATTGACAATTTGGTCATTTAGTCATTTATCTTTATTTATGTCTCAGAAATACACCCTCTGATTTATGAAAGGTATTTAAGGAACACCTTGTATACAATACAGGTAAAAGAAATAATTGTCCTGATGGCAAACACTTAAAGGGAATATACATATCTTTGCACACGAATAACAATGTAACCCCCAGTAGTAAATGTTATTCGTGGATTTGGCCATTCGCAGCCTTTTTGAGAACTAGACCCCTGCGAATTTTAAGGGCATGCTATATTCTTAATTAATTGTTTAAAGTGACCACATTTCATAATATGACATCAAAATTTACCTATAGGGTACACACAAATAACTGCCATGTTTGCCACGTGCCGATACTATGTCCTTGCTGTTACACTCCAAAGACCAGACTGATTTTTTAAAAGTGTGCACTTGTCTCAGCCAATCATCTTACAGATCACTATGATTGGTTACAGTGTAAATCTACACATGGCACTAACACTACAGGTGGCTTGGCACAACACTTCACTGGCTTTTGGTGTGAAACTTGTCTGTAACAGAATTTTATACTGTACAGTTTTATTCTAAAAAACATGACATTATCACAATGCAGTTTGGTTTCATGCCAGGTTAGGGACTACAGAGGCAATAATTATAGTCGGATAAATGTAAGGGAAATATCTAGGGAAGGGGAGAAAATTGTTCAACACTTTGCATTTGTAGGTTTAGGAAAGACATTTGACGAGGTATCACAGAGGTAGGGCAGTGGGAAATGAGAAAGTATGGGGTCAAGGAGTTGTCTTGTTCAAGTGGGTATGGCACTGCATGAAGGCTCAAGAAATGAGCAAGTTGAAATAAGAATGGTGATGGATATGTACTGTAATGTAACATCAAGAAACAGGAAACCCTGCTCAGAGCTAAGAAGATGTATGGTTATTGAGGGTATTGGTGAGGTTTTCCTTAGAGGTTTATACTGTACTATGAATGTTCCTTTTAACTGTAGATATAAGATTTCATTTAACTACCTATTTTAAGTTAAGACACTAAAACAGCATCCAAATAATTTTGTCTGGTACTAAGTGAACATATCTTACTGGGAACAACTTGTAACAGGGATATTGTTTAATGTTTTATGATGTTTTAATGTGAAGGGGTATATGTGCATGATTAATTGCTGATGTAATTTAAATCTATTAGTGAATGGGGTGTATCATCAATTAATTATTAAAAGCACATAATGTTAATAGCCTCACTCATTGTTCTTTCTTCATGAGGAATAAAAGAGAGCAATATTATCAACTGTCCATCAGTTGTGGGGGAACTCTGTTTAGTTATTATTGTATAGGTTAAGGGAAGTTAACTTATTCTTATTTTATTACACTGGACACAATATTTGATTATATGACATATCCCCTACATTTACCAGTAGCTTTTACCGTTGAGGGACGTCCTCACTCATACACTCGTACAATTACCAGAATTAACACTTACTTATAAAAGTGACTGCCCTTGTTGACATGCATCACCACCACCCCACAGCACTCACGGCTTCAAGTTTCATCCTCCCCTACACACTCCTAGGGCTTTTCCAAACCTCACAGGTTTAGTTTCTGCATTGTGAATGGTCGCACAATATTGTAGGCAGAACTGACTACAGTGGGAGGGGACGGACCATTGGCCTGACTACTCATGACGCAAGTAAGTTAGATGGGAGTTATAAACACAAGACCAAACATCTGTGCCTTCCTGTGGGAATGTGGGTGTTATGGGCTTGGGTGGTATGGATGGCCCGTGGTCAGTTCTGTTATGTGGGTGGCCCTTATGCTACAAATATATATTTTTGTTTCTCTGTTTTTTCATCATTTTTAGGGTACTTAATTTGTTTTTAATGTGCTGGTGGAATGTTCCTACATCTGGCAGGTTGGTAAGGGATGTTGACAGTGAGGGGAGTGAAGGGAATGTTATTTGACAGTATAGACACCTGGCAACCCCCCCCCCCCCTTCCACTGGTTTACCCATGAAAATTCCACTTTTGGATATTTCTGGGCTGCATGTGCATCTCTTAAACAAAATTTCAAATCTCTGTCTTTAAACCTGTAGGTGTGCATAGGTGTACAGACATACTAACAGACATTATCCTTTATATACAGTACCTGTACTGTATATATAGAATATAAATCGGCAAAAATTCTAAATTTTTCCTTATTTTTTTTAAAACTCTGGAAAGTTCCAGAAGAATTTGTTAGCCTTAATTAATCTTCCCTCTTGTAAAACTCATTCAATATTTTTTTGATTTTTTTTAATGCAAAAATTCTGTAACCTGAGCTTCTGTAACTTAAGGGAACCTGTACAAGGGGTAATTGGCAGAATTCACTTAATTGCTGGAGTGAGAAGAGAAGTCATAATTAAGAAACTGTGAGTATGATAAGAAAGTTTTCTTCTCAGAAGTATTTCCATACCAAGAAAATGACATGTCTCATATAACTTGAAAATGCTAATATAATTTAATATAATTTTCATTCCAGACCATTGTTGATGGAAGTTTACCACCAGTGGTGTGCGGAGACTCAGTACAGGGCAAAACACAAGAGTCTGGGGTCTTTTCCGATCCCTGGCAATTGGAAAAGTTCTGCTTCTCCATCATTCCTCTCCTCTTTCAGATTTGGGCTGAAGTTGATGTTAAGGAAACTAATGATAATACAGGTTAGTTACAGAAGTTTGTAGAGCCTTGATTAATGTTTTAATGAGTAAACCCTTGATAACTCGGCACCTATGGGGCTCTGACCTTGCCAAAATATTTGAAATTCCGAATTATCGAGGCACTTCCCCTACAATAATAAAACATTATATATCGGCCCATATACGTGTACATGTACTGTAATTATTAATATAAAAAATGACACTTACCAGCACTGTAGGCAAAGAATGAAACCTCATAGTAGGAGACAGAGACATGGTAGGTGACGCAGGTGGCGAATGTGATGGAGTGGGACTGCTATAAACAGTAAACAGTGTGGCACTTATGTATTCTACTGTAATTTGGTCACTTACAAAATAAAATGAATTTAAACAAAAATAATTGTGTTCTCTAAGTATAATTCAACTCTGAGTATGTAAATAAATACAGTAATCCCGTGTTTTTCTCGTTTTTTTTCGGTTTTGACCATTCGCGTTTTTTTTTACTAAAATATTATATATATACTGTACAGGTAGTCCCCGACTTACGTCCACCCGCACTTACGACCGCCTCAGTTGTACCAAAATGTGGTCAAATTATGTATTATTGAGTCCCAAAGTCAGTACACAGACAAAATTTTCATCTGTAATTCACTTTAAAATGGCTGGCAAGCTTAAAAGTGAGTGGTTTGTGGTGCTGAGAAGAAAAAGAGACCCAAATTTTTTATTTTTTATGTGTTATTTAAGCATTTCCGACTTACGACCATTTCGACTTACGACCTGGATGTCGGTCCCTAACCCCGTCGTAAGTCGGGGAGTACCTGTATATATAAAATATCATTTAAAAACAAAAATTTTAATTTCGCGCCATTTTCAATATTCCCTGTGCGGTGCGGCAAAGTGACGCCACCTTTTCCCGCCTCAGTCCACACGTGCCTACCGTACTGTGAATGTTACTGTGACTGCGTAAGGGCGGGCAGATGCTGGGACAGCAGGGAGAGGCTGGCAATGCGGGTGTTGCCGACCTCGGCGAAATATAAAAAATTTAATTACTTGTAAATAAACAATTTTTGTATAGAAGTGTGTTTACGTTTTTCCATTATTATACAGTACTACATTATGATTAGTTTCAAATAATGACGTTAGTAAATGCCGGTACAGTGCATCAGTGATCAGTGTGACCACTGGGCCGTGAGTGGAGAGCATGGTGTGGTTAAGTGCATGACCTACCTGAGCTGTTTGGTGGCCACAAGTACAGTGATTCCTAAAAGAGTATTCGCGGGGGTTTCAGGAACGTAATTCCCGCAAAAAACACGTGATTACTGTACTTAACTTATATCACTAAGGATATTATAATCCACCCGAGTAAAACCGTTTTCTTTATTACATAGCAAAAGAGTCAAAATTAAAATACAGTGGTCCCTCAGTTAACGAACACAATTCGTTCCACAGAGTCGCTCGTTAACCGAATCCATTGTTTCAATGGGATATTGGGTAATTGGTTCCAGCTCACAGAAAAGTACATACAAAGTAAAAAATAAATTGCAGTAAAGTACACTTACTTTGAGGTTCGTATGTAGAAGGATCCTGGTTGATGATGATGATGATGGGAATTAGAAGTGGGGGTGGAGGAGAAGGGAGAAGAGAAGGAAGTGGGGATGGAGGAAATCACCTTTCAGGGGACCCATGCTTGATGCAGTAATTTCACCAATAAAATTTTAAGTTCACTAGGTGTAATTCAAGATTATTTTATTTAAATCATCACTGCACTGCGCTATATATTATCAATTTGTTAACTAAATTTCAGAATGACCAATAATTTTAATGTAAAAATGCAAAAATATTCTAGACACCAACAAAATCGATGTTCACTCCACTGTAAACAAAGCCAAACTGACGCCTGGTGGGTGAGTCCTTATACATTAGAACCTCAGTGCTTTGAGGGATGGGAACCAATACTTACAGCAAAATTATATTTTCGTGATATATCATTTTATGAATTACCATAGGGAAAATGGGGTACAGGACTGGAGACTCAAAAAATAACCTTTAAGGCATCCCTTTGACTGAACATTGGTAGCAGTGAGGCTCCACTGTAATGTGTACAGGTGTATACAGTATAGCAATCTCCCTGCTAGCTGGAACTTTCCATTACCTGAAAAATAAAATTTTAGCATTCCGAGAAAAATCTCTCCTTTTTAGGCATGCAAATGAATTTCCGAGCGATTGCATCATGTACCGAGCATATGGGTGGGTAGGCTCAAAGTGCTTGTAAGCTATGATTAACTACTACTGTCACATAGCATGAATCTTTGTCCAAAATTATTTAAAAATAAAAAATAAATTTTCTTGCCAATCATGAGGTCCATTTGTTAATGTTGTGGAATGGTGTGGCATAGACCGTGTGGTTCCGCCAACCCAGCCCTCATCACAACAACATAGCTGTGCCGTGCTCAGTCATAATCATCATAGGATTAAAGCAATATTCCATTCACCAATGAATTGAAAAGGACATTAATAATTAAGGTCAAACAGTGTTGTAGGAAGGGACTGGTGGGTGATGGATGGCCAGCCTCACCTCACATATATACAAGATTACCACCAATACCACACCACGCCGCACTGCCCGTCAAATAACTTTACTGTCCTTTACTTTATCTTCTTTGACACAATCACTTCCCAACCAGCACCACCACAATTACTGCTCCAGCACTACCACCACAATCACTTCTCCAGCACTGCTACCACTACAATCACTTCACCAACACTACCAGTCCACCATAATCACTCCCAACACACACACACACACACACACACACACACACACACACACACACACACACACACACACACTAAATAAAGTAAAATTTTTCTTGGTCTCTCATTTTCTCTCGGCAGCTTGGCTCTTGGTGAGTCACCGAGTGGCTGGTGATGCTGGGAGCTCTCATACACCTAATAGCAGTGTGTATTGTCTCGGCTGTGACACACAGCTCCATTCAATTTTCGTGCCCCAAAAATACCTCCATTTGATGGCCCTTATCGTATAGATTTTTTTATAGAGTATATTTATTTAAATACTGCTTAAAAGTCATTCTTATTGATGCTGAACTATGGATATCGTAAAAAGAGATGAACACGGAGAAGGAACGTCAGTGATTGGGCACGTGCACGGCTTGGCTCCCTCTACGGTGCATTCTACAGTTAAAAGCGTCGACAAGATCCAGGAGATGGCCGGGTCTGCAACACCACTGATGGCTATGAAGGTGACGAGGTTCAGTGATGCTGAGATGGAGAGTATGGAGCGGATGTTGAGCACGTGGATTGACGACCAGACCCAGCGCCTTAAAACACCTTTATCGCAACGCATGATTCAACAGAATGCAAGATCGCTGTGGAAAGATATAACTAAAGATAAACCCAACGTACCTGAGTTCAGTAACAGCCGTGGATGGTTTGATAGATTTAGGAAACGTATATCAATCCACAACCTAAAAATACAAGCAGAATCAGCTAGCGCCGACCATGAACCAGCAGAGAAGTTCCCACCGTTTCTCGCAACCATAATTAAGGAGGGTGGGTACAGTCCTCAGCAAGTCTTCAACTTGGACGAGACCGGACTCTTCTGGAAGAAAATGCCTTCATGGACCTACATATCTAAGGAGGAAAAGACCGCACCGGGATTCAAAGTTGCCAAGGACCGCCTCACTCTATTGATTGGTGGAACTGCTGAGGGTGACCTGAAGTTAAAGCCTCTCCTTGTGTACTGGTCTGAAACACCCCATGTTCTGAGGGGGGGTTGTGAAGGGACAACCTCCTGTAGTCTGGCGTTCAAACCTTAAGGCTTGGGTGACAGGGTCTGTGATGCATGACTGCATGTTCAACTATGTGTCCGGTTGCATTAATCGCAATAATAAGGAAATTGATTTTGATGATAAAGCTCCGATGGTGATCGACAATGCACCAGGTCATCCACCAGCTATGGTTGACTGGTGTAAGAGCATTAAAGTTGTGTTTTTGCCTCCCAGCACCATGGCTTTGCTGCAACCCACGGACCAGGGCATCATCTCTACATTCAAGGCGCTTTACACTCAGCATATCATGGAGCAACTGATTGAGGGGACCGATGGAGAAGGGAAACCTACAATCCGGGAGTTTTGGAAAAAACATTACATCAGGAAAGCCATAAAAAACATCAGTGATTCATGGGAGGAAATAACACAACAGAACATGAACAATGTGTGGCGTAAGCTGTGGCCCGAGTGTGTGCACAACTTGTTGGTTTCCCTTCAGTGCCTGCAATAAGGAAGACTATTGTGACTCTTGCAAAGAAGGCTGGATTCGATGAAGTGGATGACGCTGACATAGAAGACCTCCTCGACTCTCACAATGAAGAACTTGCCAATGAAGACCTGATAGAACTGGAGAGGCTTCAGCAGGAAGAAATGCCACTTGCAATGGGAGAAGATGCAGATGAAACTCCAACACAACTCCTCACTGTACAGAACCTAAGGAAGCTGATTTCTTCATTTGAGATGGCGATGGATATGGCACTAGAAATGGACCCTAATGTTGACCGAAGTTGCACTTTCATCCACAATGTCAAGAAAGACATACGAGCATACTACGAGGTGCTTGAGAAGAGGAAGAATGCACAACAAATGACTCGATGCATTTATCACGGCCAAACCTTCAACCTCCAGTGCACCAACCACCCCACCTACATCCAACAGAAAACAGCTTTTAGGTAACTGTTCAAGATCAGTGTAAAACCACAGCCTTCAACAAGTGAACCACAGCCTTCAACCATTGGAGAACAACAGCTTTCAGTGCAAATTGACACCGATAATGAGTGAGGTGGCTGACGACCTTTGCAGTGATGATGAGAGTGAGATGGCTGACGACCCTGGTAGTGAGGAGAGTGAAGTGGCTGACGACCCTGGCAGTGAGGAGAGTGAGGTGGCTGACGACCCTGGCAGTGAGGAGAGTGAGGTGGCTGACGACCCTGGTAGTGAGGAGTGGCTGAGGGTGTGCTGACGACCCTGGCAGTGAGGAGAGTGAGGTGGCTGACGACCCTGGCAGTGAGGAGAGTGAGGTGGCTGACGACCCTGGCTGACGACCCTGGCAGTGAGGAGTGAGGTGGCTGACGGCAGTGAGGAGAGTGAGGTGGCTGACGACCCTGGCAGTGAGGAGAGTGAGGTGGCTGACGACCCTGGCAGTGAGGAGAGTGAGGTGGCTGACGACCCTGGCAGTGAGGAGAGTGAGGTGGCTGACGACCCTGGTAGTGAGGAGAGTGAGGTGGCTGAATACCCCAGCCTCCTCTCACTCCAGTAAACCTTCACCCTCTCCCCTAATGCCAAATTCAGCAAGCAAGCAACACAACACATCAGGGGTAAATAAACAGTCTACGTTTAAAACTTACCTCACACACCTACGCACATAAACATTCAAACACTCACACACTCAAACATGTAAAGTATTCTGTACTTGTAAACATGTACGCCTAATAATCTCAAAGTGTTTGTTATTGATGTTTATTTGATATTATGCCCTTGTTTCTTTATCTATTTCATGTTCTATATGTATTGAGTAAAACAAGTGTTAAAATCCGACGGCCGTGACCACCCGTATCTCCCCTATTTACATTATTTCTTATGGGAGAAATTGCTCCGCTATTCACAATTTCGATATTTGCAACGAGTTTCATGCCCGTAACCTTTGCGATAAGTGAGGCAGCCCTGTGCTGTATATAAATTTTTTCTTTCTCCCAATTTTACACGTGCAAGTATGAATACCATGATATATGTGGCTACCCTTCTCCCTCTTCTCATGTTCGTTCACAAAAACTTTTCGGGCTTCCTCCCCGTGTTTTCTGATTACTTTCAGCATGCAGGCCAGAGTTAAGTTTTCTCTTCAGAACTCTATTTTATTCATCTCCTCAGTAGCGGGTTCAGCCTTTCCAGACGAACTTTTGCGAGGCTGCTAGTCTTAGTGATCCTTCCGGACGCTGACCTTCCGGTCTTACTAGCAATCTAGAGTTATGTTGGGATGAATCTTGTATCCTCAGTATGGGTTAAATGAGAACCATTCAGGGTGGAATTCTCAGCCCAATACATCTTGCTAGAGTAATGGTAAATGATGTTTGCCAATGGAGTGCTATGGTAGCAGCTCAGTACTGTCAACTCTTCCGGGTGACTTGATGCTCACTCAGGCATCATCGCTTTATTTTCTTTTTCTTAATATCAGACACTACTGTACTTGTTTAGATATTGTGAACTCCTTCATGATCTTTACTCTTGCAATGCCACTTTCAAGCTTCTCCATTATTTATAACTTATCTGCAGCATTTTTTCTTTTTCCCTCATTCATTCTTCCTTGGGATGCATTTTGAACTTTTTACTGAGGTTAAAAGCTAAGAAAAATTAAATGGTTTGTGGACACTTGCTCAATGCTCTTCACCAAGTGGCAGATAAATACCAACTGACACCATTCGGTTGCCAGGCCAGCTGGCTAGACCAGATTAACCAAAAGTTGGATCATTGGGGTCCAAACAACCAAGGGTTCTCAGGATGTTCAAAGCATGGCAGTGTTGTTCATCATGTAGCAATACAATTAAGTACATACAGTATATCAGGCTTTTGAATTCCAATTTTTACTTCATTTACGTTCATTTGTTTTCATTTGTTATGTTTACGTTGTTTTTATTATAATGCACAGTACAATACATAATTTTATTTCTCTAGTTCACCAGTCAACTATTTCCTGCAGTGCCATAAAATATAGCTGGTCAAACATGTTTCATGAGGGGACTGGGGGACACAAGACCTAGGGTATTTACCTAAAGTTTCCTGACAAAACAGTATAGTAATGAGTTGTTCGTCTGTTTATAGGTGGTAATACCTTGAGTGGAGAAGGTGTACAGACCCTCAGCTGCATTGTGAGCATCATCACACACCTGTGGCACATTACACAACTTTGTACAAACCAACAACCATCACAGGTGGGCAACTGTTGTTGTGTGTATATTTCTGTTTTGTCTACAATAATTAAAAACTTGCAAATGAGGGAATGCAGTGTATTGAGAGTAATCAATTGATTCACATAACTTTGCTTTTCATGTACTTCTATGGAAAGTAATGACTGGTGACCTTCTCTTCCCTGCAGTGTACATGGTTCATGGTGCAGCTAAAATCTAAGTACATGTCCAAAATCATGTGTGGATTTCCATATTATTGCCATATGAGTACATCACAGAAGAAACTCAGGTGTGTATTGCAGTAGTGTATTGTGGTAAAACTGGTTTTACAATTGTACTTTAAAGATTGCACATGTGAATTTTGGTCAAAACCTTACAATTCATTGGAAATATTGATTGTCTTTGTGTACCCATTTCTACCATTATTTCATAAATTCAAACAGAAGCTTCACACATAAAATAAACTGGAAATCATAAAATAATAATAATAAGATAAAACAACATTCAAATACTGTAAATGACTGAAGTTCCTTGGCGGATCATCTATTTAGGCTGGAGCTGCAGCTCAGACACTGTGCATATTGGCAGATGTATGATAATCTGATTCCAAAGCTGAAAAAAAATTGTGACAACTCATACTTTATATAAAAATTTCATTATTTATTTATTTATTTATTTGTATTGCTATCAAAACAAACTGTTTAACATAAAAAATGTAAAATTGCTTCAAACATAATGTAAAAGACATCCATATAGGTGACCTCTTAAAGTTTCAGCATGGTGCTGCCAGACATGGAAATAGTATCGTCCTGCAATTGACAGCTTGACATTAATATTTTAATTTATCATTTCTATCACTTATCAGCTTACTAGCTGTTCGGGTGGTCAGTCTCTTCTCTGTAACAATCTTCATATTTCAGCGTTAGAACAGAAGGAAACTATAATACAGTACCTGGATAAAACTTGCCACTGCTTCTTCAATACTTCAACACTATGTCATCAGCATATAACTCCTAGGGCAGACCAATCTTAAAATCTTGCAATTGTGCATCTAGCACAATAATAAACAGAAGGGGGCTCATGAGAATCTCTTCTTGAATCTTACTTTCATTTCATATTCCTCACTTTCGTCATCATTTATTCTCATAATGGTTCTTGAGCCCCCATACAATGACATAACCTCTTGAACAAGACACTTCATGACCATTAACTTTCTCAGTGCCTATTGCATTACTTCATGAGACACCCTGTCAAATCCCTTCACTAAGTCTATAAATACAAACTACAACTTTCTCTCCTTCTTTGGATATTTCTCTTGTAGCAACCTGGCCATAAATATTGCCTCCATAGACCCACCCACTTGGCATGAACACCATATTGCATTTAACGTCCACTTTCTTCTTAACAAATTTCTTGCTTACGCTTTATATAACTTTCTTAACCTGATGTAACAGCTTCAGGCCCCTGTAGTTTCCACATTCAACTGCATCACCTTTACTCTTGTATAAAACCTCAGTAACTCAGACTTTAGTATATATCGGAATTCGCTTGAGTTGCTCTGATAAAAAAAAAGGTGTTTTAAAAAATGGGGAAGATTAATAAATAAATCTTTTGAAATGAACAACACTTACTGAATACTGTACAGTGGTCTAATCAGATTTGCTATAGGCCTACTGAGAACTAAAACACTTCCCGAGTATGTAAGCAGGCTGGGGGCTGATCAGTTTTTTTTTGCCCCATCCCCCCCCCCACATCCTGTGCAACGTGAACCGCAGAAGTGTTTACAGTGCCCATTAGGGAAGCATGCTAAGTTCATGCTTGCCTTTATGTCTCATGAGTTAAGGGCGTAGAAGCCTGAAGGGTCATAGGTTTTTTTGTCAAGGGTGTAGAAGCCTGAAGAGTCAATAGTTTTTATCATCAAGTTATTGGAAGCTCCAACAACTTTCCCTGAATACGAATTTGCAACTTTCGATTTACAACAGGTACCTACTTTACTGCTTGGTGAACAGGGACCAATGGGGGCTAGGAAGTGTGTCCAAACAACTTTCCACCGGCCCGGGAATCGAACCCGTGACATCTCGCTTGCGAGGCAAGAGCGGCTGATCAGGTGTAGCCACATTTGTCAAGTTTATTTATTTATTGATTCAGTATTATATTATCATATGATTGGCCTCTTATGGTTTATGGTTCATGATGATTAATATAACATCTTCAGTAATAGAGAAAAATCACAATACTGTATGTAATTTGTAATATGACTTAAAAATCAAAGGATAAGCTGTATCAGAAGGTTCTTTATTTAAGATGTGTTCATGTGAGAGCTTTCAGCAGACCAGCTTACATCAGGGGTTACAATAACACACTGTATAGTATTTGATATGAAGATACCTTCCTAACAACGTTATTTACTCCCTTTAAGTGTTATATGATGGCTCAGTTTGGCTACTTGTACACTTAGACAAATGATTAATGAACAAACCAGGGTATATGCAGATACCTAATAATTTACACTACATTAGTATTTATTAAGTGGTGATAAATACACGACTGTACTGTACTAATTTACTAAGTGTTGAAGACAGACATTGTGGTAAGCCTATCAGCTGTTTGCCCTTTGTAAACAAATGACTCATGGTGTTCAGTGTGGAATTCTTTTTTCATGAAAGCCGATTCTTTTGGGATACTATTTTATCAACCTCGCACCAAATGATCCTAAATTATATAAGAATTGTGGAAGAGAGGGGGAGGGAGCAACCCACTTGTGCTACCCCCCTTCCCTCTGCCAGCTGCTCCCAGATAAACATTCGTCTTCCACATACAATATACTCCTACACTTATTTGTTCTTGTTTTTATCTTTATTGTACTGTACAGTATACAGTTTTCTCTTTATTCATAAGACAAATTCTGTGGTTACTTACATATAACACTTTACAGTAAATAACAATCATCTTTGGTGACAACAATTGTTGACAACCAGACTTAGATGTCTGATTTTCAACCAAAAGAGTTGTTTCATATTTTTTTTTCTTGTTGATGTAATATTCTTTTGATAACCTTGTTATACAGCTAAAGACCTTAGTTGTTGAAGTGCAGTAGTAACATGACAATAACTGATTTTCTTTAAACAGTTCAGATAAGCAGTGTTATCTCCCTCCCCCCTTATACTGTATTCACTTTTTTGGGACTTTCGCATTTTTCGGACTGGAGTCTGCCCCAATTAGTCCGGTTTATCAAGGTTCTACTGTACCTGTATTCACAATCACTCTCTTTAGTCAGGAGATACTGCATGTTGCCATGAAGAATATTGATGAAAAATTGAAGGTTTGTGCAGATGTTGTGTTGAGGGATACTAGTTTTCTCTCTTGCTTAAATTTATCCTAAGCCACATCCTATTCCTTTCCCAGTTTTGTCTCAGAAATTAAGTCTAGATACAGTACAATGTTCTCTCCTCATCATCTTGAATATAAGTTTCGTATTTGGATATTCTAGAGTTCTTCATTTCCATGGTGTTTTGGCAGGTGTAGGTATATTGATCATTCCATGGAATTGTTGGTTGTGGTGGGGAAAAGTCTGGGTTCCCTTTATTATTCTTTTTGGTTTATCCTCCCTTCCTAACCCACATGCTATGTTAATGGTTAACTCATGGAGGCATTGGTAACTGACATGTCTCCAGTAGTACTTGTTATCCAGTGTACTAGTTTGGGGCTTTGATTACCTAAAGCTTCTTATCAGAGGTTCAAGAATATGGTAAAAAAAACTGATAAAAGAGAGTTAAGGGAGTTATAATTCAGCATACCTCTAACATTCACAGTTGGCCAAAAAAAGGTTCATCTCTTCCAGTTAACATTGGATTATGAGAAGCTGCCTGGGAAAAGATGTAAGAGTCAGAAAGGGAAGAGTGATCCTGTTATAACTACTTATTGCTTATTGTCATGTTTAGAAAATGTTCTCCATTACTCATTTGTTTCTTAAAAGTAAACATTGTTAGAGAGCCCTTACTCATGATTAGGGTATGAACTAACATGTATGCTAACCTTGTGATAAGAATAAGTTAGATTTGATATTAAAGATTTTTATTCATATATTTTTCTCGTCAGCAGATCAGGTGTCAAAAAGTTGACCACTGAGGGAGATTACAGTTTGAGGCACTGTGATGATGTTAATGTGTCTCTGGCCCTCTTAACTATGCAGCTGTCTTCCTCTGAAGTCTTTCAAGAGGAAGCAGTAAATTTCCTTTCAAGTGAGTGGCTTTATTAAGTTTGGAATGTCTATTACTTATTCTCTAGTGCTTATAATGTTCAGAGAATCCTTTAAAATGATTCTATAGTGTTTTTTTTTCTCTTTCTTTCTATTGTATTGCTAAACCTCTTTTAACATGACCTAACCCCTAACCCATGCCTACAGGTTCTAATTTTTCTAAGCCCTTGTATTCAGGGATCAATAAATTCAGCTTGCTGGGACTGAAAGACATGACAAAATGTTAAGATTTCCAGCAAAAAGACACTAGGTAGTGTTCTTGGCTCAGAAATCCATGGAAGGGTTGGGGACCCATGTCATACAATAATATGAAATTAAATTATGAAATTAGATTCCACATAAATATACATCCATCGGTTGCTGCGAGTTCGGTGCCTGCTGACTGTCTCCCCGACACGAGGGTAACCCGATCCGCGCTTCCGCCTTCAGGTTTAATCGCCGTGCTTTGCGCGAGGCGTGCCCTTAAAAACAATTCTAGCAGTAGCAAGTCTACGGACTTGATTTAAAGTTGTGGTCATCCTGCATCCCAACAAGACAACTAAACTAAAAGTGATTTGCTCAGCAGTAGTAAACATTCATGCAGCAAAAAGTAAAGGAAATAAACTTAACTGATACTTTTTGTTTGGTAAAGTCATTACTGATGGTCACAAGCACAAAAGATTGTTATTGACACTCACTCACTCTCTTTCTGGAAAAAACATTTGAATAATCCTTTTAATCAGAGCTTGTAGTGAATGATATAAACATAGACTTGTCAAAATAAATTGTAATTGATATAATAATTGTGAAACTGGGTTCCAGAATTACTTCGTGATGGTAATCAGGATAGACAGTACAATCTTGGTTCTGTGGTGACGATTTTGCTGGATTTACTTCAAGTAATTCCTAAATCACAAGGTGAGATCTTGGTTAATGCAGCCCAGACTTGCTACTCGAATTTCCACCCTCTCAAGAAGGACCGTGCGCTCTTGCTACAAATTCTTCTTGCTGCCACTGATGTTGACCATACATATCTGTGGGAGTAAGTATCACTCACCAAGGTATTTGTATTTATAGCCTAAGTTATGTTTTTATGAATGATAATCACTGGGAAGCTTTAGGCAACATCTACAAATAAAGATTCATGTACTTTTTTCTTACAAAAACAAAAGTAAAAAAGCTGTAACCAAAAAACCAGTTTCATTACTTGCTGTTGAAAAACAACAGAATATCATAAGTTATCATATGAAGACATACACACACACACTGTAATTTAACTACATCTCAGAGTTTTATCCCAAAGTAATATCTTATTAGCTGCAGAATAACAGATCTTTATTGTTTTTATTTTTTCACTTTTGGAAGCTTTATCCCACTATATTAAGGGGTAGCTGGAACCAACAGCAAACTCAAACTCTCTTTTGATTCCCTGTCATTGATTATCGTGTACTGATGTAACAGATGTGCCCTGCTTTACTGTGGTGTTCCCCTTCTATAACAAGTCCTCTTGATAAATCTGCTTTAACCCTACTACTTCACACTACCTAAGAGCATTCATCCCATTTAAAACTCAATGACAGCTTATTTTCTATGGACACTGTTGTATTTTGGATGACCATCCTTTTTAATTTTCCTCTATCCCTCCTTCCCTCCATCTCTGAATTATACTGACTTCTTCTTAGTATTTTTTTTCTTCTCATTCTCACAGTACTACAGTAGTACATCTCTTAACCCTACATATGTGGGATGTCCTAAGTTGAAGGGACTATCTGTTAGCCATTGTATACCTTCACTGTTTATGTACTAGCTGAACCAATGTGAAATTGTGTGATGATAACATTGAATAAATATCTACAGTAAAATCTCAAATTTGCCAGTAGTGTGGCAAGGTTGCATTGGACCTTGGGACCATGATCTCAAAATGCCAGGAATTTACAACACCTATGTATGAACTCAAAGGCCAGAAACAAATTATCTTATTGAAAAAAAACATTTTGATATGAACAAGGTACCACACCCTATTAGGCCTTATCAACCTTACATTAAAAGGTTGGAGTTCAAACTATGGGTGATCCTACCAGAGTAACAGATGAAAACCAGGACATGCAGGCATGCAATCCTTAAACCAGATTGTACTTAATAAACTTACTGGGCTGGCTTGATTAATTACATTATTTAAGGGCAATTGCAATTTAAATTACAACTACTCTTCTAAAGTTTACATTACAAATACAATTAAAATTACTTGGTTCATGATATACTCTCAAATTATTGTACAATTACAATTTCAATTACATATAATGTTGTAATTAATCACTGGTCTTCAAATTTGGTGCTTTGGAGATAAAATGGTTTTCTCTATGGATTTTGGGGCGCTGAAAACGAATATAACCATAAAAACAGTTGATTTGCTACAGTTTCCAAGACAAATTTATTTTCACATTTTGTATATACAGTATGTATACAATATATTAGTAACATATAATGGTCACTTATCCAGATTAAACCCGACGCTTTTTTGCTTGTCCCGTGTATTCAAGTTCTGGGGCATGATAAGGAATGGGGCGAAATCTTTTTGACAGTCACGAAACTTACACACTAACATTTTCAGCAAGGAAATTCTACTGCTGCAGTCTAGAGCCCAACAGTTCTGCCTTACTCTTTGGCAATTCCAGATCTCTGACAAGGTTGTTTAGCTCATTCTGAGTTATCTTGTGCGGTAAAGAAGATGTTAAGTTATGAACGAAATCAGGGTCTTGTTAAGTTGAAGGCTCACAGGTTTTGCAGGTTCTGTTGTCCTCTGACTCCAGAGAGAATGAGTCTGGGGGCTCAGGAATGGGTAGTCCTTCGCCGTGAGGTACCGGGCGTATAGCAGATGGTATATTCGGATATTGTAAAGTCCACTTTTTCTTCTTCTAAACACCTTTCCTAACTGGAGACCCCATGGAATAGTAACAATTGCTTGCATGATCTGTTGGCTCCCTCCACACCATAAAAATATAAAAATGGATAAGATGCCACTGAAACCTCAGATGTGGGTCGCATGACAACATCCATATTGAACAACAAGTATCGCAGTGGGCTCCGAGCTGGGTGACTTGGCCTACGAATATTGGACATGACTGATTCAAATGTGTGTCAAGTATATATACTGTAATGTATAAATGGTTTATTCACACCTATTTTACTTTTGTCAGTATTTCAGTAATCCTTCATAATATCCCAGTTTAATGTTGTACAATAATTGTAATTTAATTAAACTAAACAGCAAATTACAATTACTCAAAATACTTTTACTAATTACATTTAGCTTCAATTACAATTACTAATTGATCCAAGCCTGCTACCAGGTAATTAAGAGAAAATGTAAAATCCTTTTTTGTAACATGACCATTAACATTTTAGATATGCTAGTATCCCCTCCATCACATTTTATTTTTTACAGGCATTGGCCCACCAGGTCACAGATCACTGACCCACATCAGGGTGGGGGGGGATATAATAATAATAATAATAACAATTATAATATAAAATAATCATAATAACAATACATAAATACAAACATGAAAAAAATCAAGAGTGAGAAACAATATATGTACTGTATGTTGTGTTGTCAAAGTAAGAGAAACAATTGAGACCCTGCAATTGTGTAAATGAGGCAGAAAATCAGATCAGCAACCTGGGACTTGGTCACAATTTTTGTGATGACATATGGCAGCAGGGTCTACCATTAGACAACACATTATGCTTCCAATATCTTCTCAGGTGGTAGTACCTCCCTGTTTGATAGCTGCCTACAACCTATTATTTTTACAGTTTTTGTTCAATACAAACCCACCATAAAAGTTATTAATATATTCAAATATAAAATTGTACTGTACATTATCTTATTATATTATATTATATATAATTGGATTGTTTTGTTCACGCTAGACATGGAGTAGGGTCGGGATATATCGCGAGATAGGGTCCAAGGATGTTCGCTATATACTGAATCGCGATATATAATTACATGTAATCAATGGGGAAAATAGGGTTAGGTTCTGGAGGCCAATAAAAGTGACTAAACTTGACATAAAATGGCACAGTCTAAAGTTAGCAGAATATAAATTACATTGCTGGAATCCTTGCAAGACAGCGAAGAATTTGAATATAGACATATATTTTGCACAAGAGATAAAAATTCTAGTCATACGGGTATGTACTAATTAAGTACTAAAATTGTTGTCTATTGCGAAATGTAGCATGTTTATATTCAAAGTATTCACTATCTTACAAGAATTCCAGCAATGTTAATTATATTCTCTTATATTCATTGACTTGCAGTTGTGAATGAAGGATTTAAATGTAAAATTATGATTCCCAGAGAAATGTGTATGAGTTAATTCAGGGTCAGGATGTCAAAGGTCATGGTCACTTGATAACATAATGGTAAAAAAGTAATGAAATGTGCTTTTTTTTTAAACATAATATTAATCAGATGCTTTGCATGAATATTTTACCAATTTGGTTGTCATGCTGTAGATGAATTAATGTTACAGTCTTTGAATCTCTTGGCCTGAATCATTGTCTAAATCTCATTGACCAGGATATGTGTAAAGACAGAAACTGTGGTGTGTAAACTGTAGGTCAAGCTTACTCATCTGAGACAAGAGGTGCCACTCCACCACAGTGAAAGCTTGTATGAAGCATTTTAGTTCTTACATATATTTTTATGAGGTAGTAAATGCTTTATTTATTTTCTCAGTTGTAGAAATATTAGTGTGTGGGTGGATCAACTTGTAGATGATCTGGTCCGTGGTGATGTTCGGGAAGCCCTCCTGGATTCTGCCATCATCCTTCGTTTACGTGACAACACTAAATTCAAACATTTGGTCCTTACGAGTAGAGAAGAGATAAAAGGTAAGTTTCACATCTCTTTTGTGATTTAGTTAAAACTATAATAGTAAGGGAATCATCAGAGAGGTTAGACTAAGGGTTGAGTGGTGAATGTGTACAGCAGACCCGTGGTGTCATGAGAGTTCGACCGAGAATTATCATGAAATGTAGAATCATGATATATTGATCTACACTAGATACCGTATTTCAATAGGATAAATTGAGTGCATCGAGTGGAACCCCAAATCAAGAGAGCCTCTGCTGTTGGGAATATCATTGTACTGTACAGTGACCCCTCCGTTAACGAACTCAATCCGTTCCAGAAGGTCGTTCGTTAACCGAAAAGTTTGTTAACTGAAACCATTGTTTCAATGGGTTTTTGGGTAATTGGTTCCAGCTCACCGAAAATTTCCTAAATTCAACAAAAATGGTAGAAAAGTTCACTTACTTTGAGGTGTGTATGTAGAAGGCTCCTGGATGTTGATGATGATGATGGGATTTAGAATGGGGTTGGAGGAGAAGGAAGAAGAGAAGGCATTGGGGTGGAAGAGAAGTCACCCCATGGTGCCATTTCACCCATAAAATTTTAGCTCTCTGGTGTAATTCAAGATTATTTTCTTTAAATCAACACTGCACTGCATTATATATTGTCAATATATAAAATATATTTCAAAATGACCAATAATTTGCTTGGAAACACAGAAAAAAAGCGTTTAGTTGAAGAGAGTCTCAAGCAAGATGTTACCTCCAGTGAAAACAGAGAGAGACTAACGCCTGTTTGCTGTGTTAAGAGGCTGGATGCCGCGCATTAAACTAGTCACTTTACCTTCAATTATGTTCAATAATTGTTAAAATGACTAAAAAATTGAATATTAAACTTTTAAAATTATTGAATAGTATAAACTTCTTGATATTTACTAAAATAGTAAGGAATTTAAGCCCTAGAACCGATTAATGTATTGGCGGACTGTTACTAAAGCTGGTTGCCCGGTCAGTGCAAGCGAAAACATGTTGAGGTCGGTTAATAAGAACTTCGTTAACCGAATTTTTTTTCGTTAACCGAATTGAAGATCCTTATGGAAGGCAGTTCGTAAATTGAAATTACGTTAACCGAGGTGTTCGTTAAACGAGGGGTCACTGTACTTGGAGTGGTAGAAGAAGCACTTGAGGAGAGGCATAGCAAGTGTCCACATGTTATGGCGATTGAAAACAGAACGGCATAATAATCATGGCTGGCCTTGGCTGCCATCTAGTAAGATACAGGATACAGGGGAACTCTCACCTGTTGTCGGCTGATGAACACTGGTCCATTTGAAAAAAAAAAATTCTGGGCTTACTCGGCAAACTAAAGAGGTATGACTGCAATAAAAAATAAAGGGGGTAGTATAGGGTGGCAAAAAATAGAGAAAGCAAAGTATTGAACCATGAAATAACAACAATCTACTGTACAGTATATTGTTTGTGGTACTCTGAGAAGGAAGCGTTGCAAAGCTCGATTTAAAACTCAGAGTTGGAATTAATTTAAACTAAACGATGAAACCCTTCATTTGGTCACTTATAATTGTAAAAAATAGCATTAGAGTTAAGAACCTGACAAGAGAGACTACAAGAGACTGTGCAACATAGAGAGCTGCTATCAGGTGATTGTGGCTGACACATGTAAGTGTGGAAAATGGCTGTAAAATGTTCGTGATGTTGAGATGATAAATTTAAGTTAGAATTGCAATTTTGTGATTTCATTGACAAAAGGGTTGAATTAATTGTGTGGCTTGGAGCATTGCTTAAAATTAACAAGACTTTGTTGTCATACATTGTTCTTGTTGACAGTGTTCCTTGATGTCAGGACAAACATAAATCAGGAACCATTCCTGAAATATACTTAATAAAGCCTACACTTTCTTGTTGGCACATCAGTGCACTGGTAGACTAGTGTAGCGTATTGTATGTGGCCAGTTGACTAATTTCTCTTTGTTGTGTGACAACTTTCTCTTTGTTAGACTCGCATACATACATACATATGTACGTACATGGAGGAGATCTCGCACTCAGGATGGAGGTGAGGAAGGAAACTCATAATGGCGTTTTCTTTATACAATATATATTATATGTACAGAGCAGTCAGGTGCTGGGGAGTTGCTGTGGAGGGGCTTCTTTAGAGGAGATCTCTGCTTAACCCTTAAGCCCCGGGTTAGGGTGCTGCTAGCAGTACCCCCTACGCGGGGTTAAATAAAAAAAAAAAATCAACATTTCCAAAATTAATTTAAAAAAAAAATGGCGGGAAAATAGGCGGACGTTTTGGAACGTCACCCGGGGTCTAAGGGTTAAGAGCTTGGTGTAGTCTGACCTTTACAGCGAGGCAGGGGGGTATTTATATGATTTTGCCGGATCAAGAAACGGAGATGCGAAGTGTGCGGCGCTGTTGGCTGGCTGTGGTGAAGCGGCAACAGGCTAATCAGCGAGCGATTTGGTGAAAGAGAGTTTGGTCTGAAACTTGCTGCTGTTTGGCTGAGGAGAGAACGGCAAGTGACTAATCAGCGAGCAGTTCAGAAGCGGGGACTGAGATATGGAACTCGCTGTTAATTGGCTGAGGCGAAGACGGGAACTCAGTTGTAGGGGAGAGTGTCCACTACACTAGCCCTAGCAATTCCCTTCATAACCCTAGGGTTCAGGAATTGGTACTCTAATACGGGCTTTAACTTTAGATCACCCGCAGCATTGCAACCCAGAAGAAGCATCTGATGATCTCTGGCTGTTTAAAATCCCAGGACAGACTCTTTTCCTCAGAAATGTTCTGTTTCAGCTGAGAAGGATGTTGTTTCATAGCAACAGTGTCCATACTTGCTGCTACCTTCGTCGTCTTTATGTTGTGCAGTCCCTGTCATCCCTTAAACCTCTCAAGCCATCTGGAATGAAAAGGTGTAGATGAAATGCACAAAGAAATACCATTAGGAGAGGAATATGATAGATGTACAGTATTTCAGGTGACATGAGATTGATTGATATTAATTAGACTCCCATAATACTTGTCACACTTACATCATCTTTACAGTATTGTTTCAAATTTGAAATATTAATTTATTGTGGATTATTGGAAGTACAGTCACGGACAAACGTTCTCTCCTCGTGGTGAAACTGAGTCATAGGAATGAGTCTCCAAACTGACTTGCCCTGACTGTTGTATCTCGTTTAGGGTCAATGCTGCTTCATTTTTTGTGGGGGCAAACTTTTGACCCTGGCTGTGCATGAAGTTTAAACAGGTCTGTAGTTAACCATCTCGTGGTCTTTCGACACAAACTGCATTGCTAAGCACTCCTATGCTGGGGGCAACCTCTCCCACTGAGAGCACCCCTCCAGGAAGCAGAAACGCAGGAACAGTGGACCAGCCCTAGGTTCCTCCCACTAGCCTCGTGGGCTGGTGGATGCATCTCTATGGGTGTAATTTGGGTCTGGATCGCTTTACCCAATGATAATTAAAATGGAAAAACTGTTCTTGTTATCCATGCAACTTGCGTTGAAAGACTGAGAGGGGTGAGATTTCCGACCATGGCCAGGAATGCCAGAAGGTTAATATTGACATGTACAGGGGTAGAGTATTTTAAAATTTAGAGGATTTTCACGTATGTACAGTCAAAAGAAAAAAGTCGTGTTACCCCACTTTAGCATTATGTTCTGAAACCCAAGATGAAGAATTTGGGTAAAGTCATAGCGAAGCTTCTAGGTTCGAGTCTCAACAGGGAACTATTGTATATACCAAAATCCTTCGGCATGGGTTTCAGAACATAAGACACCATAAGTGTAACGCAACTTTTTCCTTTGAGTGCACATAAATATAAAATAAATTAATACTGTATGCTGTACTGTATATTGTTATAAAAAATAGAATAGCTTTGATGAGATACACTTTTGGCCTGAATTAATTAGGTAATGTTAATCTTTTTTTCTTTATTTCCAGAAAAAATTCAAAGCAAAGGTGTCCAAGGTATGGCACCAAGTGAAGTTAACAAGAAACTTTTGTTTCTGCTGAAAGATTAATGGGTATGCATTTCTCATACATCAAATAAAATGAATGTATTTGATAATAAAATTTGGTTATTTTATTAAATTTACCTTGATTTTATGTATATTTATTTTATACAACTTTATGACTCATGGAGGATTTCAGTCTAACAACCCCCATGTATTTATGTTCCTTAAGACATGACATAATAGTGTACAATGCTATATTCTAACAGCTTACTACCCAGCTGGGTGGGCAGTCAGTCCTTTGTCAGGCACTGTTGGCAAGTACTGGGCATGTATGGCCTCTTGAATGTACCTGAACATGTGACAGTATTAATCAAGTCCAGGCTTTAATGAGCTCATGCTTGGTGCTGTCAGAACAGCCACTAGCAGGCTACTTTATTCCAAGAGTTCACAACCTTTAATCCATAGAAATTAGCTCTGATTGGATTGCAATGCATGAACACACCTCCACACAATTTAAAATTCAGACAAATTTTTTTTTGCTCCCGAAGAAATTTGGGCCCGTATTCCTGCTGGTATGTTAGTGGAAAACAACTTAACACACTAATGGAGTTTGATCATAGAGTTGCTCCAGGTCACCGAGACACTGACCTCTTTTAGGTTAGTGACACGCATGCACACACACAAGCAAATGTAATCCACCTAGATTAATATTCTAAGCAGCTGTCTGGCTGCTACACTGGTATATGTTAAAACTTAAAGGGAGCTGCTGAGCTGATTATGTGGACTGACCTGTCCTCCCAGGCTTGGACCTAGGGAAGTGCAGTCAAATCAGGTCACACATAGGCATAAAGGGCCTCCAGCACAAGGCCAGTGGTCACTACTGCTGGTACACCTGCTCCCTCCCAGCACGCTTCAGAATCGAAAAGTGACATCACCACAGTTATGTCCCAATTAGGACAGTTCACAGCGAGTCTTAGTCAGACTCAGTCACTATGGAGCCAACAATCATCCACAAACTCCTCAACTTAAGGAGCTTGATTGTTACTTGTCATGCCCAGGGGATGGGATGGAGATACTGAGGTCTTTCCCAACATTATGTGACTTATCTCTCACGTTTAACACCCCACTACCTGCATCTGCTGCTTGTGAGCATCTGTTAGTCATGCTGGGCTTATTATTTATTGTTTAATTAATTTATTGCACCCCAGGGGGAGAGAAGCCTAGTCACCAGGCCATGCAATCAGACACTAATGCATTGGTACTTGTGTCTCACAGGACATGCTATGACTTGTGACATGGAGGCAATATGGATTTGAATTAAGGACAGTGGGAGTTAACACCCATCATAGCGTGGGTAACATACAATAATAAAATCTAAATTATTACGAATAAGTAGGTGGTGACATAGTGGTCAGTGACTCTCCCTGTGGTGGGAGGTCCCTGACAGTGGGACAGTCAAGACAATAGTGTTGAAGGGTGTTAGTGTTGAGACAGTTACAGAGTTTACAGGAAGAGAAGTGTGGGTCATCCTCCACCTCAGATACAGGTACTCCTCGACTTACGACATGCTCGACTTACGACATACTCAACTTACAACATAGAGAACTTGACAACTGGCCACATACAGCACGCTACAATTGGTGACTCCGGGGGTCACCAATTGTAGCGTGCTGTACTCCGGGGATCACCAATTGTAGCGTACTGTACTCCGGGGGTCACCAATTGTAGCGTACTGTATGTGGCCAGTTGTCAAGTTCTCTTTGTTTGTCTATTTCTCTTTGTATGGGATCACATATGTACGTACACTCTCAACAAAAAGTATCGGTGCATACTGTAGTGTGAACAATTTGAGACCACCTGACGATAGGTATTGGGAAAGGCGAGTTGTTCCAACCGTATGTTGGCAGCCCTGATTGTCAGCCATATGGCAACACCTAGTGGGGGGGGGGATGGGTTATGAGGATACACTTACCAACCTTCCCGAAATATCACAGTGTATACGTATCGTTTCGGAACTCGTCGATCTCACCCTGCACCGATACTTTTTGGTGCGAGTGTACATGTAAGATATCTCACACTCAGGATGGAGGTAAAAATAGAAACTCACAATGCATTTTCTGTATATATATATTGTATGTACAGTGCAGTCCTGAGGAGTTGCTCTGTGGTGAGAAGCTTGCTCAGAGGTCCTGTTGGGTGAGGAGCTTGCTGAGGGAGCTGGTTGGTGAGGAGCTTGTTTGGAGGTCTTGCTGGTTCAGGAGAGTAGAGTAGAATGAGTTCTGCAGCCAGGCCTACGCGTATTTATACGGTTGGTCAGGATCAGGGAAGTGAGGTGTGAAGTGTGCGGGGCCAATCACCGCGGAAGAGGCCTGGTGTGCTGAACTCGTCGCTGCTTGGAAAGGTCAGAAATCAGTGAGCAGTAGTACCCCTATGTCCGTACCTGAGACCTAGTCTTGATGTAGCTGGGGCTTCTACTACCTGTAAGCTGATTGGCTGGTAAGCGAACGGCAGGTGATCAGTAGGCAGTTGTTGGGGAGAGTATCCACTACAAAGGTGTAGACAATGGCTACCACCAGAAGTCGTTTGTTGATTTTCTTTACTTTTCCTATACTTATTGTTTTGATGATTTTAAGTATATTAAAAGAAACTACAACTTTCCATTATGATTTTCAGTATTTTTTAAGAATTTTATTCCTTCTGGTGGTAGCCATTGTCTACACCTTTACCGAAACGTCAAAGAAGAAAAGTAAAAAAAAAATTGTCTAAACTATCAGAAAAACACATGCTCACCACGAGAGCCTTATTGGTTGAAAATGCAACTTTACCTTGCCATCCAACCTGGTCTCCGAGATATGCTCGACTGTCAGTGCCTGCACAGTCTGCACTATGGCACCTCAAGTTATCCAGAGAAATTAGAATGCCTGCAATTGCCTAGTTTATACTGTAGAGAGCATGGAGGGACCTACTGAGTCGAATGAACACATCTGGAACTGGCGGATGCCCACCCCACAAGGGGTCACTGCTTAAGGTTGAAGAAGCAACAAGTCTAAAAATGTAAGGGCAAACTTTTTCGGAGTGACAATTGTAAATTCTTGGAACAAGCTGCCAGAGAGTGTTGTGACGGCACCGAGTGCTATCTCATTCAATACCAGACTTGACCAACACTGGCGCAGTTACAGGTACATTATGGAGCCAGTACCAGTCACGTGACCGACCGCCCAAGCAACTAATAAGTAGACCAGACCAGTGGCAAAGGTCCCGAAAGGGATAAAATCACGAAAGTAAAGTAACCCTTCTCATGTGTCTTGGGCCAGGACTCGAACTCATGACATTGTCATGAGACGCATTATCGCTGTACCACCCAACTTTGGTACTAACTCTCCTCTGCCTTCATTCATTTCTTAAGTTAATTTACAAGAATCTTTAGTAAAATATTCTAATTTATGTACCTTGTCGAATATAATATAATCGTAGGTTGTATTCCACGGACTACAGTACATAAGAAAGTAAACATCACTTTACCGTAGATTCTTGTAAATTAATCTCACCAAAAGATTAATTATATATGAATGAAATGTTTGTTATGCGATAATGGTCCAAATGCTAGAGCTTCTGCAACATTCAAATAAAAAAAATAGGAAGGCTTTTTTTCGCATTGGGCAATTACTGGTGCGGTTAGCAGCTTGTCCAGTTTTTTTTTTTCACTAGTTCCTTATAAGGCTAAGTACATCCATTTTCTGCCATGCCAGATTTGATCGTTAAATTAGGGACATTAACGTTATAGTAGGTCATATAACCGATAATTCAGTTGTATAAATATGAGAGGAGATTGATTAGAGAGAGTACTATACTGATGATGAAGAAAAGGTAGACTGTGGTGAGGGAGAGGACAACATCCTGGACCTCACATCCTGGCTCTCTCACAGTAAGTGCCCGGACGTCAACAATAATAAACAATTCTCAGCTGGTGACCTCACATAACCTCCTGTAGTCATGCTCAATAATTATGACTTACATGGACCCCTGGAGATGCAAGTAACACCTTGTCGGCGGTGTTTCACAAGCTGGAAAATGGCGGATTGGAGTGATATTACAAAAGGGAAAAGGTGGACGATGATATACTGTATTATTATCAACCATTATTAAATAGTACCTTCATTATATCGGCATACGTGTAATGTAGTTTAAATTATTATAAAAAATGGCTAATAATGCATTTTTTGGGTAGTAATTTATATAATTTCCTATTTTAAGGGTGCCACCTTAAGACAGGTTTTCTCCATAAAAAATCACATCCTTTGGTGAACTTTGATAAAAGGTTTAGGTAAAGCCAAATTTTGTGGTTGCCTCCATAAGGAATGATTATGACTAATTTTTATTTGTAATGGTGTTTTTAGTTGACTAATCTGAATGTGTCAACAGTTACATACCTTTCCCCATATGCCATTACTTTTACCTAATTGCCTGCATTTAACCCCTTGAGCATGGGATGTCTCTCCGTGATGAATAAAATTAACTAGTATTAGCCAAATAATTTTAAAAAATTGCATCCTATAGTGAAGGGGTTGGTAATTCCTGGGAACAGTACTTCCACCAGAGGGAATTGTTTGATTTTGTTAATTTTTTCCACGTGTTCTTATCATGTAGTAAGTGTTCTAAAAGAGGAAACTGCTTGCTCCAGAAGGAGTTGATCGATTTTCTTAATTTTTTCCACATGTTCTTATCATTTATAGTAAGTATTTTAAAAGAGGTGACAACCAGTTCGGTCTGAGCATACTCTCATGTCCACAAAAAATTGTAAAACTACACCATGATGCTTTTATCAACGTTGCTTTCATTGGTACCAGATATCAAAATCAGTATTGTACTTCCTATTTAATATGGTGAGGGGGTGAATCATTCCCCCCCCCCCTCCACCGACTAGGAAGTTAGGTAAGGTTAGGTAGGTTTCTTAGGTTGGTTAGGTCAGATTCCATTAGGTACTAGTAAATGTAGCCTCTTATATGATATTTACTATAATGATAACAATATCTGTGGAAAAAATGAACAAAATAATAAAACTTCTTCTGGTGGTAGTTGCTGGGGGTTAATTATTTGAAATTAAACACCACTCAACTACTGTACATCTGACTGTCGCAGGTGGAGGAGATGATTAGCACCAGAACACATTGATATATTTCTTTCATATTTTCCACATTATACTTTGGATGATATTAATAAAATTGATACAACAACTTTGTATTTTCATTATAAATATTTTTTTAATATTTCTCTTTCTCTGTCTACTATCATAAATTACCTGTAGTGGGCTAGGCACGAAGGATGTGGGAAAGTATGGGGTAAAAACATGGCAAAAACTGATTGTATGACACTTAAATCAATTCTCTAGGTGTTTTGTGTGCAAAGAAATGTAATTTTTACCGTAAATATTCTGTTTAAAATTCTGGCCGTTTCAAGAGTTGCTTCTTTTGGTATCAGATATCGAAGTACCTGTAAGTTGTCATCCGATCATAAGCAAATAAATTTTCATTCTGGTCTCACTTAAATGTCAATAAATGATTGAGTATACTTTATTGGGATTTTATTACCTTTATTATAGGCTTGATTTTTTATTTATTTATTTTATTTTTTTATTTATTTATTTATTTTTTTTACCTTCACTGTCCAGAGTCCTGTGTCTATGATCTTCACAAATCCCATGTAAATTTTTATCGCTGCACAATATATTCTTAAACTTATTCACATTATAAATGATTGCGATCATATTGTTGTAATCAAAATCCATCCTATTACGGGGTTGGGGTTTTGATTCATTTCCAATACCTTTTGAGTAGCATTGGATTCTAGGTGAACTGTTTGTTCATACAGTATACTTATTGTTCAACCTCAAGGAGGAGGACCGAAGGAGAAGCCAGTGGTTGCTGGGCGCATCAGATTTGTAAACAATAAAAAACCTACATGTCCAGTGAAAAGTATGGTAGAAAAAAATATTAGCTTGGGTGTATTATTTTTATTTTTAGTTATGACAAAAGTATTTGATATTATTTATTAGATATTTAGCATTAAGAAAGGGGATTTGGTTTTAGAATATCTATGTTATTTAAATGTAGTTAGGAAGTGACTTTGGCCACAATGCCTTTAGTGAATTGGGTAACTATTTTGAAATTACTACTATGGAAAATAGGTATTTAAAGTGTGTTTCATCGTGTCTCATACAAATTTGACCTTCATTTCCATCAGAAATTAGTACGTAGTTATCGATATATGACCACAATTAGTAACAATATTGGTTGCACAAAGGATCATTCATTGACAAATTGAAGTTTAGTTTCCACATCAAAAACCAGCTTATTTATGCAGCAGCATTTTACACACCTTATCTAGGCACCCTCTCCAACACTCTTTAGTGTGACTTCATCAGCAACCCAGACATGTTCGGCACCTTATATAGGGGCATGTATTTTCTATGAAACTGGAAGATTCAACTTTTTAATTAATATTTACAACAAAAGTTATGTACTATATGTTTAATTTTTTTATGTGTGTGTGGAAATGTTCCATCAATATCATACACGCATTTTAAATTTCTGGGCATCACTTAGAAAAGAACTTTGCAATTGCCTTTTAATGTTACAGAATTTATGTTTGAGTCAGTCAAAGATACTTTGTTTGAGGAGGAAATCTAGTCATTTTATATTAACAACAGAGAGAACAATCCCTCCACCATAAAATCTTCAGACTCTGTTATTATCAAATTTAATTGTTAGGTTTTTAAATTAACTGCTTGCTGAAAGGAGGTCTTTATAATCTTCAGTTCTGTAGAGTATTTTGAAGTTTTTCTTGGAGCTGCCAGTAATTGATAAAATACTGTCATGTGTATACTGTAAGGGAAAACAAAAATTGTGTCATTAGTCAGGACCTTATTAATTGTATACTGTACTGTATATGCCAAACATACTGTTTACCAAATGATTATTTAACAGATCATCATGGAAGTCATTGAAACAGTCGACAGTGGAGAAGATGGTAGTACAAGCACCAAAAGAATACGCTTACTGGTGACACCTGACACTGAAGGTGGGTATCACTTATTTCATGCTCCTGTGTAACAGAAATTTGTTACTTGTATGAAAAAAATTTAAATTTTATATCGTTGCACTTCTTTAAGAAATGGATTACAGCTACTGGTATTTCTCTATTTACAAACTTTAGGTGTCTGAAATTTCAAATGAACAAAATAGACAAATTGTAAATCATTTTCTTTATATGCGAGCAATTTTCACATTTGTAATTATTCTAGTTTCAGATAATATTACCATGTACTGTAGGTTGTTTGATGATATGCCGCATGTAAGTACAGTAACTGTTTATATTTTTAATTTGAGTACATTACATAAACAGCCATATCTACAGTATGTACAGCATTCTTTGACTTATTAATACATTTTATTTAATGACTTGCATAGACAGTACTTGCAAGTGTCACATTAAAACATTACTTCAGTAACTACAGTACCCTTTAATGGTTGTACTGTATCTTTAAAGTTATAAAAGACTGTGCTCATCTTATAGTTTTCTTGAGTCTTATACTGTACGGTACAGTACTGTACAGTATTTCATGAAGAATTAAGGAATCACATATATCTATTTAGGATAATTAGATTTGTTGGGAGGCAGACCGTGGCAGCGTCCACGAGTCAGTGTCTCCCAGACTCCGTCTTGGAGAGGAGCTTGTGAGGAGTTTGAACGTTTAAGGCCAATAAACTTATAGACGGAATATTGGGTTTCACCGCCATCCCGTTCAAAAGACCCTATAATCTACTATGACCAAGCTAATGAAACATAGGTATATTGTATTTTGATTCAACATTTTAATTTAAAAAAATTGCATGTTGACCTCATCCTCAGCACATTGAAGCTAGAATGATCGTTTATGAATTGGACCTAAATTCTTCTTAAACTTTGTTTTTCTGGGATGCTCTCTAGCTTCCATTAGCTGAGCCAGGACTGGACAATAACTTGGCTTTTTTTTTTTTTTTTTTTTTTTTTTTTTAGGGGAATAGCCCACCTGGCACAAGTCATCAACCCATGATGGGGCCTGGGGGGTGAAAAAATAAGAGTAAAAATAAATTAAAAATAGAAAAGAAAAAGATTGTATTAAGCTACACCACGAAGATGCTGGAAAACCAGCATTTTGAAGTGAGACATTGTATGAGTATGGAAACACAGAAGAAGGCAGAGCATTCCACAGTTTGGCTGTGTGAGGAAAGAAGGATGTACTATAACGGGTTATTCTAGTGTGACCGACATCCACAGAGAAACGGTGGGCACCGCGGGCAAGACGTGTGTAACGAGCCTACAGCCTTGCCGGCGGTACACAAGATGCCAAATCCACCGAACATTGCCCGTTAAAGTACCTGTAAAAGAGAGAGAGTGAAGCAACATTGCGGCGAAGAGAAAGGGAAGAAAGATTATCAACTAAAGGAGGAGAGTTAATAAGACGAAATGCTTTTGATTCCACCCTATCTAACAGTTGGACAAAAGAAGAGCCACCCCAGATATGAGAGCAGTACTCCAAGTTAGGATGAATGAATCGCTTATATACTTGAAGCAATTGCTCAGGAGTGAAGTAGCTACGGCATCTGTACAGCATTCCCAGCTTTTGGGAGGCAGCTTTAGCAATGTTGTGGATGTGTGGTTTCCATGACATATTAGAGGAAATGGTGAGGCCTATCATATCTATTTTAGAATTTGGCAGAATGATTTCATCTTGAAATGTGATTGGTGAGAGATCATCTAATTTGGAAAGTGTATTTGGTAAATACTGAGTTTTATTACTATTGAATTTAACCAAATTTCTACCTCCCAATTTGGAGATTCTGCACAGTTTTCTGTATTAATCATTGATGATGGCAGTTCCGTTATGTCCAGCATATTTAAAGTTATGATGTAGGGGCTGAAAGATCTTGTGAGAACTTAAGCTCAATAATGATGCTCTGTGAATCTTATGTCTCAAGGAAGGGTACTGGTAGCTGATTAATACCATTAAGGCCCTTATCTCTTACATTAATGATCCAAATTTTCAGGTCTTACATAATTAATGGTTTGATTATATAGATTCTTTGTTTAATCTTTAACAGCCTCAAACAAAGTGAACAAAGCAAACATAGGTGGTAGCAGTGAGCAGACTACTAGTGTGTTCCTGTACAGCTGTGAAGGCCATCTGGGTATGTAGCACACTTGGGTTTTGTGTTGACAATGTATTTGAAGTAATCAAATCAGGGAGCTTATGTGGGTGACAAACATTTATATGTGAGATACTAGAAGTAATGCCTAAGGGAGTACTTGATCCATCTCATGTATTGAAGTGAATCCTAACTACCCAAAGTACAATTAGGAACAAATGGAAGAAGCACACATGTACACAATAGTAAAAAGTGAAGCTCTGAATAAATATGTTCAGGTATCCCTCGTTTAACAATGCGATTGCATTCCCGGAAACCTAACGATAAGCGAAATTATTACTAAACGAAGGATAACAGCAAAGCACAGAGGGCTATCAACAGATTTAAGTGGCAGGGTGGTAAACTTGAGTACAGTACTGTACTCCTTAATGATAATAATAAACGAGTTTGTTATATATGGTTTAAGTTTTACATACTTAACCTCTGATGTGTCCATTGTTACCTCATCTTTATTGCCTGCAGGTGAGACAGGAGACATCGTATCATTAATGATCTAGTTTTTGTCTAAATACAGCCCTGGAGTATAGCCCATTCACACAAGTACTGTACTACAGTCAGTACTATAGAGGGGTCCTGATGCAATTTGGTTATAAAATGGGATTTCTAGGTCAGTTTCTCATTTAGAAAGTCTGTTTATTTCTAAACTTGACTGAAGCATATTAAATAAGTTGAGGATGCACAAATATTTATTTGAGAGATCCACTAATATTATGCACCTCATTTACAGGAAATTAGAGTAAGAATACTAGAAATAATTTCCAGTATTGTTTTGTACTTATGTTGTATTAAACAGAGGTGGATGATAACAAAGTACCTACAGTATAGTTACTTAGTAACCAGACCCAAAAAACTTTTTTTAATAAATAAAATACATGAAAGTAATTTCTTTTCTCAGTACTTTTAGGCATACCAAAGGGGGCATCCGATCGCCGACCCCCCTCGAGCTAATAAATTATTCCAAATATAGTAAACCATTTTAACAAGAAAAGAAAAATACTAACAATAATTAAATAAATACAAAATATGAGCATCACTAATTGAACGGTAAATTCATAATGAACGTACAGAACATTATTAATTATCTCTATTTCAACAATACTTTGCCTATGTGTGTTTCGTTCAAATTTCTGGGTGCACCACTGTCAGTACTATACTGTACTTTTACGTGAGTAACATTTCAGACAATTATAAGTACAATACTGTAATCTTACTTCATTACTTATTTTTTCTAGTGTCTCATTACTGTGTTACTTTATTCTGGTCTTCTTAGCAGTGAGTGTGATATTTTCCAAAGCAATCAGAGCTCAGTGAGGTTATGACATGCTTCCAACCAATCATAACTTAGCATTCAGTGCATGCTGTGTTGTCAACCCCAAAATGGCTGCAAAAAATAAAAAAGATAAAACATTAGCTTTTGTTAAGATTAAATGAAAGGACTGTGCTTTAAATAATGAAATGTGTATGTGATAGGCTCAAAGACTGAAAAAGACCACGTGTTGTGGATGTTTTCAAAATATTTTAACCAGAAAGCAAAATTTCACTACAGGAGGTCCCCGGGTTACATATGTCCGACTTACGAATATCCGCCGATACGAACAATGTCCCATAAAGTTGAAATTTAAAATATATTTTTTTTTTCTGAAGATTAGCCCACCCTGGCACATTAGACTGTGACAACACATTATGTGCCCAATACCCAGGCAGTAGTACTTCCCTGTTTGATAGCTTCAGTGCCTACTTCTTTTACCAGATGACTTATTTTTTACTTTCATTTACTGTATTTTGTCATTCTATTTCTTCTTTTGTCTTAAAGTGATTTTAGATGTATATAAGGACTTTAACTATGATATAGTGGGATTTTAAACATTGTTCTGCTAGTATGGTATGCACAATGGGTATATGTTTCAACGTAAATACATTTTCGACTTAAGAATGTCCGTAGGAACGGAACTTGTACGTAACCCAGGGGTTGCCTGTATAGGTTAGTTCTAGTTTGGCTTCAGTTAGATTTGGTTTGGTTAGATTAGTTTGGGTTAAATTAGGTTAATTCACTTAGGTTTGGTTAGATTAGGATATGTTAGCTGAAGTTAGATTTGATGTGGTTTGGTTAGAGGACTTTTGAGACTTGTCTAAAATGCATTGTGGCTTTCAGGAAAAACATCCACAAGACGTTGTGGTCTTTTTTTTTTTCTTACTCTCAATGAGTGAATTCAGTCTTTGAGCCTAACATATGCATAAAATGGTGGGGTGATATTTATCATTATGTAGTAATTTGTACTGTACTGTGTATGTACCCAATATAAATTTTTTTTTTTTTTATCTAAGCAAATCATGAGTTGAATCATTTAATAAATACTGTACTGTACTATACAGTAGTGTATCTTGTTGTTATTATTATTATTATCAGGATATGCTTGCCTACGGGTTACAGTCAGGAACCTGGTGAATCAGAATGATTAATTTTAAGTACAGTACTGTACAGTACAAATTGTTTTAATTTTTATTTGTTTTACCTGAGGAAATTTTTCTCAGAATATCAATTCAGTAATTTTGCTTAAGTAACTTTTTCTTCAAGTCAAGATAGTTATGTAGTTCCATGGGTAATCATAGTACAATAACGTAAGTAAATCCCTATAAAAATTTTCATACCTCATTTTTATATACTGTACAGTATTTCAAAGAAAAAATTCATTTAATACATTTAATTTTTGTTTACACAGTTCCTGCTGAAATCGTTATGGACAGCATGAATGAAAACATTATTGCTGTTCCACTGGATAGTGGTGTTGTTAAAAGTGATAAACCAGTTACACCAGTAAATGTTGCCACTCCTCTGAAAGTGTTGGAAACTCCTGGCAATAGTCCTAAGAAACAGAAGAGCGGACCTGTCATCACTGTCCGTCAAGTGAGAACTCGACCTCCTCACAGTGATACAAACCTCAGTAAACTTTTGCCACACATCATACAATCTAAGTCCAAACAGGTTAATTCTATATCTGGGCCTAAAAATATGTCATCTGATGCACTGACTAAATTACAGACAAAATCTGGCGGGGTGAGCACAAAAATCCTCATTTCAACAGACATACAAACTAAATCTCAGTCAACATTTAGTTCCTCTCAAAAAACAGTATTGCAAACCGAGATGCAAGTAAAATCTCAGGTGACCAATTTCCAGGAAGAAAGAATGCCGCTTCTTACTGACGTCACGGACAAGACCGCTGCTCAGAGGTAACGTGCCTATTATTTTGATGTAATGATAAGTTTTGCAGATTCAGATTGACAATTTATAGTATCTTAATATTATTCATTATATCAGTATTAATTAGTGATGTTGTACTTGTCTTCCACATTGTGTTGTGACTCAAATAAATTATACTATTAAGTTTTAATTTGTGCACATCTTTGTATGTACAGTACTGGCATGTATGTCTCATAGTTTGTTGTTTTGCCTAATGGTTTGTTAATTTGTCTCATATTTTGTTATTTGATTGTAACAAATCCCAGTTGACATTCATCATTATTATTTCTATCCACATACAGTACTGTATATACAGGGACATTGCTAGAAATTTTATTTTCTCAGAGACATTCACCAAAATAACAAAAAGAATGGAGGATTGAATCCTGGAATCCCATTTTTGTCTGAGATGATTGTACCTTGATATCCATCGCACTGAATCCCCCATGTGAGAGTCAGCCTTGTCTTGGTGTGATAATCAACAGTAGAAAACACATCAGTATTCTTTTAAACTAAAATTGTTTTTAAAACAGCTACCGTACTCACCCAGATACAGCTGGAACCTAGAAGGTTATTAACATTGTTGTAGTACCTGTAGTTACATTCAATGGCTAGTGGTCACAACAAGCTGATTAAATATGATTCATTTGGACAAATGGTTATGTGACAGTCAGCATTATTGATAACAGAGGAAACACGGACTCAGAGAGATTACTCTTTCCTAACGTTCTTCATAATGAAACATAAGGAATAAAATTATCTCTCTGAGCCTGTGTTTCATTTGCTCCCAGATAACCAATGTAGCAGTTGCTGGCCAGTGGTCACAGCAACCTCAAAGTGCATTATGCGGCAAGAGCTGTTTTCCTCAGATGCAGTACACATAGGCAAGATGAAAAACAGACTCATATGTTGCTCATAAAGTTCCTGTAGGTTGAGCATATGTTTCAATAACACAACTGAAAAACTTGGCTATTGCATGATGTACTATTTGTGTACACCTGTAGTCCAAAGTTTACTGTTAATACAGTACTAATAATTTATTTACTAATGTTTTCTCCTGTCACAGTGGCAGCAGTGGCCACGGCTCTCAGACAGTGATGATGCGAGTCAACAGTCTTGGGGAGTTGGAGCTCGACCCATTGTTTCTCAATACTGAGACCTTAAGTGAATCAGAGACCGAAGAAGTACGACTAACAGCATCCACAGACTTAACTCATGACCATCTTGCTACCAGTGTCCTGGTAAGGTAACAATTGGTCATAAATAATGGTCATTATTTAAAGAGAGCATGTTATTGACTTGTTATGGAGAGTTTACATGAGTAAGCTTGAGTGGATGACAACAAATGAAGGGAGTCCATGTTTGCTTTCCATTCTTCCCATCCTGAAATACAGCAGAAGACGTACCTTTAAAGGGGAAGATATTATTAGTACGGGTGTACATGCACAAGGGGGGCCTAAGTAATAAGGGAAGATGCAGAGAGAAGGAGGTGTGGTGTTGAGAGAACTGTTGGGCAGAGAGCAGACTAATGTCTTCTTATGTGATAAGGAAATAAAAGGCTGGTAAAATGAGTGTATCAGTTAGAAGTAGATGATAAGAGAGAGAAGGTATGATTAGGAAGGAAACTGAAGGACTGTGTAAAGGGTGGACTAGTACCATAGTTAAACATATTTTACTGCAGTATGAATGTGACAAATAACAAAACAATTTGTGTCTACCTTGTTTTGGGCCCCCTTGCACTAAGCTGGAAAAGGCTTTAAAAAAGTGTGGTTTAATCAGATGTGAGAATGAGTGGGAGGGATTGGATAAAGGAAAGCAAAAAAGGGATTGTAGGGAAAAACATTAATGTTTCAGTACTACACATACGGTAAATGATATGTGACACCACTAACTTTGACTAATGTAGAAATTACCTCAAAGGTTTGAGGATTTTGGTTCACCTTGCTTGAATTTTTTAGCACTACTGTACTGTAAAATTATGTCAATCAGAATTTATAATACATAAAATACATGGTTTAATGTGTGGATTGCATTGTAAATTTAATAGTAATAATAATCAATAATAAATTATACAGAGTACTGTAATTACTGTACACCGGCTTTAAGCAAATGCCAGATGTTGCAAGGCAAATAGTCTGGTACATGCAGCTGGGTTATATCCGGGATTATTTACCTTATTCTTATTCATTATATTAACTAGGCTATCTTACACTGATAGTACAGTAGAGTATTTTATCACTTCATGGCTGGACACTTCAGTTTATAAAAAAAGGGATTCCAAAAGAAATGATAGTTGTCCATTTAAAATTGAAAGATCATAAGACCAAGATAATTCTCCCCATAAAAGAATAAATCTCCATTTGTCATATTCATAGAAAAAATAACCATTTTTTTTTCTTCTAAAAAACAGTTTTTGTGATAAAGGCCAGAATGCAACTTCTAGCTTTGATTACCCGAGTAGGAGGTGGAGAGGGAGGTGACATTGTGTATAAGGCTCCGCTAGCTTAGGTTCAGATAATAATTATAAACCTGTTTGGAATATTTTCCTTGAAAGGAAGCATTTACTGGAAGGTAGAATTATAAGCTACATATCCCATGTCAGGATTCTCACTTTATTCTGATGAGGAAGAAGGTCCTGGTTATGGAGATGGACGAGGGGACCAAGGACAACCACATGTGGAACATCTTTAAGAGATAGATGAAGATAGCTGTTTTCAAAGGTTTTGAAGATTTTCAAAGGCCCACTTCTTTGATCTGACTGAGGCTCATATGCCACAGGAAGGCCACAGACCCTGCATATTTCCTGGTGTCATGTGCCAAAAACTTCTTGCCAGGGTCTGCTTGACACACCAACTGAGATAAATATTTTGTCATTTGACTAGGAGACAATTTCTTACCATCCTGTGATGAGAATACATAGGGGCCTTGATTAGGGAATTTGGTTAACCACTTGAAGGTTCTTAACTGGGCACAACATATGAGGAACCCTTGTCTCATTCATTATCCGTTTTATCCTGATAGGTTGAGCTTGAAAATCCTCCCTTTCATTTTTCTTAGAATCTCTGTAGGAAATAGAGTGACATCTTCCTTAGAAAATACCAATAATGATGGATTTTTGGAAATTGAAACCAGCTCGCTGATTCTCATACCTGTTGCTATTGCCAGGAGGAAGGCTGCCTTCTGGAGCAATCAATCCCGGTTCAGATTTATATTGTAATTAGGCCCCATAAGAAATTTAGTAACTATCTGGAGACCAAAGTGGGATTCTCATAGGCCGAGGGGGTCAAAAATGAAAAAGGACGATCTGAGCATGTGATAAATTCTTGGGTTCAAAGTAATGTTAAAACCCCACACCAGAGGGTCAACCAATGATGATTTATAAGATGCAATTGTAGATCATTGAAGGCCTTTAACTCTGAACAGAAAATCCCAAAATTCCAACACCACTGTCTCTAACAATGTGTCTGGAGCAGTTAACTTAATAAATTGTTGAAAAAGGCTCCAAACTGTCTCATATTGCTAAGAAGTTTGGGGCCTATGACCTGCTATACAGTGAACCCTCACTTTACGCGGTCAATTGAACCCATGGCGGCCCGCGTAAAGTGAGAAACGCGTAAAGTGAACAACATAACATATGGGATTAATTGAAATAGAGACCGGGCCGACCCCCAAACTCCACTTTTTCAGACACAATACCTACGTTGTAGTAAAAATAACTTCTTAATTTTATGATGGTCTGCACACACAATTAATAATTAAGAGAAATATCAATAATATTAGGTTTTTTAACACTTACATACCGTATATCACGGCCTATAAGACGAAATTTGAACATTAAAAAAATCTGCCCAAAGTTAGGGGGTCGTCTAAACCACCAAGTTTAAAATTCTTACCTCTTAAATATTGTGGTTTAGTGTGTCAAGAGTGGTGATGAAAACATCGTAAGCCACTCACAAGGTCTTACCACTAATTATTTTATACTGAAACTTACGTTTGGCAAGCTGGATTCAAATTAAGATTACCGGTATATTAAAATAATAAAAATGTATTATAAACCTGTCTAACATACCGTAAAAGAGATTTATACCCCTGTAATAAACACAGCTATCATCACACACCCCTCCCCACGCCCCCCCCCATTTGCCAGTGAGGAGACAAGAAAGGAAAAGTGCATTAATTCTTGAAACTATCGACGGTTAATTACAGACGCTCAAGTGACGTCACTAGTGTTTACACTACACCAGCTGGTAATATTTGATGCCATTACTTGAAGTGAATTGGCCTTATTTTAAGTAACTAACTATAAATAAATACAAAAATTAAAAAAAAAGATCAAAACTGAGAAATAATATACTGTATGTATGTTGTGTTGTCAAAGTAAGAGGAACAATTGTGTAAGTACGTAATATTTTTTCACTCAAATCCTAATGAAACACTACTGGAGAACATTCCTTTGTCGCAAAACAGTTTATAAATTAAAGAAAATAATTACAGTGTGTTTAATATATTACAGTATATTATAAATAAATAAATAAAACAAATAATTCGGTAAATTTATTTAAAGTAAATGGAAAATAAGCAAACATGTTATTTACCAAGACCCTTCCGTCTGGCTCAGGGTGAGATGTAGGGGAGATAAAGAAGGCTATTTATAGCCCATCAGAAGTGGCTAGTACCCTAATGCACCATAAATAATTCATTGAACATTCATTTTTTGTACATAGTATATTCAGTATATATATATATATATATATATATATATATATATATATATATATATATATATATATATATATATATATATATATATATATATATATATATATATATATATATATATATATATATATATATATATTGTGTAATAAATGTATGTAGTAAGTACATACTGGTAACCTTTTTCACTCAAATCCTAATGAAACATCACAATTAGAATACGGTGGTTGCTGTTAACCACATGTTGTATAAATAGTCACACCACCCAGACGAGGGAACACTCCCACCACGCTTCAGTGACGTCACTAGTGTTTACACTACACCAGCGAGTATAATTTGATGACATTACTTGAAGTGAATTGGCCTTATTTTAAAAAATCAAGGATGGTTGGTAAAGGACTACTGAGTCAGTGGGTAAGTGTCACATTTGGGGTACTGGTCTTATACAGCAAATAGAGCTCAAAAGCTACTTTTTAAATGGAAATTTGGGGGGGGCGTCTTATGCACCCCGCCGCCTTATAGGCCGTGATATACTGGTAGTAGAAAAGATGGCTGGGCACACGGGGATGGGGGGTTGGTTCCGAGGCAGAGGGCAGATTATTGGCCCTCACCTGTATCACTTGTATCAATTGTATCACTATCCACTACAGAGGCTTGCAGGGCCTCTTTGTCAAACCCCTCAAAGTCCATATACTCACTATCATTATCACTATAACTGACTTGGGCCGGCTGTGGTGGGTGGCGGGTGAAGAACTCAGTAATGTTTTGATGACTGGGCGACCTTGTGCGCACCCTGCTCGCGCTGCTCTCTGCGTAAAAGGGTACACACACCGCGGAAAGTGAGCATTCCGTGTTCAGCAGGGTACCGCGTAAACGTGGAAACGCGTGAAGTGGGACCGCGTAAAGCGAGGGTTGACTGTATTGGAATTACCCAACAATCTATTTAACCCTTTAGACGCGTAATTAATTTTTGCGCCAGTTCCAGAAAAGTGTCAATTATCAGCCAAAAACGATTTTCATACAATCACATTTTTTATATATTTTTTATAATGAACTTTTTTTATATTTTTCGAATCTGGAACCAAAAGTCACAGGTGTGTGCAAATTTTAGAGAAAAAATTACATTTATACCCTAAAATGCAGAAAATTGGTATAGTAAATGAGTGTCCGATACATGGCAAATAAATGGAATCAATTTAGTCAATAAACAGAAATTTATATATGTAGGTATTATAATTTTATTGGGGTGCTATCAATTCAAAATAGTACAAAGCAGAGATTAATATCAATACAACATCGTACAAAAAAAAAATAAATACAAAATAAAAATGAGTAAACACTGACATTGATGTGCATTTTTCCACCTTATTGCACAATGACAAGGTTATATTGGTATAGTAGCTTATACATGACGATATACATGTATGGTATAACATGAAAAAACATATAATATCAACAAAGTGACAATAAATCACCTACTGCAAATGATCCAACGAGACGTCACAACAGACATCGGTATGATTGTAGTTGCCTGGGAGTTCGTTAGATGGCAGCACTCGCCGTTTGGCGGCGATTTGAGCGTCCTTCCAATATTCCCGCATGTCGCCTCTATCAGTAAGATTTTTTCAAGGCTGTGAAATATACCCGCATGTCGCGCTTAATTGCTATAATCTTAAGCGCGGGTTATCCCGCATGTCGCGTCAAAAGGGTTAAACATCTTTTGAGAAACTCCAAGCGTGAAGTGCCAAGGATATCGCGAACTGAGGGTGCAGTACCTGGTCTAGACATAGACATCCTTGATGCAAAATCGTAGTGGATGCGGGCACCATTCCAACAAATCCAGTGTGGTGCGATTAAGAGGACCTTTCCCTGGAAAGATCTGAGTTTGTGAACCACTTTGGATAACATTTTCACAAGTGGGAACAGATAGATTGAATTCCAAAGGTTCCTATCTAGGAGTAAAGCATTTCCCAGAAGATTCGATCATTCAAGAGAAGCATAAATTGGCAGCTTGTGATTGTTTTGTGAGGCAAAGAGATCTCTTTGTGGAGTCCAAAACTTTTTCGCTAGACTCTTGAACTGCGATGGCTTCAGGGACCATTCTGTTTCCGTCGACACTGGCCTGAGACGGGACAACGCATCTGCCCAATTGTTTTGTACTCCCGGTATGTGAGTTACCTTGAGGTATAGTAGTCATGTTACACAAACCTTGAAAAAATTTTCTGACAGTGTGAGAAGAGTCCAAGATCTGGTTGAGCCTTGGTGGTGAAGACAAAACACTGCCGTTCTGTTGTCCATGGCAAACAGAATAGTCATGTTTTTGAAGTTTGGGTTCGCCAACAAAAAGAATAAGACTACTGCTAATTCTTTGATGTTTATAAGTTGCTCCTGAAGGGAGTTGTTCTACTTTCCTTGGTGGAACTCTCATTTTGATGAATGGTATCCCAATCCTATGTCGGACACTTCCGTACAAACGACCAAGTCTGTTTGAGGGGGAACCCAGGGTGATGGTCCGATTAGATTGTCCAACCTTGTGCACCGTGACAGATGATTCTTGATCTGAATTGGGAGAGAAGAAGCAATATTTCTGTTCCTGCAAAGCAACTTCGACCCCAGATGAGTTAGTTGCTTTTTCCTTAACTTGTCTAAGGGAACTATACTGTGGTGGAAAAATTCAGAAGACCCAATAGCTTTTCCCAATCGTGCCAAGAAACCTCTTGCTTTACACGGAAAGCCTCTACTTGGGTTATCACATCTATTATCTTTGCTTCTGGTAGACTGACTGACTGACTGGTGTCCCATTGGAGACCTAACCAATCCAATTTCTGACATGGTAGGAGATTTGATTTGACCCAGTTTATCTTTAATCCTAGGTTCTGAAACACTACTAGTGTACATTGGGTCGCCCTTTGACAATCTTCGAAAGAGTTTCCCACTATCAGCCAATCGTCTAGATAAGCAATAGTTCTTATGCCCTCCGCTGAGAGGATCTTCCTGGGGATGTTTGCCAGTTTTGTAAACACCTTTGGGCTGCCATTCAGTACTCACACTGAGTCTTGATATTATAGTAAGTAAAATAAATAAATTGGGGTGACTTGTCAACTAGATTGATCACTGATCATTGATAGATATGGTTTTTCCTATAATTGGTCTCTAGATGCTATCAGATTATGGGTCTGTCATTCTGCCAGTTTGTAAGAGAGTCCCTTAAGGTGTACATATACAGTATCTATATAGGTATAATCACCCAGTAATGGTTTGGTAAGGGTGCTTCACTCATTTTGAAAATCTAACTCTCAGGAATATCTGTACTGTAATATAATAATGGAGTTATGGTTACTTAGGTAATCCCATTTGTAGTTTCAAGGATGACAAATGTATAGAGGGAGAGTGCACAATACAGTCCTCACCTATGATGTCCAGTAAATATAGTGCTGACTTCCTCAGTCTTCCCTCCCCCCTCCCTCCTGTATCTCTCCTCAACTAATCCCAGAGTGAAAGAAGACATAAAAGCAACCAAGCATTAAAAATAGAATATTTTGCACACTTTTACACAAAGCAGAGATGGATCAAAATTTGAAATATAAACAAAGTAAGAAAATTTGATTGGTAACACACACACATGCCATGTTCTGCACCCTAATGCATGTACCATAACATATAATTGACTTAAAATTTTGCAACCTTACTTCTTGAATCAAGAAACTCTGTATAGCCAGTAAGTCTGCTAGCCAATGCCTCTATTACAGGACTTGGGGATTTTCATGGTTGTACGTAACATTTAATGAGTCTTTCAGGAATAGTTTTCAAATGCTGCACTGATGCGGTGGATCCCAGTCTTTTGTTTTTGTAATGATAGGGTTGCCTGATTTACCACCTTTGGCTACAGGGTTTCTGCAGTTGACCCAGCTGTAATGGGTGTCTGGTTTAGTTGGAAAATTGGAAGATGAAAGTAGTTAGTGCAATGCTGGTCAGTTTGCCTCATTGGTTGACAAAGGTTTAGCTGCACCACCCTTATGAACCTTTCAGGTTCATGAGCCCATTTTCAAATAATTCTTTAGTTTTAAATTAGGTTCCTCTTGTAATTCCTCTATGGAAGAAAAGGGGGTGGTGACCAAGGTTTTGTTTGACTGTAGGAGGTGTGATGACAAATTTACTAATTTTCAAGGTTTCAGGACATATCTCACAACTATACCCGTATTGAGACAAATTTCCAGCGAGCCCAATTTAAATTTATCATGTTTTATATTTGCTGAGCATCTTTGTTGGGGCCTTTGGCAACTGGCCCGAGGCAGTGTACGCCTCTTGCCCATTTATAATGGATGGACCATGGCTGAGTCAAGAACATAGCACATACGTTTGTGTGCAGTGCCACACACAGCAGGAAATTGGCGTCATTACAGTATATTTAATTCTGGAAACAAGGATTACCCCTCCATGCATGGTGACAGTGTTACAAGTGAAGGTGATAACTTTCCTCAAGATTTGACAAGTGAATCTAGTGAATCCAAGAGGAATTTGGGTGAGGACTAGAAATATGCTGGTGGTGGTGGCGGGGCAGCTTCTACAGGCCATGTGTCCACCCTTGAGGCTCCCACATGGAATTAGAGTGATTCTCCATTTATTCCCCCTGACACCTGAATTTTGATAGTGTAAATCAAGAGTTTAGGGTAAGATTCATTATATTATTACTGTATTATTATTATTATTCCCTTGTCCAGTGGTAATGATCATGAGTTGCCATCACTGTCCTCAAAGGGTAAATAATCTCACCTAACAGTGGCATTAAATAAGAACCACCCCTCCCATACCCTTTGTTGGCTTTAGTTACTTGAGTCACCTAGCTGTGGGCATTAATTTAGAAATGGAGAATTGATCCTGAAATCCTTTTTATGACTGAGCCCACAGTTGAGCCACTCATATGTTTTCCTTCCTTCCTTTGTATTAGTGATGTGTAGGCTGGGAAATGGGGATTGAGCATTTGACAAGTGATTGCATAGATGCAAGTGTAACACCGTAGCCTGGCAACCTACTGCCTTTGTTGGTGACTTCTGCTTTCAAACCTCTTGCTATAAGGTATGTAGTTGTGATGTGGAAGAACTAACCATAAAATAGTTCCATGAATAGATGTAACCAGTAGATACTATCTGCCTACTAATGCTCAAGGTCTCCTTGGTCTACACCAGGGGTGTCAATCTCATGGCCCAGGGGCCAAATGTGGCGCTTGGGATGGTCAGGTGTGGCCTGCGGGATGATGGTAAAATTTATCATCCCTTGAAATTATGATAGAAATAGATATAATCATGTTTATTTAGTAAAATGAATTTTACGTACTTAAGATCAGACAAACCCAAATGAGATATTCCTGGTAAGCCAGGTAAGGCAGTGTGTGAAGCTGTAAACTTCAATCCTGCAAATATGTGATATAGCACTTGTGTTGGCCCTGAAGAGGGTAACTAAAATAAGAATTGGCCCTCGAAAGGTTTTGAGTTTGACACCACTAGTCTACACCCTACTAGGTTTAATGAGCATGTTAATTGAGTTACCAAGCTGTGAGCTCAATCATTAGCTGGAGTATCAGGATCATTCCTCTATGTTTACCTTTTCAGAGTGGTGTGAACAAGACAGAAGGCTTAAATGTTGAGGAGGTCCAAGTAGACTTACAGACATCTTCAGCATCTCAGGTGGAGGTAAGCATAAAGGTGGCTCCTTTGATGGTGTGTCTATTTTGCAGAGTTGAAAACACTAAATACCCTCAGGTAGTACCGGTAAGTCATAAATAAACAGCAGATGAAAGATACTCACATTCAGGAATATGATATTTTTGCAAATATGATGTAACACAATTTCTGGTTCAGTGTGAATGTTGGTTAAAATAAATCTTGGTTTTCGAAGAGGTGTGAACGGTGATTAAGTAAATTGCAATAAATCTGGAGAATTAAGTGATCTGGAGAGGGTGCACGAATGTTGAGGGGACTTCATCACCAAGTACCCTAATGAACTTATACTTGATAAAGATTGCATGGCCATAAAGAGAATGTAAGTTGAGTACAGGTGGAGGTTTTTGTTACCTCCATCCTCCCTACTGTTTCTTGTTGGTTTTGGGTGACTGGAGTTGCTTGAGGTATCAGGTATGCTTAGCCCAGTGATTCTCAAACTGGGTTCAGCAGACCCCCAGGGGTCCGCGAAAAGTTTTTGAGAAATAGTGCATTTAACGTTTGTGAGAGATTTGATGATTCCAATTAGCAGGATATTTTGGATTTGGGTTGAAATGAACAAATGCTTTGGACTATGATTTATTCTTTGATTATTGAAAATATTTGTATGCATCATGGTATATAAGGGGTCCTTGGTTGAAAAAGGTTTGAGAACCCCTGGCTTAGCCAATATATCTACTGTTTGAGGGACTGATCCTGAAATTCTGGCTTGTGGGCATGTACAGATTAAGTGACTTGGGAGTGGTTGCATAAGCTATAAACTGAGGGATAATCTTGAATTGTTGGACTGTACCTGAACACTTGACACTCATGAAGGAGAGAATGGATGAGACCAATTAGGCCAAGAGGTGCGTGAATCTAAATATGGAGGGGAGGAGGAGAGCCAGGGCTAGGCCAAGAATTACATGGGGAGAGGTTGTAAGGATTGTATTTAGAGTTAAAAACTTGACACAATAAACTGCAAAAGACCATGCAACATGGAAAACTGTCTTTCAGGTAACTGTGGCTAACCAACACAAGTATGGAAAACATCTAAAACGATGATGATGATGATGACTAAAAAGACATATCCACGGCTTCCGACTCAGGTTTTCAACCCTGTTACTTTAAACTGAAAAGAGTTTATAGATTGTGATAAGCTTTCATTTGGAATTTTGGGATGAATTTCTCATATACATATACAGTACAGTAAAACCTTCGTAATTCGAAATACTGTAATTAGGGCTCTAGCCTTTACGAATTATGCGATTTCACAAATTATGAGGGGCACCTTCTCTCGAGGGAAAAACAAACAAAACACCGGTACTTTTCCGTTATCTGCCCTAATTAAAATTTTAAAGTTGCTAAGTACTGTACACTACCAGAATTAGGGTTATCAGACATGATGGCTTAAACACTGGGCAATGATAGAAAAGCAAGTGGAAAAAGGTAGCGCAGTCAACCATAGACCTGCACTCCACGACTGACCAACTTGAACTGACTAACACACATATACTGTACTTACACTGAGGCAGGTGGTCACTTCCAATGGCAACATGTGCATCTTACATATTCGTAAATGTATCTCATAATTCAAAATTTGACCAATATTTCGAAAATTTGAATATCAACAGTTTATCGTAATACACTACAGTATTTTGAAATGTCTCTCGTATTTAAAATTTTGACCAAATATGAAATTTTTAACATATTTCATAACAGCAAAACATTATGAATTATGGGTGATTTTGAATAAGGGGAGTATGAATTATGGGGGATTTATACACTGCATGACTGAGCCCAGAACTCCTATGGATTATTGTGAATGCTGGCCAGGAATGAATTGGAGTTGATGTATGAAAACTATCATGGTTAATCCAAAAATAAAGGTGAAGTACAGTATGCCTTAACTGATGTGACTTTACAACCTTGTTGAACCTCTTCCCTCTAGTTGAATTTCCCTTTCTGAGCATCAGGTGCAATAGGGGAAGACATGTCAGTAGACCAATTGTTAATTGAGTACATTATACTGGGCACCTGGTTCTAGGCTCTGTCTTAAAATGGGATCAGTATGTCATTTATAATCGTAATTTAATGTTGTCAGCAGCAAAAGGCTGATGTTCAAATCAGTCTCTTTTTCTCTCTTTTTTTTTGTCTCTACTGAAATTTGTCCTATTTGTCTTTCATCTGATGATCTTGGAGCTGTAATAATGTTAATTATAAAGTATTTTTTATTTAAGGCTTTTTTCATAAGCTTGAAACTTAATAACTTACAGACTGGAAATGCAAATGTGAACCAAAGCTGGTTCACATCCCGGGAAGATAAGGAGATGTTGCGATGGCGTGGTCATGCTTGGCGTCAAGGTATGTGGTCGAGAGAGGAGACAGAGCTCTTAAAGCACAATATTGAACAGTATTGTGCCCAAAGAGGTGTGTCTGATCCAGGATCCGTCATATTCAAGATGTCAAAGGAGGAGCGAAGTGGTTTCTACCGGGTTGTTGCTCGGGGTTTGAACAGACCTCTCTTCTCAGTGTACAGAAGAATTATTAGGCAAGTATGATGCCATTAAACTACAGTACAGTATCTTCTTTTTATCAAATAATTTTTTTTGCTTGAGCTGTATTACCCATTCAATATCTTCCTTGTACAGGTAAACCCTGATGTACGAAAGGATTCCTTTTGTGAAAAAGCTTTCGTAAATAGATTTTTCATAAATCAAAGCCCATTTTTCCATTGATTCCCACTATAAAAGCTGAGTTACCTTACTACAAATAAAGAATTTCACCAAAACATCTAAGTGTAATACAAGTACTGTAGTATGGTATAGTAATAACTTTATGTTTACGAGACACTTGACGAGATTGGAAACAATATGAACAATATGAAATGACAAGCCATATCTGTAATGATTATATTACCTGAGTGATATATGATAACTAAAAAAAATTTCTATAAAATCTTAGGAATAGGGAAGCAATATACAAAATACTATCCACAAAGGTATGTCACCCGAATGTTAAAAAAGAAAGAAAAAAAGTAAATGGTTCAGACAGGCACTTAAAGAAAACAATGTTCTTCCATTTACAGCAGGATACCTCAGTGCATATGTACAGTAATCCCGTGTGTTTTTGCGGGAATTACGTTCCTGAAACTCCTGAGAAAAGCCAAAACGCGAACACTCTTTTAGGAATCACTGTACTTGTGGCCACCAAACAGCTCAGGCAGGTCATGCACTTAACCACACCATGCTCTCCACTCACGGCCCAGTGGTCACACTGATCACTGATGCACTGTACCAGCATTTACTAACATCATTATTTGAAACTAATCATATTGTAGTATAATAATGGAAAAACATAAACAGTTATTTAAAAAACAAAATTTTTTACAAGTAAATAAAAAATGTTATACAGTATTTTGCTGAGGTCGGCAACACCCGCATTGCCAGCCTCTCCCTGCTGTCCCAGCATCTGCCCGCCCTCACGCAGGCAGCCAACCAGTCCTCTTCCACCCACATTCCTCCACTGACAAAAGACACAAATGAATTGTCAGTCTTCACCACATCTCGAGCCATAGCTCATACCACCTTAAAGCTTGTCCAATAAAACTGTTTTTTCCGTTAAGGCCATCACTATTCTTGATCTCTTGGTCACTTTAGAGTCTTTGCTAGTAATATTTGCCTTTGATGAGGCTGGCTTACGTCCCAGAGCCATGTGGAATGCACGTGGGAGGACAAACAGAAGAGGTAATCACAGTACGGTAGGCATGTGTGGACTGAGGCTTCTCAGAGCAGAGGGTGTCTGAGGCGGGAAAGGGTGGCTTCTGTTTGCCGCACCGCGAAATTTAAATTTTTGTTTTTAAAGGATATTTTATAGGGGGGAAGTATACTGTACATAATTTTTTAGTAAAAAAACGCGAATGGTCAAAACCGCAATAAAAAAAAACATGAAAAACACGGGATTACTGTACAGTCATGCGCCGGTTAACGTCCTAGATACGTTCTTGGAAACGTGACGTTAACCGAAATGGACATTGTCCGATCATCACAAACTTTTTATTTATACTTACGTGTATGTGGAATACTGTATACGTACATATACACTTTTACTCTTAAATCACTACTGTAGTGTGATACAGGTGATTAAATTTTATCTCTTATGACGTTTATATTAAAATTATTCACTGTTTTACAAGGATTCCAGCAACGCCAGCAGATAGGGGAGAGAGAGGGTGCGAGGGGGCGTGGGGGGAGGGGAGGTAGTACGTTTGACAGTTGGCACAGGCCCAGGTCTAACGTGTGTATATTTATCAGTTCTCAGGTGACTAAGGTTCTCTCTTATAAAAAGCCAGTGAAATGACCTGGGTGAATATAATTAACATAGCTGGGATTCTTGTAACATACTGATTAATTTGAATATAAACATGCTATAATTTGCACTAGACAAAACAATTTTAGAACCGTAATCAAATTAGTACATGTGCAGTCCAGCTTTGCACGAATTTATTTTACGTTTATTTTAGTATGGTGTGTGAATGTAAATGGGTGAAAATAAATGTAGAAATTTGTGTAAATCTACCCAAAAATACAGTTGAAAAACTTTTTATAAAATGTACATTGTACACTAATGTACTACATTTTTTATATCTTGAGCAAAATATATGATGCTTATATTCAAATTAATCTCTGTCTTGCAAGGATTTCAGCAATACAAATTATATTATCATAACTTTAGTCTGAGATATTATATAAAATAAACATAAAGAAATCACCAATTTTTTATCTTGAACACGAGGATGGCGGGAAGGGGGGGAGGGAGGTGAGGTGACAGAATGTCTGGCGTTTGTTTGTTTGTTTATTTATTTGAGATATGATTTGACAGTTGGCGCTGAAGGCCTGCCTGCCTGCGTGTTTATTTATCATTACTTAAGAGTGACTAAGCTCTTTTCATAATTTTCCACCCAAATGACCTGGGTGAATATAACTTTCATTGGAGGGATTCTTGTAAGATAGTAATTTATTTGATTTTTTTTTTTTTTTTTTCAATTTAAATTTTAATTGTTTATTCCTTGATAGAGGAAGCAGGATCCTAGTGCTGTCACTTGGTACCCCTGTACCATAACACCAGAAGCAACTAGCCAGTGTCACAAGTATATACAGTCATCCCTTGGTTATTGCGCCTAATTGGGACCCCGCCGATAACGAAAGTACAGAACCTATGGGATTTATTCTAATTGGTTCCAGGCACCCAAGACCCAACCCCAAGTTTCCCATTTTACGACCATTTATACCCACTAAATATATATATAATGTTATGGTAAATATCATAAACACACATAGGCATGGCTAGGTTTATTACAAAGTGATGAAAAGGGTACGCTTAATACTGTAGTCCACAAAACATGTAGCTATGCTTTTTTTATTTGGTCCCCCATCATACGAGTCCGTTTTCTCTCACATCAGGACGCCTGAGTCCTCCGTTTTCTCTCTTAATCTTAGAGTGCACCAGAAACTTTACTATTTTTAGTAATGCCACAGAATTTGAAATTGCAACCCCAATTGCAACTGGGGTTGCAATTGTTGAGGCAACTAGATATGTCTGATTACAGCAAATGTGTTATTGTCAATTTGTAGGTGAAAGATTTTATCCTCAATAGATGTAGGTTAACATTTCACCTGTAGGCAAATGCTTAAAAAAAGCCTAAGTAAGGAAGCATATTCCTTTAACACATAATATCTGACCAGTATGGGGAGGATCATCGTGTCTCCGTCAGGGGGTCGTGGAGTGGTGGTCCAGCAGGCGTCACTTTGGGGGGGGGCACGGACGTATATGCGATCGGACGTTGTTCGGTCGGACGTTAACCGGCGCTTGACTGTATATGGTGCTATTATTGTGTTTCTTGATATGTTCGTACAGTAAAACCTTGATTAAATGGATTATTAAGGGGAAAGAGGTGTCTGTTGATGCCAAACTTCTGAGAAATTGAAGTGATATTTTCGTTAACATATAACTAGCTTATATACATACTGTATTTCATTACTGTAAATATTATTGTAATAAACCCATACTGTGTATAATGGTTATCATTAAACAATTAACCTGTATACAGTTATATAAAAGCTCTCAAGTAATAAACAACAGAAAAGCCATGAAATCTAAAAGAACTGCATTACTCTCCAGTCTGATGGGTAACGCAGCCGGTAATAGAGTGGCTGGTTACCCATCTCCCAATGCGCTCTATTGGTACACTCACAAATTAATTATCATACAGCTTTCATTATTTCCAGCAAATGTGTCCAGACAATATTTGGTCCGTTAAACTGAAGTATTTTAAATCTGAAACCCATTAAACTGAGTCCCTTTAAATCAAGGTTTTACTGGACTTCCATTTAACATTTTATTCTTTCCACTGATTCATGGTGGAAAATCCAGAATTGGATAAGCAAGAATACTGAGGTAAAAAAAATCTGCATTCTTTTTGCATATTTTCATTACATGTATTTCAGTACTAAAGAAAAAATATATTCAAATATAGAACTGTATATTGAATTTTTTTTTTTTAATTTGGGGATTTTTGTTTGTAAATCAAAATGTGGGACAAAATTATTATTTTTTTAACTCCGAATTTCCATAACTGATGCTTTGTAAATCGGGGTATACCTGTACAGTACTATTATAGTATACCTTGGCAACCATTTTGGAGTGACTTGTGCATACTGTATGTGATCCAAAACTTGTAAAGGTTCCCTGATAAACTCCTCAGTCTGTAACTCCTACAAATAATGGGGTCCTCTGTATCTACTCCAGGAACCCATACAGTGTACAGTATACCCTGTATTTAATAAAATTCATGAATTTATATTTTGACAAAAGTTGTGGCCAGCAATTGGTCGCTGGTGTGGGATGCACATATAAAAACCACTACAAAAGGCAAAGTAAATACATTATGATGGAGATATACATGTTCAAGTTATGAAGAAAAAAAAAATTGCATTAAATGTTTACATAATGTGACATAAGAGTATTGACAATTGCATATTGTGATGCACTTGCATCATCTGCTACAGTAAGCAGGGAGATTGCCAGCTGCAAGATAATTTAACCTCATATTTTGTCACTAGTTTTGTTACTTCACTAGTTTCATCTTCACCAAACTTCCTTTAGTACTTAGATACATGCTGCCACAGGAAAAAAGTTGTGACTGTATTTGCCATGGGAAGAAGGCCAGTGACCTGTGTAGGACCCCTCCATTGTTCTTGATACTGTAGTCTCGTTTAGGGCTATTGTGAAACCTAGTACTGTTCTCAATTCCACAACTTGAGGTGACAGACTGTGTGCAGAAGTATACCCTTATATTCATCCTGCATGATATCTTGGTGAGTTTGAAGTTATGTCCCCCTCAAGTTGGTGGTATGTATGACCATGAAAAATTTATCTGGGTTCACATTTTCTATCCCTTTCAAGATTCTGAATGTATCTATGAGATCTTTCCCATTGTGTCTTGTCTGAAGAGTTGCTAGACCTAAGGATAATCAAGATGACATAGTTCTGGAATCATTATAGTCACTCTTTGTTGCCTCCAGCCTCTCAACTTGTTTGAGCATTTTTTCCATCTTTTTGTTAATTTCCTACTCCTTTGATTATTTATTTAGCTTCTATAAACATGAACCATCTGCAGAGTCCCATGATCATGAAGAGGAGATTGATCTTGAAATCCATTTTATGATCAGAGGTGAGAAAATAGCATATTTCCTGCAGTCATCCGTGTGGTGAGGAGAGGGAGGAAAGAAGCTAAATAGAGGGGTTGAAGGTTCAGTTTGCCTATGGTCAAATCATGTCAGATTTATGATTCTTTTGTGAGCAATCATCTTGGTACTGTTGTCATTTGGCTTTTGAAGATGAGATCTACATCAATTGGAGACTCATTTTAGTTACAATTGATAGATCCAGATATGGTTGTAAAGGAAAATATGTGAGCAGTAACTGTTGCTATGCTTTTGGAACATGATAACAGATAGTTCTTCATGTTAACTAACATGACTTCATTTTTACAGTACTGTAATCCACTTGCTCACCTCTGAATGTAATAGTTTTGTAGTAAAATTACCCTTTTTAAATATTGTACTGTATAATGTATTGTATTGTAGGTGTAGTGACATTGTATACCCAGTACAGTATGTTATGTGAGTCAATTACACAGTACGTAGTCAGAAAATATGAATTATTCTTCATTACAGAATATATGATTACCACAACCACATTGGCAAATATTCCTCTGAGGAGGTTAACAAGCTGCGTGAACTGCGAGTGAAACACGGTAAAAACTGGCAGGCTATTGCAGCCCATCTCGGCCGGTCAGCTGCTTCTGTAAAAGATCGTTGTCGTCTTTTGAATGAAAACTGCAATAGAGGTGCCTGGTCAACAGATGAGGAAGATCGCCTTGCAGCAGCTGTTTATGACATGGCTCATGTGCTGCCAGGAGAACAGGTAATGGTTCATACTGTACAGCTTTTTTATCATAGTTTTTGTAACTTTTTAGAACAAAGGCATCTATTCATAATGTGCACAAATACCGGTAAATGTATACAGTGGTCCCTCGGTTAACTAGCGCCTCGGTTAACGAGATTTCGGTTAACGAGTTACCTTCCATAAGATTCTTAACTTTGGTTAACGAGCAATCCCTCGATTAACGAGTTTCTTACGAGCCGTCCTCCACATTCTTTTAGCTTGCATTTGGCGGTCCACCAGCTGTAGTATTAGTCCGCCAATACAGTAATCGGTTCTAGGGCTTAAATTCCTTACCCTTTTAATAAATATCAAGAAGTTTATACTATTCAATAATTTTAAAAGTTAATATTAAATTTTTTAGTCATTTTAACAATTATTGAACATAATTGAAGGCAGGGTCACTAGTTTGTGGCACGCCATCCAGCCTGCCAACACAGCATACAGGCGTCAGTCTTTTTGTCTTTTCAGTGGAGGTAACATCTTGCTTGAGACTCTCTTCAACTAAACGCTTTTTTTCTGTGTTTACAAGCAAATTATTGGTTATTTTGAAGTTTATTTAACATATTGACAATATATAATGCAGTGCAGTGTTGATTTAAAGAAAATAATCTTGAATTACACCAAGAGAACTAAAATTTTATGGGTGAAATGGAGCCATGGGGTGACTTCTCTTCCACCCCAATGCCTTCTCTTCTCCCTTCTCCTCCACCCCCATTCTAATTCCCATCATCATTCAGGAGCCTTCTACATACACACCTCAAAGTAAGTGTACCTTTCTCCCTTTTTTGTTGAATTTAGGCAATTTTCGGTGAGTTGGAACCAATTACCCAAAAACCCATTGAAACAATGGTTTCGGTTAACCGAGGGACCATTGTATACATTACCTGTACAGTATAGGGTGATACATGTTTCATATATCTGAGGGTGTATACTTTTTTATGGGGATTAGCCCACCTGGGCACAGGTCAATGACCCACATTGGAGCCTGGAGTGGATGAAAAATAAAAAAATAAGTAAATTTAATAAAAATAAGTCAAAGAATGAATACATAAAAACAAATTAAAAAGAAAAAAATAGATCAAGAGTGAGAAACGATATGTATGTTGTGTTGTCAATAGTAAGAGAAACAATTGAGACCCTGCAATTGTGTGTAAATGAGGCATAAAGTCAGATCAGCAACCTGGGACTTGGTCACAATTTTTGTGATGCCATATAGCAGCAGGGTCTACCATTAGACAACACATTATGCTTCCAATATTCTCCCAGGCGGTAGTACCTCTGTTTGGTAGCTGTTTACTATCTACTACTTGAAACAAAAGTAATATAAGTCCTTGTAAATATCGGTAAAGAAAACTATAGGTTTCTACCTGGAGCATTCAAAGACCTAGAGGAATTGTGAGCTAAAGTACATAATAAAAAAGTGAAACTCTTAAATATTTTATTTTCATTTTATACAAATACACAGTTTGATACAGTACATTTGCTTCATTAAAGTTAATGTTTTTAAAGTTAAAATTTTTCCTTCTTCTTGAATGCATAACTGGGCATACTCTTCCCAATATTGTTCTGTACTGATTTTGAGGAAGCTCCTTTTATTCAGAATAGATTTAGACCCAAGCCACTTGATGAAAGTGGGATTTTATTGTATCTAAGATTTCACTGTTGTTGTAAAATATTTTTAATTACTACTTAATAATCCAGGTAACAAGTGGAATCTCATGGGGTGAGGTGTCTGACAGAGTGAGGACACGGTCAGAAAAACAGTGTCGCACCAAGTGGCTTAATTTCCTCAACTGGAAACGCACATCTGGGGTAGAATGGAGCAAAGCGGATGATGTACAGCTCATTTGCAGGTAACAAAGTAATACAGTAGTTACTTTTTGCTTTCTAGAAACTTTCCCTTTAGGGCCAGAAAGGTCTTTCAGGATGCCTGTTTCTGTGGTGTACTGTATACAGTAGAATGTAGTGCAGTACTCGCAAACAGTTTAAGTCAACTTTCCTCTTACACAGAATGACATCCCACTACGGTATATATGAGACATTATTAGAAGTTAAGCACTTTATTTAAGATCAGGAAGTTGGCTGTGTGCCTCATATATATATATATATATATATATATATATATATATATATATATATATATATATATATATATATATATATATATATATATATATATATATATATATATATATATATATATATATATATATATATATATATATATATATATATATATATATATATATATATATATATATATATATATATATATATATATATATATATATATATATATATATATATGTTGTTTCCTTTACCCGTGACCACCAACCGTTGTGTGCTATTTAAAGATTAGTAGGGTCATTACCTAATACCTGACCATTGTGGACCTGGTCTCACCCTCCTCTGTATATATACACCTTGGTTTGTATTTCTCTCTCTAGTCTGTACTCACCCCTGAAGATGTGAATTACACGAAAGCGCTTGGGAACTTCGTGTTTTCTTCTTTCCTTGTGGTTATCAGCATATACCTAGATCACGCACCTACAGTGATTTACTTGCATATATATATATATATATATATATATATATATATATATATATATATATATATATATATATATATATATATATATATATATATATATATATATATATATATTTTTTTTTTTTAATTATTTTTAATATGAAAGGAATTGGGATAAATGTAGGATTGAATCCTGAAATCCCACTTATTGGCTTGCGAGCATGATGGGTGTCTCATTTTAAGAAGCACACTTGACACGTGGTGATGAGCCTTTTTTGTCACTTCAATAAATTAGTACTGTATATACTGTTAAGTATATGATCTGTTAGTCCTTTCACTCTGTCTAATGCCTGGTGGATCAAGCTACCCTTTGTCCTTCCTTGGATTAGTGGATTGGTCATATGTAATTGGAATTAAAAAAGATGAACTTATAGGAAGACTGTAGAATTAGTTCGGTGATTTCATTGAATCAAAAGCGTTTATTGTCATAGGAGCCACCCAACTAATGTTGTTTATATATCTTTATTTTGTTTCTTGTCAGATTTAGTCTTTCAGATGTAACATGCTGTTTTTATTATACAGTATATATATATACAAGTATATATATATATATATATATATATATATATATATATATATATATATATATATATATATATATATATATATATATATATATATATATATATAATATATATATATATATATATATATATATATACATACATACATACATACATGGACTTGACAACTTACCCCCTTATCCGAAATCCTTGGGACCAGATGCATTTCGGTTTTTGGAATTTTTCGGTTTTCAGAATTTTTTTTTTTTTTTTTTTTTATACAGGGATCAGCCCACCCGGGCACAGGTCACTGACCCACATTGGGGCCTGGGGGCTAAAATATAATATATATATATATATATATATATATATATATATATATATATATATATATAATATATATATATATATATATATATATATATATATATATATATATATATATATATATATATATATATATATATATATTATATATATACAGTGGTACCCCACTTAACGCGGTCAATTGAACCCAGAGGGTCCCGCGTTAAGTGAAAACCGCGTTAAGTGAATAACAGAACATATGGGATTAATTCCAATAGAACCCAGCCCGACCCCCAAACTCCACTTTTTGACGACAAATAACTATGTTGTAGTAAAAATAACATCTTAATTTTATGATGGTACATGCACACAATTAATACTTAAGAGAAATACAGTCGCCAAGTTAATGTCCATTCAAATAATGGACTCAACTCCCTCCCCCTCTCACACTACAGTACACAGCCAGCTAACAGATGGTCGGTCGGTCCCTCCCTCCCCCCCCCCACCCCCCACCAACCGTCCCAAGGAGATGTGTGGGATAACCTCAAACTAAAGTTAGGAAAATATAATTGACATTGCTGGATTCCTTGTAAGACCAGGAATATTTTGAATATAAATGTCATATATTTTTCACAAAAGATAACATACTTACTCAGATTAAACATTTTATCTAAAAATTGTATGTTTAATGCAAAAAATATGTTGTTTATATTCAAAATGATCACCAAATTATAAGAATTCCAGCAATGTAAATTATATTCTGGCCGGATAATTTGTATGAATTTTATGAGCTAAAACAAATATCTACAGTTAATAAAAAAAAAAATATATTCTTCAACACTATCTGTCAATCAAAGTACCCCACCTTGCCTCCCCCCCTCTTCCAACCGCGCGGTCAGTCCCAACCCTCCCCCCACCCCCCACCAATCCTCCATTCAGTATTAAATAATACCTCAGATTAAAGTTAGGATAATATAATTGACATTGCTGGATTCCTTGTAAGACCAGGAATATTTTGAATATAAATGTCATATATTTTGGACAAAAGATAACATACTTACTCAGATTAAACATTTTATCTAAAAATTGTATGTTTAATGCAAAAAATATGTTGTTTATATTCAAAATGATCACCAAATTATAAGAATTCCAGCAATGTAAATTATATTCTGACCGGGTAATTTGTATGAATTTTATGAGCTAAAACAAATATCTTCAGTTAAAAAAAAATAATTCTTCACCGGGTAACAGATGGTCGGTCGGTTGGTCCCTCCCTCCCCCCCACCCCCCACCAACCGTCCCAAGGAGATGTGTGGGATAACCACTAAATTTTAATAAATAATACCTCAAACTAAAGTTAGGATAATATAATTGACATTGCTGGATTCCTTGTAAGACCAGGAATATTTTGAATATAAATGTCATATATTTTGGACAAAAGATAACATACTTACTCAGATTAAACATTTTATCTAAAAATTGTATGTTTAATGCAAAAAATATGTTGTTTATATTCAAAATGATCACCAAATTATAAGAATTCCAGCAATGTAAACTATATTCTGGCTGGGTAATTTGTATGAATTTTATGAGCTAAAACAGGCAGTCAGGCAGGGTGGCGGGTGGGGGGTGGTGCGAATCTAAAAATAGCTCTCGAGCCGGACACTCACCGCGTTGCTGTGGAAAAATCCGCGTTAAGTGAAAGTTCAGCTTTGGCAAGGCACCGCGTATATGCGAAAACGCGTTAAGTGAAAGCGCGTTAAGCGGGGTAATACTGTATATAGTATATATAATATATATATATATATATATATATATATATATATATATATATATATATATATATATATATATATATATATATATATATATATATATATATATATATATATATATATTACCCTTTAACGAAATTTCGGTTATAAGAATCTTCAATTCAGTTAACGAAAAAATTTCGATTAACGAAATCCTTACGAAAATCACGTTTTGTTTTGAACATCAGCTGATAAGCTGAGGAGGTACTCAGCCAATTCAGTGATCTCTTCTATGTTTACATTCGTTTCCAATGGAGTAAATATCAAGAAAATTGTGCTCTTTAATATTTGTGCATTTTTTTATACAGTACTTGTATTAAAATTATTGGTCATTCTAAAATTTAGCCATCCAAGCTCTGTCTACATAAAGTTTTTCAACTATTATTTTTGGCTTGATATATGTAACTTTATTCATTTATTGAAACTCATTTACATGCACACACTGTCCTAAGGGCAAAGCCGAACTGTACATGTAATCAGAATAATGTACAAAATGATTACTAAAATTTTTGTCTAGTGCAAACTAGGGCATGTTTACATTCAAATTAATCAGTATCTTATAAGAATTCCAGCAATGCAAATTAAATTCCCCCCGGTCACTTCTATTAAATTTTATAAGCAAAAAACAAAAACTCAATCTAAAGGACATAAATAAACAATTAAATACTTCACACCTCAGCGCCAACTGTCAAACATGTCACTGTCACCCCTCCCTCCCTCCCTCCCTCCCTACCCCCCACCTTCCCAAGAAAGGTTTGGGGGTTTTCAGTAGGCTTTAAGTTTTTATCTTCAATAATATCACAGATTAAAGTTAGGAGAATAGATTTGCATTGCTGGAATCCTTGCAAGACAGCGAATAATTTGAATATAAACATATAAACGTCATATATTTTTCACTCAATTTGTTCCAGAAGGTCGTTCGTTAACCAAAAATTACACTAAAGCACTTGGGAACTTTGTGTTTCTTGTTTCCTCTGTGGTTATCAGCATATATATATATATTTATCCATCAATGTTCATTTTAGTTACGGTATAAGCTTGTGTTGTTTTCACTGTTTGTTGACTAAAATTTTAGTAATGCATATTTGTACTCCTACCAGAAATGTGCCAACAGCTTTATAACATGCAGTCTCTCAGCCTTCTCCAGTCGACCCTAGTGGAGCTGCCAGCAACCTTTCTCAACTCTGTAACTAATGCCACTGTGTTGACTGCTGCCTCTGCTACCACACCTGGGAACAAATCCCCAACAGGATCAAGTCAAGACTGTGTTTCTGTTGGTACCATCAAGTTGTGCATTCCAGCTGCAAATTTTTCTCATATAATTAATTCCGGTATGTTAATGAGATAATAGGTGAGAGATACAAAGAATTGGTTTGTAAAAGAATGTGCAGCTTCTAGGAGAATATAAGTACAAGTCAAGTTTGTAAATTTTAGAGCCGTTATAATTGCTTACCTTTATGTGAATGGGCTAGAATAAAAGAGTAAAAAATGACAAGAAACATGCCAATTGATGTTGCTTTACACCACAGTTGTTTAGGTATGTAGCTCTACGAGTCATTTATGGATTATGAAAAGTGGGTGGGAGGGAGTGGTTCTCAATATATAAGATAACAACTAACACACAAACTACAGTGCAGTTATTTAAGATTTTGTGAGTTGTGGTTGTTTAAGAAAATAGACAGTCAATATATGAGGCGCTCCGCATCAGAAGGGGGTGAAGCGCCAAATTAAAAAAGCTGAGAAAAACATGTTTAAAAGTTTTTCGAAGTTCAAACAACCATAACTTTTTTTTTTGAAGCTAGAGGGTTATTTTTTTTTTTTTTTCATCGTGCAGCTCAATCCCTCTCCTGGTGAACTGTGAAAACTGGAAGTTAGTACCTGTACAGTGATCCCTCGGTTAACGAGCGCCTCGGTTAACAAAATTTTGATTAACGAATTACCTTTCATAAGAATCTTCATTTTGGTTAACGAACAAAAATTCGGTTAACGAAATTCTTACGAATTCCTTTCAACATGTTTTCGCCTGCTCACCAGCTGTAGTATTGGTCCGCCAATACAGTAATCGGTTCTAGGGCTTAAATTCGTTACCATTTGAGTAAATATCAAGAAGGTTGTACTATTCAATAATTTTAAAAGTTTTATATTAAAAGTTTTAGTCATTTTAACAATCATTTAACATAATTGAAGTACGGGGAACTAGTTTTTAGCGCGCCAAACAGCCACTCAACACACCAAGCTTGGCGTCAGTTTGTGTCTCTGTTCAGTGGAGGTAACATCTTGTTTGAGACTCTTGAACATAAACTATTTTCCGTTTTTACAGTCAAATTATTGGTCATTTTGAAATATATTTTACATATTGATAATATATAGCACAGTGCAGTGTTGATTTAAAGAAAATATTCTTTATTTACAGCAATAAAACTTAAAATTTCAGTGTTGAAAGTGAATCCAGCATGGCTCCAAAGAAATCGAGAAAAGTTATTTCAATCCAGGTAAAACAGGAAATAATAAAGAAACATGAACAGGGCATTAGAACAAATGTGCTTAGTAAAGACAATGGCATGTCGGCATCAACTGTGTCGACAATTCTTGCACAGAAAGACAAGTTCAAGGAAGTGAAAGTGAGAGATAAATCTACCAGACTGTTTAAAGGTAGATCATTAATAGCGGAAACAGAGAGCTTACTTCTCATTTGGATTTGGGAAAAACAAATGAAAGGTGATTCAGTTTCTACTGAATTTATTTGTGAAAGAGCCAGGAAAATTTACGAACATTTAAAGGAAGATCAACCTGGTTCGACTGACACAGAGTTTGAAGATTTTCGGGCCAGCAAGGGCTGGTTTGAAAAATTTAAGAAAAGAAGTGACATTTTCAGTGTTATTAGGCATGGTGAGGCTGCCAGTGCAGATAAAGAAGGAGCAGCAAAGTTTGTAGTGGAGTTTAAGAAACTGGTGGATGAAGAAAATTATCTTCCACAGCAAGTGTTCAATGTGGACGAAACTGGGCTGTTCTGGAAGAAAATGCCCAAAAGGACATTCATCACCAGAGATGAAGCCTCTTTACCTGGGCATAAACCCATGAAAGACCGTCTCACTCTATCGCTTGGTGCCAATGCTTCAGGGGATTTCCGACTGAAGCCTTTGCTTGTCTACCACTCTGAGAACCCCAGGGTGTTCAAGCAACAAAAAGTGGTAAGAGGACAGCTTGGATCTTATTGGAAGTCCATCCGTAAGGCATGGGTGACAAGACAGCTCTTTAATGAATGGGTTGTTGAGGTGTTTTGCCCTTCTGTGAAGAGCTACCTAACCACCAATAAACTCCCTTTAAAGGCTCTTCTCCTTATGGATAATGCCCCTGGTCATGACCCTGAACTTGCCAGCACTTTGGAGGCTCAATTTGACTTTGTCAAAGTGTTGTTTTTGCCTCCCTACACTACATCAATCATGCAGCCAATGAACCAGAATATGATCAGCAACTTCAAGAAGTTGTACATGAAGAAAATGTTCAGGAGGTGTTATCAGGCAACTTCCACTGATCCTGAACTAACACTGGCACAGTTCTGGAAGACACAATTTAACATCCTGGAGGCTGTAAAATTGATTGTGTCCTCATGGCAAGAAGTCTCCATTAGATCCCTCAATTCCGCATGGAAAGCACTGTGGCCATCAGCAGTTCATGATTTTGAGGGATTTGAGGAAGAAGCAGAGTTGGACAAGGAGATTGGGTCCATTGGTCAGTCATTGGGCCTCGAAGTGGAGGAGGTTGATGTGGAAGAGCTTGTGATGTCTCATGAGCAGGAACTTACTCCTGAAGACTTGCAGCAACTGGATGAGATGTTAGAGGCTGACAGTGGTGAGGAGGAAAGGGAAAGTGATGACCATATGTACTTCAGATTTGAAAGATGTTGTTCACTGCTGGGAGAAGTTCAGGAAACTGGCTTCAAGGCACCCTGATGTGGAAACAACAGAACCTATTTTGTGTAATGTTGAGGACAGAGTGGTCTCCTTCTTCAAAAATCAGTTAATGATGAGGAGGAAAAATGCCCCACAAAGAAAAATCGACAGTTTCTTCTCTAAGAGGCAGCGAGAGAAAGATGCTACCCCTCAGCCTTCCACTTCAAGAAGGAGAGAGGATGTTCCTGCTGGAGAATCTGTCAGTCCAGAGGTTCTTGACATTTTCATGGAAGGTGACTTGCCTTCCAAGAAGCAGTAAAATGCTTCTCCTCCACCCCCACTTCCTTCTCTTCTCCCTTCTCCTCCTCCACCTCCCACTTCAAATTCACATCATCATCATCATCCAGGAGCCTTCTACATACACACCTCAAAGTAAGTGTACTTTACTGCATTTTTTTTTTTACTTTATGTAATTTTCGGTGAGCTGGAACCAATTACCCAAAAACCCATTGAAACAATGGTTTCGGTGAACGAAATTTTTGGTTAACGAACAACCTTCTGGAACGAATTGTATTCTTTAACCGAGGGACCACTGTACTGTGAATAGTTATTATCACAAGTTGAATAAGAATAACTACCCATCATGTATGGTTGTTTGGTCTTCAAACCAATAATAATTTCATTTTTCTGCAAAATTATCTTATTATTGTGGGCTAATACTGTAAAACAAGTTAATGATCACCAGAAACAACACTCGTCTTACACCCACCCCCCCATAAACCCCCCAACCTCCCAAAAAATAAAATTATAATAAAAAATCATTTGCCTATCAGTATTTATCTCTCCATCCCTATTATTAGCCAAAGATTTATAATATTGTTAAGTATAATAGTGTGTAATAATAAGGAATCACCACTACACTCATCCTCCCTACCAATAACCTCTCCCCTCCCCCCCAACGTAATTTAACATACGAATACAAAGGCGGAGAAAGTTTGCATAATCTTTGGTAAAAACAGTATTATGATAATAGTATTACAATCTTACTTTGTTTAGTTCCTTCTTTTTATTATCCCTGAAGATCGTAGCAACTTGAAGTTACGTAAATCCTGAGGAGTGCGTATAACTTTAATGGCCTCGTCATAATCAATCACGTACTGATCAAAGTCTTTCTGTGCCCTCTCTAAAAATCGCAACACAGATTCTTCAACTAAATCATTGATTATTGATGCCGGCAACAGCTCAGTTTCATTATAAAACTGAGGTATGGGCTCACTTTCACTAGCATTCGTTGGGTCAGGCTCACTTTCATCACTATCAAGGTCAATGCATGTCTCGTCACTGTCCACTTCTACCCCCTCACAGTCTGTATGTTCTTGTTGTGATACATTAGTGTCACTGTTTGTGTTACCATTAGACTCACTTTCATCATTTTCATCTTCACTTTCATCGTCATTATTGCCGTCAGTGCATGTCACGTAACTCTGTACCGGAACACAGTCTGCAAAAGGTCTTTTGATGCATAGCAGTCACTTTTTGTATTATGAGTATACCAAAATCACTATCACTATCACCAAGCATTCCTGAGGTGTCCACGTGAGCACTGTAATTACTAAACACACACTCAGGAATAATAGGCTCCTGAACCCACCCCAGAAGGCCTCGCCTCACTTGAGTGTTGCTCTAATATCGGGCAGATATAGCACAGCGCTTCTCACACCCGTGGAATGCGAATAACGTCAACGTTACGCCGAAAAGTTATCAAAAATAGTAGTAGAAAGTACATTGAACCTCCTTTGCTATACAACGCGCCAAAACTAACAAGGAGGCAGCATCTGGGCACGCGGATTGGCCGAGGAGCTGTGACGTAGCAAAGGGAAATCCATTGTGATTGGCTTATTCGGGGGGGTATGGTCTGAGGGAGGTGCACTGTCATTGGTTCGCGCTCTTCTCGCTCTGAACGGGATGTTGCCACTTTCTTGGACTGAGCGCACAGCCAGATACGTAGCTCCAAGCCTGAGGTGAAATCACACCTTATTTTTGAATGACTTTCTTCCATATTGCTATTCTAGCTAGAGGATTACATCCAATGCCAACATGTAGAGGAAGGGTGAAAATAGTGATATCCATCAAAAAACGCATTTTGGCCGGGGTTTTGCTTCACCCCCTTCTGATGCGGAGTGCCTCATATGAGCTTCATGTAATGTTCTATGTATATCAGCTGGTCCTGCCTCCAAAGATGTAGTTCACCCTATTACAGTAGTTTTGTCTTACTCTCATTATAATTTATTTGTAAATAGTTAAGATTTGTATTTTAAAACTAAGAATAAGGTTATGAGAACAGTGTTATGAAGTATTGCAGCTGAGAGAAAGTTGAAAAATTATTATTAGAGAGAAGAAATGTTGTTCCAAAGTTGTTGTCACTTTTGTTTTGAACACTTTTGATAGCTGGTTCACTCAAATGATGCTTCACAAAGTGCTCAGTAATGTGCTTATTGCTGAGAGTGTATATACTGTGTGTTTTCCACTAACTGGCCTTCTGTTAACTGGAGTTTTCCATTAACCCGATGTGGGAGAGCCAGTAATAAACACTTTCTTATACTGTACAACTCTACACCATTATTGTACAGGCACACCCTGTTTTATGATGATTTAGTTGAAAAAAAAAAGTTCTTAGTTACTGTACAGTAAACCCTTGATAACTCAGCATTTCAAATAACTCTGCATGGATATGGTTTCGGAATGTATTACAGTATAGTATAACTCAGGAAATGCTAAGATATATAAAATTATCTGGGAATATCTTGGCATATCTGGCCACCTGCATCACTTACCATGCCTCTGTGTCACCTACATGCCTCTGTGGCCACCTACCATCCCTCTGTGTCACCTACCATGCCTCTGTGTCACCTACCATGCCTGTGTCACCTACCATCCCTCTGTCACCTACCATGCCTCTGTGTCACCTACCATGCCTCTGTGTCACCTACCATGCCTCTGTGTCACCTACCATACCTCACCTACATGCCTGTCACACCCTATCCCTCTGTGTCACCTACCATATGCCTCTGTGTCACCTACCATGCCTCTGTGTCACCTACCATGCCTCTGTGTCACCTACCATCCTCTGTGTCACCTACCATGCCTCTGTGTCACCTACCATACCTCTGTGTCACCTACCATACCTCTGTGTCACCTACCATACCTCTGTGTCACCTACGTGTCACCTACCATGCCTGTGTCACCTACCATGCCTGTGTCACCTACCATACCTCTGTGTGTCACCTACCATGCCTGTGTCACCTACCATGCCTCTGTGTCACCTACCATCCCTCTGTCACCTACCATGCCTCTGTGTCACCTACCTTACCTCTGTGTCACCTACCATACCTCTGTGTCACCTACCATACCTCTGTGTCACCTACCATACCTCTGTGTCACCTACCATACCTCTGTGTCACCTACTAAGATGCTTCATTCTTCACCTACTGTGCTAGTAAGTTTTACTTTTTTACATTTAGTAATTACATGTACACATACTATATGGATCGATAATTTTTTATTATTGTATTTTTGTAGGCGGGGGGAAAGCCCCATATGTACCGAGTTGTCGAGGGTTTACTGCATATGCAATTTTATTTTGTGAAACCCCAAACGTAGTGAAAACACTGTACTGTATACAGGGGTACTGCAATTAAATAATTCCTTTTATTTTTACAACCAGCATTCTTACTTATTTCATAATTCTCTAACACTCACAATGTTACAAAGTCTATGAATAAGCTATCTATGTTTCATCATTCTCCTTCAATCACCATATAACTTAATCCTCAAACTCACAAGAAGACAAGTTTACTCTTCACTCACACCACCATGCAGTCACTGAGCCAGTTGCTTGTCTAATTACTCATTATTTACTTTCATGTTATGTGTAGAAAATTAAACCAAAGAAAATTAATCTGTATCCTTAGTTTTTATATGCTAATTATGTAAACTTTCAACAAAAACTTCTTGAACACCTCGAAATGGTTTCAGATTCTTCATTCATTTTTCAGATTACATAGTGCTTATAGTGTTCGATAAGTTTTTGGTGAGAGTGTACAATGAAGGTGTAAAATTGTAAGAGAAAGCGTTGAATTTGGAAATGCAGTAAAGTTTGGCAGTGTACAAAGGAGGGTGAGTGATGTGTCAGCTGGCTGGCTGGTAGCTGGCATATAAACATGTTTTGCCTTCTTGCGTGCTGATATTTTTTCTCCTGTGGCTTGTAGGTACAGCTTTTTAAACATATTAAGTCAGTCCATGATGAATGCATATTGCCATGGAATTTTCAGTTCTCTTTATGGGTAGTAAAGTAAAATTAATTCGGTGTCAAAACCTACAGATAATAATCTTAAAGTAAGTGGGGGAGTCAGCAAGTGCGGATGAACTCGTCTTAAAGTCATTATCCATCAGACAGTTCACAGTCATCTAAGTCATTCCCAAATTTTTGCAAACTTGATCACAACATTATCATATAATCCACAACACAGCATGCTGTGTTGTTTACAGTTTCAATTGCTCCTTAAGTTTCAGATTTTTAATTTGTATCATTTGTCATTGTTTATTAAATATGTCAGTTATTGTACTAAAATAAAGACTGAATTAAAATAAATCTTCTAAAACATCAGGATCTTCCACTAAAAATTTACTTTTTTCCCAGATGAAACTGAAGAGGACTTTGGGTCAAGATTAAGTGGACTGGTACAGAGTGCATTATTAGCCCAAAGTGTGGATGTAAGAGTATGCCAGTCTGCCACTGTGATGGTGTCACAGCCACAGTCCTTTACATCTCCAACACTCACAACACAGCTCACCACTGAACTCCCTCAGCTCTCCACTCACCTCACACCCACACTATCAAGTGGTGTCAAGACTCAGTCAATAGTTGTAGAAACTATGGAGGTAAGTTGTATAAATGACATAATCACACTTGTGTTAAAACAGTATATTCTCTATTTTAATCTATGCATTCTCCGAATTTGTACACAGTCGATGTTCATCCTGTTGTTCATGAAAGACAGAAGACCTTATACAATATTGTACCATGGATTTTAAAAATTCTCGACCTTTCTAAATAATACAGTGTAAGTTCTCATGCTATACAGAAGGATGGGTCATTTAGACTCTTCATACACCAAACTTTTAACATGTTTCTAAAAAATCTCCAATAATACACCAATCTCAGACAGACTAACCACATTACTTTATTATTTATTCATCATGTGTACTACCCACTTCATTCAAACTGATATGTATATACTGTATTGTAGATGTTTATCAGTGTGGTAATTTTTGTGTTTGGGAAAGATTCTACAGTAGCCTCTGGTTACTTTGCAAGATAGGGACCAAGAACATTCGTGAAAAAAAAATGCAGTATAATAATACTGTACTGTACATGTGATTTAACCCCTAGGCTTCAGTTCACATTATATGACATGTGCTCACAGGACTTTTGTAATTTTGAGGTACTGTTTGAATTACCACACAGGCTTAGTTAGATTATGTTGCCAAGTAGACATTTATCTTTCATTCTTTCACACATGCAAGCCTCCCAGTCTCCGTTCTTAGTAACTTGTCAGCTTTTGTGATGTCGGGATCTCACCCTTGGATTTTACGTGCCTCACCACATGTTTCTATCCCCTAGGCGCAGACTCATGATCAATTACTGAAGGCAGTAATAATAAGTGTAAATAGTATAAAAAGTAATAACATAATAAAACAAATGTCCTGTGTACCTTGTACTGTCAACCTTATCCCATTGCCTCACACACACAGACATGTCACTTCATATATATGCTTGACTCTTCCTGACCCTCTGTGATGCCAACCTGTGGTAAGAACATGCATTTCTTTACTGTTTATATCATTCATGTCCATTTTGTGAGATTAGAATTAGTTTTTATATATTTTTTTTTATTTCCCGATTATATCGGCCCGGTGCCTTAGGGTTAATACAAAATAAGGGGTTAAGGACTGGAGGCCCCCCAAAATTACCCCAAAATGTATAAAAGGTTTTATTTACTTACTGGTACTGAATACAAACAAAAAAGTATAATGTTCTGGTACACCATGGAGAAATAAAAAGAACCATACAAAAATGAAGAAAGTTGCACAAAGTAAAGGTAAGAAGAAAGTAAAACAATACATCACAGCTACACTGCTTCCAACTGACCTAGTGACCCATAGAATCAGTGGTAATACTGGACAACAGTTATGCAATATGCATGTTAGCCAACAGCTTTGGGAAATTTTTCTATAAAAGTTAATGTATTCATACCACATGAAAAGTGCAAAAAATGGGAAGGAAAAATATTTTCTTAGATTTTTTTTTCTTTTTTTTCCTTGAGCAGGGATGTGATTTCTTAATTTTTTCCAGTTTTCTATTTTTTTTCCAGTTTTCCATTTTTTTCCAGTATTCCGTTTTTTCCATCGTTTTAGATGACTTACGTGAATCGCGTAGATCCGTTGAGAAAAAATGGGGAGGGTGTGTGGTGGTATGACCATGACGAGAGAAATGTTTGACAATAATTAACCCTCTAGGGTCGATGGCAAATAATTTCCCTCGACGATTACACGATCTAGCTCCTTAAAAGCTTCGGCAGCACCAACATCAGCACTAGCTGCCTCTCCACTCACTTTTACACTTTGTAAACTGTAGCGGTTCTTAAATCTGTTATACCACCCATGACTTGCTTTGAAGGTTTGGTCGCACTCATCTCCTGCCTGCTCCTTCAGGCTTTCGAAAAGGCTTCTTGCATTAGCCTGTAGGGTTAGAAGGCTTAAGGGTACACGCTTTTGTATCTGGTCTTCCATCCATATCACAAGTAATTTTTCCATCTCTTGAATGGGACCTTGTCTTTTCTTCGTTAGTATAGTTCCCTTTATAGGTGCTGATCTTTTCACTACCTCACGAACACATTCCTTGTCCTTCAAAATAGTAGATATGGTTGAGTGCGAGAAGCCTAGGTCGCGTGAAATGGTTGCTACAGTTTTTCCATTTTCATGCTGCATTATTATCTTCATTTTCGTCTCAAAAGTAATTGACTGTCTCCTTTTCTTCTGAGCACCACCAGCACTCTCACTTCTATGCTTTCCAGTCATTCTAAAGTGAATTAGATACGAAAATAATGTCAGTACACAGTGCAATCAGTTGCGGATACAATGACAGCCAAACACCAACTAAGCGGCATGGGTGTTGTAGCCATGAGGCGACCCAAGCCACTCGACGCTCTGGTACGGGACGGAAACGTTTTGGTCTAGAAAATACTTGTGTCATTTGAAAAAAAATTTGGTACCGACTGTGGCGGTCGTATGTGCGGGTGGTCGCACCGACTGAGGCAGGTTGTAAGTGCGGGAGGTAGTAGGTCGTAAGTCGGGGAGTTGCTGTATATATCTCCGTTAGTCGGAGCAATTGGTGCAAAGCACTTCCAGGGATAAGAAATTTCCGGGTAACAAGACGACTTTCTCAAACCCGGAAAAATTCCTTTTCCCTGAACCTTTTCCGGTTAGTGGGAAAAGTTTCCTTGTGTCTAAACTAGACCTCTTGCACAGACTGACACTAGCCCACTTCCCCAGAATGTTTCTGGGTGCTGGAGATGTTTTCCTTAAGCTTAAACTACTGGAATCCGTAAATACAGTTCTAATTAAGTTAAAAACTTAATTTTTTTACTATAATAATCCAAAATAGTTTATCTAAAAGTTTGGTAAAATAAATATATTTAAAAATAAAAAATCTAAAGGATATGGTCGTGAATGAAGCTGGTGTTATAGCAAAGACTGTTATTTTCCACTCCCATGGAGCTGTGGGGGATTAGTGGGTCTTGTGTAACTGACTTGACCTGATGCAATGTCAGGTGGAGGTAGGGAGGGTGGGGGGGTTACTTGTCTTTTAAAGCCTTAGTTTTTTAATAACTATAACAATACACTATAGCAAAAACCCCGAGTACTGGACTAATTAAGCCTCAGCGCCATTGTTACTCAGATGGAATCCGATATTCGGACATCCATATCAGCAGGGAGGCACAACTGTTCAAAACAACAGCCAGCGTATTACACTAACAGAGATTGGCTTATTTAAGCTCATAATAACTAGTTCAAGTAAAATATTATACTTATGATATACTTTCAGTAAGCTCACTTGTTTTTTATTTAAAGTGTTAATCGATGTATATAAGCTTCTAGAATCTAAAAGCTTTCAGTCACAATTTTTTTTTTTTAAGGTTCCCAAGTCCCAACATATGTTTATAGAAGGGTCATTCATGTACAGATGCTCAAGATCTGGTTGTTTTGGTTAAGTGACTGACTTTGAATAAAGTTATGCTCCTCTGTCATATTAGGTGTTAATTGAGACATACATGTCAATATACTGTAAACATTACTATTTTTTCTAAGGTTTAGATTGTAAACATCAGGGAAATACAAATATTCATCAGATTAATCCAAATTATGTTGATATTCCCCAGGATCCAATGTCGATACACTTATCAGGGGTAACCGGGACAGAGGTTAGGCATGCCACACTCCTTGACCAAGGTAAGGACAGTATAAAATGTGAAGAATGTATTATATTTATGTGATTTTTTTTAAGTTAACTTAAAATGGGGTCCAACAATTTTCACAGTACAGTACAGCCTCGAGATAATGGACTAACTGGGGGAAGACCACAGTCGCTAAAGCCAAAACTCCATTAAAACTGATATCCTAATAACAGTGATATCTCCGTTAGCCGGAACAATTGGTGCAGAGCACTTTTGGGTATGAGAGATTTCTGGGTAACAAGACGACTCTCGAACCCGGAAAAATATACCCCATCCCCAGAATTTTCCGGGTAACAAAAAAATTTTCTCAGAAGTTCCAGAAATTGTCATTACAGTATCTCTCAAACCTGGAAAAATATTCCTTACTCCCGAAATTTTCTGGGTTCCAGAAAATTTTTCTCAGAATTTTCGCAAAATGCGCCTGATTTTCACATCTCAAACTCGGAAAAACTCCCCCATCCCCGGAATTTTCCAGAAAATGTGCACCTCGGAAAATTTTTCCCAAAGCCGTAATTTTCCGGAGAACTACGGCTTTGGGAAGAATTTTCCAAGAAAATTTAATTTCCGGCCACCGGAGAGTTCCGGGTTTGAGGGATTCTGGCTAACGGACATATAACTTAATTATTTTCAGCTCAAGGGCTTTCAAAATACAGGTGCTTCTCTACTTAATAACGTTCAACTTACAAACTTTCAGAGATACAAACATCATCACTGAGGGGGGTTACCTGCCAGAACAGGTGTTTAATGTAAATGAGACTGGATTATTTTGAAGAAAATTCCAGATAGAACAAACATTACCTAAGAGGAGAAGAGTGAGCCAGGTTTTAAGGCTGTATTAAAGGGTATAGCTGTACTAAATATCCATAATCTTTTCATTTTTTACAATATGTTTGGCATCTACAAGAGTAAAGTTGGACTTACAAACAAGCCTCAGGAACGTAACTCGTTCGTAAGTAGAGGAGCACCTGTAGGAGATTTCATTACTACAGTGATATCCCCGTTAGTCGGAACAATTGTTACAGAGCTCTTCCAAGGATGAAAAATTTACGGTTAACGAGACAGCTCTCAAAACCGGAAATATCCCATATCCCCAGAATCTTTCCGGGTATTGGGAAAAGATTTTTGAGAGTCTAAGAGAGTCTGTACTATGCATCTCATCTCGACTTTAAATAACACATCTCATCTCCCATGGACAAACATTCGGCCATTACACATTAGACTGTGGACACTAGTGAAAATATTTATGGCTAGCAAAAAAGTGTGTAAAATTTTTTTCACAGCATCTGTTTTAATTGTTAGAGAGAGAAATTTTATACCATAATGATACAGAATAAATTCTCTACAAGACTGTTTCAATAAAAAAAAATCCTCAAACACAATATTTCAATTTTTATGAAAAAATGTAAGAAATGTTGATATCTGAGCATAGAAAATAAGTTCTACTTAAGTTAGAAATACTATATTTTTACCAAAATAATCCTGAATAGTCTATCTTAAAGTTTGGTTAAATAAATGCATTTAAAAAAAAATCCATATGATCTGGATGTGAATGGAGCTGTGTCATAGTGAAGACTGGAATTTTCCACCCTGCACTGGGAAAAAATTTCCTGAGTCTAAACGACGTATCTCGCACGGAGCTTTATTTACTTAAGCAAACAGCACTGTACATGTACAATATATTGTTAATACGTACATGTACAGTACTGTAAAAATATAAATAAAATATAGACTACTATTATACTTTACTCACCAACAGAGGGTATCATCTTGAGCCTACACTATCCACTCTGCTGAATGTAATCGGCAACTATAATCACATCTTATCACTTGCGATGGAGGTGAGGTGGGGATTAGCGAGTCGTGTTACTGACCTGGTGTGTCACATATACGTGCTCAATACCAATGGATTAAACTTTTAATCTGTCTCTTATTTGTTAGAAAATGCAATATGGTTTAAATTTAATATTTTTTTAGGAGCTCTGGGTGGAGGAGTTAAGGAAGAAGATATCCTGAGTGACGGGGAGGTGAGTCACTCCCAGACAGGATTAGCCAGCAGCCTCGACCCATCCTCACCTGCTACAACCTCCCAGGTCATCCTTAATGGTTAGTCTTTTTTATAGTTTACATGTGGATTGGGAGACCTTTGTATAGTCACCAAGATTTTAATGTAACAACTTGGATTTGCAGAACTCCAGATATATATGAGTAGAACTGAATTTACGAAATCGTAAAAAAAATATTTGGCATTTTGTAAAACAAGCTTAATCCCGTATATAAAGGGGGGGGGGATCTGGGAGGCATCAATTGCCACTCTAAATGAAAGCTGAAAGTTTTTGGTGTTACACTGCTGCACTTACACTACTCAGTCCTTTATCATTGGTAACAAAACAGGAAATATGATCAAACCATTTAGGTCTGGTCACTAGAGCACACAAATTTGGACCTCCTCCAAACTTATTCTTTTTATTTTGGCAGTTAAATGCTTCCTCTGGCATATTTTGTGCAGTTTCTTCAGGTTTTGACTGTTTACCATGCAGGCTTAGGTGCTAGTATTATAGGTGTATTTATTGGATTGCAAATGTTCTCCCATTTCCTTTAACTATCTGGCTGTAAATTTGCTGGAGAGCTGATATTCAAGGTCAGGACTGCCCACTGTCATGCCCAAATTTAACAGGATGTGGCTCAGCACTTTGTTTATACCAGAGACTTGGTCTGGCTTATCTCCAAGGAGACTGCCAGAGCATACCCACTACCACAGTAGGTAAATTTATAAAAATACTTTGGGAGTTTCAGTAGGTTAATTAGGTTAGCTTTAGATAAGTCACGGTTAGGTTATGTGTTTTTAAATGTTTATAACCACACATTTTCACCCAGCTTCAAAGCCCTGCCCACTTTTATGGTAATTCAGTATTCTTGGGGAAAAAAAGGGCCATGTCACTGAGATCACATATTGCCCCCCAAAATGAATTCAGGTGTTACCCGGTATAACCATTGAACACGACATCAAAAAACGGTCTAGAAAAATTGTATGCTTATACTAAAATTGTCCACTTGTGTTATTTGGATTATTGCTGGAATTTCAAGGAAGTTTAATTTTGGAAAGTCACACTATTTATTTTGCCTTAGAGTTTGTTGAGTCTGCACATAAGATTCTATTTTGAAGGATTATTATGTTGGAACCCTTTAGGGGATCTGGCATCCTTTGACTATGAATAGGGTTGAACTTATACGACATATACTGTAGGTTATGACCTTTTTCCTACTAATTTTGAACTACCCTTACCAGTGATCAAAAGGAATAGAGGTGGGAGGGTTGACCTGAAATCTACATGGGACCCATAGAAATATGCTGTCCAAGGGGACCCAGGGTGGATCCTGTAATGACCCCTGTAAATATTTATACAGTGACCCCTCGTTTAACGAACGCCTCGGTTAACGAAATTTCGGTTAACGAACTGCCTTCCATAAGGATCTTCAATTCGGTTAACGAACAAAAATTTGGTTAACGAATTTCTTACGAACCGACCTCAACATGTTTTCGCTTGCACTGACCGGGCAACCAGCTTTAGTATCAGTCCGCCAATACATTAATTGGTTCTAGGGCTTAAATTCCTTACTATTTTAGTAAATATCAAGAAGTTTATACTATTCAATAATTTTAAAAGTTTAATTTTAACTTTTTTAGTCATTTTAACAATTATTGAACATAATTGAAGGTAAAGAAACTAGTTTCTGGCGTGCCATCCAGCCTGTTAACACACCAGACAGGCATTAGTCTCTCTCTGTTTTCAGTGGAGGTAACATCTTGCTTGAGACTCTCTTCAACTAAATGCTTTTTTCTGTGTTTCCAAGCAAATTATTGGTCATTTTTAAATATATTTTACATATTGACAATATATAATGCGGTGCAGTATTGATTTAGAGAAAATAATCTTGAAATACACCAAGAGAACTAAAATTTTATGGATGAAATGGTGCCATGGGGTGACTTCTCTTCCACCCCAATGCCTTTTCTTCTTCCTTCTCCTCCACCCCCATTCTAATTCCCATCATCATCATCCAGGAGCCTTCTACATACACACCTCAAAGGAAGTGAACTTTTCTACCATTTTTGTTGAATTTAGGAAATTTTCGGTGAGCTGGAACCAATTACCCAAAAACCCATTGAAACAATGGTTTCGGTTAACGAACGACCTTCTGGAACGGATTGAGTTCGTTAACCGAGGGGTCACTGTATATGGTTTATAAATTTACTCTATCTAAAGCTTTCAAGTTTTAATTTACTGTATATGAAACGTGTAGCCCCATCCGTAGGAGAAGATTGCCCAATATTTTACCATTTAATTTACTTATACAGTACTTCTGTACTTATTTTTTCTGTAGTTGTATAAAGAGTGAATTAATTTTTACTTGTTTAGAATGTTAAAACCCATTTAATTTGTATTCTTGCAGTTGTGGCAATCCTTTGGGTCTACTCCCGGGCCCAGGCACTCTTTGTTGCTTGCCACCTACCGGGACGGGAAGTTTGGAATTTTGACACCCCCGCTTAAATAATTTGGCTTATTTCGATTACTGCCCCTCATACAGCATTATCCATTTGCGACTGTGGGCTCACTCCAGACTGTAATCCCATGTGATGCATTTCTTAGGGGATTTCTACGAGTACATTTCTCATGGCTGTAATTGCTCACGTAGCATCTTCACAAGTGGTTTTGCAACATGACCAGCAATCTTGGTATTCTCCTTATTTGTTTGGTCTTATGATTCTAATAGTGGAACATTTTATTTTGTTGGGTGTGATGTCAGTGATGATGACTTGCCTATCAATCCTATAAAAGTTACCATAATCGGTGTGAGGAATGTAACAGAATGCTTGATTTCATTTAATGAAATGGGCCTAAATCTAGATCTGTTACTGTTCTTAAGAAGAGGATGGGAGTCGTTTTTGATATACAGACAAACTCAAGTATGTCAGAGGATTGTTAGTCTCAAGCATGGAAGGAGCAAGAGTTCATTTTCCTTCCAATTTCCTGGAAACTAGCATAGAGAAGTCTGATGACTTGATGACCTTTGGCCAGGGTTCAAGGACTGTATCCCATGATGTAACAAAATTGGTTTACTGAACTGACTTAAAATGAATGCAAATACAAACATATTAAAATTAAATTGCATAACCATATCGATAAAGATAATTCAGTATTTGGTGATAACTTGAGGGAAATTGAGTGAGGGGAAGGGTGGAGGAGGAGGAGGGGAGGTGAGTGAAGGAGGACTGTGGAGTAGGGGCTCAGGAGGGACCCAAGGCTGAGGTGAGACTGTCGGCCGTATGCAAGATTGTTTTATGCTGGCTCCCCTCATGAGGAATCCTCATGGTAAGGTTTGCCCAAGCCATGGGCCTAAGTCGCTTCCTAGGTGGTACAAATCGTGGTGTTTGCGTGGGACTTGCTTCAGGTGTACCAACATAGGAAAAAAGGGGAATGTTGGAATGCCATATGCAAACAGCTGATCACAATAACAAACATTTCACGGAGATGATGGAGGCCAAAGGGACGAAGATGCAATGCACAGTACCATTCTGAGCGCCAGAGACAGACACTTGTTGCCTTGATAGTCAAGAAACAAGCAATCATTCAAGATAAACGACATGAGCCCAGTAACGTGGAGAAGAAAAAGAGGGCTTGGGACGAAATTAGGGCGGCATTCAACTCCATGGATCCTGGACAGGAACCCTACTCAGTCGTGCAGCTAAAACGTGTTCGGGAGCACATTAAAAGAAAGTACAGTACAGTATTACCCCGCTTTATGCGGTTTCACTTTCCGCAATTTCTCATTTACGCGGTGCCTCGCCAGAACCGAACTTTCACTTTCCGCGGTGCATCTACTCATATACGCGGGAAGCGGCGCAGGCAGGATGCGCAGAAGGTCGCCCAGTCTTCAAAACATTACCGAGTTCTTCACCCGCCACCCACCACAGCCGGCCTAAGTCAGTGATAGAGATAGTGAGGATATGGACTTATATGGACTTTGAGGGGTTTGACAAAGAGGCCCTGCAAGCCTCTGTGGTGGATAGTGATACAGGTGAGGGCCAATAATCTGCCCTCTGTCTTGGAACCAACCCCCCATCCCCGTGTGCCCAGCCATCTTTTCTACTAATGTAAGTGTTAAAAAAACTAATATTATTGATATTTCTCTTAATTATTAATTGTGAGTGCATACCATCATAAAATTAAGATGTAATTTTTACTACAACGTAGGTATTGTGTCTCAAAAAGTGGAGTTTGGGGGTCGGGCCAGTCTCTATTGGAATTAATCCCATATGTTCTGTTGTTCCATTTACACGGATTTCACTTTCCGCGGTACCCTGTGGGTTCAATTGACCGTGTAAATCGGGGTACTACTGTACAAATCTTGTATACTGGTGATGATTGAGTTCACATTTGAGTGTGAGGTAGAGTAAAGATTTCAACATCAGTATTGACTCAACCCTGACCTAGGATAATATGCTACAAGTATTGAAATATTTCATTAATTTTGAATATACTGTACTATCTGATTAATATATCACCAGTAAAAATATTGACGACTGAAGAGAAATCTTCCTGGAGTGTGTCAAACAACCCATACTGTAATGTTAGTTATGGGCAATAAAAATAAAGATACCTGTATACTAAATAAAATTATGAAATGTATCTTCTATATTAGTGGCAAATGAGTTCACACGTGTGTATTAGATTAGAGTAGGCCTAAAGACATCAACAAAGCTGACGGGATATTTCTACAGTAAGACCTTCCTCTAAATTCACACTGGATTCATGAATATACAAAATATTCTAATAGCAAGCATTTTGCTGTTCTATTTTTGTTTGAACTAACCTAATCAAATACACATTTATCTATAGGAAATACAACTGAGAAAAACATACCTTGAGGCTTGAATGAGATTTACTGTGGTGTCATCTGCAGATGAGTTTCAAATTTGGCTGTCTGATTTTGGGTAACTAAATGTGAAGTACGTATCACATTTTTGGGGGTAGAGCAAGAATGTCTATCGATGAAATTCATCATATATGTATGATGATTACTTTTGTCAACTATACTAGAAGCATTGCAACATTGTTGTAATTGCAATTATGATAATAGTCAACACTGATTTATCCTCAGGGTGCCCACCCTGTTCTCACGATAATTCCAGTAATATCAATGAGCATTGCTCACACGTTGAGGATTCACTAAGCTTCTTGAAATTAAAACGTGGGCAGTCCCCATAGGGAGATCTCATGCTAAATGGTCTTGCATATGACTCTGTGTGTGTGTGTGGGGAAAGGAGGTTATTTGGGGGTGATATTTAGGTGCTGCCTGTCATGTGTCACACTGCAGACAATGTATACAGGAGAAGATTGGCTAAACATGGCATGGAGAGGAATAGGATGTAAGAACAAGGCTATGAACATATTTCTGTAATATGACCACAGTATTAATGTAAGCTTTGTTTAAAAGGCATAGAATTAGGATCAGACTATCAATTCTCAGATAGTTAAAATAAATTTCTTTCATTCTTTTTTGCCATTTTTTTTTTTTTTTTGCTTATCATAGTATAAATTTTCCACACTATCAGTATATCGGTGAAACACAACTCAAACATCCTCAAGGTGTATAAAATATTTTACTGTCTAAATCAGAGTTTTCAGGAATATGTCTAACCCTAGTGGACAGCCATTTGTAAAGAAACATACGCAAAGCACCACCCATAAATGATCTGCCCTACCTTATTTTGTTATGAACACCTTAGCCAGTGATTTATGTTAGCTCTCGGATGTCATAATAATTTTAGCCAATTAACTGGTAAATTTCCAACATGCCCATAGGTGGATAGGTTTCCCTAGTGCCACTTGGGACATCTGCTTTTACTCAGTTTGAGAGAGGCTGGTGTTTGTAAAAGGACGAAGTGACCCAACCATAATGTCCAGTATGTGTTTGATGTGCACTACACTGAGGATGGAGACCTTTCACCTTCTTGTCCTGAGTCTGTGATGAGGGATACACTGGGTAGACTCTGGGCCACTGCCTCCATAGTCTTCTTGAGCAATAACTCCAATTTTTCATCAACTTATGACAACAAAAATAAATAAATAAAAAATAATAAAAATTGTGAAGATGGACCATAGTTTGTGAGTACAGTATACAGTAATATAAAATAAAGGCCGACTTTTGGCAGGTAGGGAGGTGAAGACAGGAGTTATTCATAGTAATCAGGTGTGGAGGTATGAGGAGGTAGATGAGGATATCGTTCTGTGTTTACTGGCCCATGAACCAGAACTGAAGGGTTTGGCAGTGATGTCTGTTTTGTTCCCAATGGCCACTAAAGATCGTGCAGTACATAAGTGTAGTATTGTTATAATGACTAACACTCAGTTTTGGCTTGAAGGACAACTGATGCCTCCCTGACAAACTTTTTAATCTCTTGAGTGTATTGCCAACCCTGGGTACAGTGAATTAACCCAAAGAGTAAAATTTCTTAACCTCTTTGAGTACAGTGCCTTCATTTCTGTAAGGTGGATCCATACCAATGTAACACTCTCGCTAACATTATCATCAACAATGTGGATAAAAGATGCCAATATTGTTGGAAAGAAAAGTGAAATAATCACATACCAGTAACCCACACCAGTCAGTTTACTTGACATATTTCTGTTGGCAACAGTGTTCCCAACACTAATGTTGCAACCATTTTTTTTCATTTTCACAACATTGTTGATGTTACAGATGCAAACATGTCACGTTTCTGACAATATTCCTTTCGTGTGGATCCACCTTTAGTATAATACGTAATTAATCTCATGGGTATGATTTCTTAGCCCTCTGAATATGGTGACTATACTTATGGGATTAAGTCATAATATTCAAGGGGCTAAATCATGAGGGTTGAGTTAAGAAAATGTTTTTTTAACTCCTAGTCACAAATGACAGAGGTCCTGGGAACCTAAGGTTATCCAACCTTTAACTGGTACACAGCTATAAAACATGTCATAATCACCTTAGTAGATAACTGATAAGGAATATATAACATTATTTGTAATCATAAAATTACATGTATCCTCAATAATTGCGGATGTTAGGTTTCAGAAAACTACCATGATAAGCAAAACCGTACATATCAAAACACACAACATATGAGAAAAAAAATTTTCAACCCACAACCCCAAAGATATATCCCTAAACTGACCAAAATATACTCCCAAAAATGTGTAGGTACACTAAAAGATATAATACTAGTAACATATCTTTACTAATTAATGAATAACAAATAAACAATATACAATATTGTATCATGAATGAGAGAGGCAGATTGTCCGTGAGTTGCAGTGGGTGGGAGGGGGGGAGGTCATGTTGATTGCTTTGGCTAAAGCAAAGCCATCTGAAATTATGATCTAGGTGGTGATAATAGAGGCAGTGGTGATGATGGTGGGGGAGGTTGTGGTAACTGGTGAGGAGATGATGCGTCAATCGGTTTGGTTGTAACACTGGCTGCAGCACTGCCAGACACAACTGAACAGCAGATGTCTACCCCAAAAATTGAGTGCAAGTACTGTATAAATGAACAATGTCATATTCCTTCTATATTACATTACTTAAATTTTAAATTATGGAGTGAGAAAGCAGAAAGGTGGGGCTGATTAGAGAGGTGGAGTGGAAAGAAGTGGTAACATGCAATGGGTGTGTTACCAAGCACATGCTTATCCTTGTCAGGAACATTGGAACATTCAACCAGAGAATACACACGTCTTTATTGCTTGATTGGATCAGGAACCTTAACACTCTTTTAAGTCACAGGGGACATGGTGGAGGTTATGTAAAAGTTACAAAAATTGCATAAAAAAACAAGCATGGAGCAGGAAACCGTCTTCAAACACAAACCAAAACAGCATGGGGAAACAAGTGCTATTGTTGGAAGCTGGCGCCATGAGCCGTGCTGCCATCTATTGTCAGTTGCTGCTACCGCTGGCTCGCGCAGACCCACCGCTGATCCACGACAATCCGCGATAACCCAGATCAATCACTGATAAATGTACACATAGTCACAATTGGGGATACCTCGCTAAGGCAGATTAGCGATTTTCGGATCCCGTGATTATCGAGGAGACGTACATTGATACAATTATTTAAGTGATTTTATAATTTATCTTCCAGATCCCATTCTTGCTGTGTC